TATTGTATAGTGGCTTTATAGAGTCACTGTGAATATTTATAATTCTGTTTTTATAACAGGTAAAGAAAAAAATATTATGTTTTCAAATATGCGGAAACGTTTCTTCAGCAAATACGGCATCGTGTTTACAAGCTGGTGACGTCATTTTAGGCTCCGCCAATTATAAGCGGCTTCGGTCACGTCATAGATCAAAAAAAACTTTGCTAATTCAAGATTTTTTTGTAATATTATGAACTACTTTTTTTTGTCGGAATAGTAGAATCGTTGCTTGCTACTTTATTTTGCATAATGTCTAATGAATGACCTTGTGTGTTGTACAACCATAGAGGTATAAGAATAGAGTAGGGAAGATATATACTTTACTACAAGTGGAAGTGTCCCTCTAATAGAAAAAGAAAGAAGATGAGAGACCGCTAGCTTTCTCTCTCTAATCGCTCATGCGCATTGGCAACCGTAAGCATCTTACTATTTCGATGTGATGCCATTGGATGCCATGTGTCACAAGAGTGAGATAGCTAGCGGTTTCTCATCTTCTTTCTCTTTCTACTAGGCACACTTTTAGAGCCGCCATCCCCACTCTATTCTTATAACTCTATGGGTACAACACTGGGGTATGAACGAATCTTTTATTGGTAAATATTATACATGCTTTGAATGTTGAATTTCATCAATCGAGGACAGCAGTCAAGCACAGCCGTAGCAAAAACCTATGCCACTGAGTGTAACTATTACAATTAAATCTAATTTCAATAGATGAACATTTGAACACCATAAATAGGTTAGTTAGACTTAGCTGTTTTTATATCTAAAGATTTTTTTTACTAGAAAAATCTTTCGACCATTCATGAGGCTTACTGCCACGCTAAGTAGCGAAGCCTTTAAATGGGTCTTTTTAACAAGGTTTATGTCCCAAAAAAAACCCGACTAGAGAACCTCCTTCTGTTTGAAGTCGCTTAAAAGTTATAATAAATGTCTCTTTTAGGCTCGATACATACCACTGTGACAAGAAATCCAAAAATCAGTCCGTTAACCTAATTTAAATAGCAATCAAAGACATTGAACTCAATAATGTACCATTAATGACGGCCCTTGACACTTGAACTTGACATCAGTCTGTCCTTTTCATTCCTTATAAAGCATGATAAGGACAGACTCTTGTCCAGTTAACAAACGGCAAACTTGAATATCCAAGCGAAATGCCGGCATAATAATTAGATAAAACACACGTACAGACACTTCGACTATATTATAATGTAAGTATAACAGGGCTTATATTTCTCCAATCAGTCGTTATTTATATATTCCCTAAAACCTACCAAACGTTAATATCTATTCTAGCGACAGGGAAATGAAAAATACCAATTACTAGAGAACTATACTTAATTTTAGTGTCGTGCTCAGAGACGTCAATTAACTTTGAAGTTTCATAAAAGTTGATGATGTCAATATTTTCTTTTATTTTTATTTACCACGTCCAAAGCAGCTATTAAGAAAGGAAAGAAAAAACATAGTGTCACTAGGGATGATGACTATTTTCTTTTTCTTCGTTTATCAGGAAGATTATCTAAAAGTATTGGACAGGTATTTTTTCTTTTTTCACATAATATAAACATTGCAGAGATATATTGATTTGAAAAGTCTCATGACGTCACATTTTAGTACAATTTTCACGAGCCCCTACTCCCAAACTTTGACGCGCTATAACTTTGTAATTTTTTGGTTGATTGCCCAAAGAAAAAATACGTGTCCATTATTTTTTGATCATCTAACTGACGGACTAAATAGAATTTCGTTTACTTTACCCCGTCATCATGCCTATTAAAGTCTCTGATTCGATGAATTCAATACAGATTATGAAGTACTGTTTTAAGCTTTCATGGTTATTAGTTTTAGAGTAATAGTATGATTGCTTAATGTAGCCTATAAAAAACAAGATACCTAGGTACATGGTTGCAATCACAGAACACAGACAGAGGTTAGAAAGGTGATCAGAAACCGTTTGTACGGGAACAGATGTCGCCGGCTCGCCCCCTCTACCCTTCCACCTTAAAAGATAATAGCCAATCAAACGACGCGACATCAAACCATCGAACCAATCAGCGATCACACCCGAGAGCAACGACGCAATCAGAACCAAGTTTTAGTCAAATTATGAGTATTTACTCATACATGCCCCACCCACAAAGCCCTGTCAGAATACCAGCGCTGCTGTGACACTTTTTGTAACGTGTTGCGGCAGCATTATGCTGAGGCTGGCAGACATGTCTTGTTTGACCACGAATGGTACTATTGTATTATATTTTTTCCTCTTTACTCCATTATGTATATTTTCATTTTTTTTTGTATGTTGTTTAGTAAAGGTTAATGGGCAAAACGCACCCAGCTCCGCCAACAATGTAATTAGTATGAATCGATAGATCTATGAAAAACTAGCCTTTTTTATTATGGCACCAAAAAAAAATAACCTGGGGGTCAAAAGATATACACCTGGGTATGTTCTATATTAGGGGTTAAGGTTTCCGCACATAGTCCTTATAGACAACCTTTGTGTGTAAGTCATGGGGACCGGTTACACACGGGCATATTTAAATAGCTCCTTATAGAGAAGCTCGATGGCGCAGGTGGTTAGCGCGTTCGGTTGCGATCGTTGAAGTTAAGCAACTTCCGCAGTGGTCGGTCATTGGATGGGTGACCAAAAACATCTATCTCGAGTTCCTCCGTGCTTCGGAAGGCACGTTAAGCCGTTGGTCCCGGCTGCACCTGCAGTCGTTAGCACCCGCCAATCCGCACTGGGCCCGCGTGGTGGGTCATGGCCCAATCTCCCTATTTCATCCATAGGGAAGGCCTGTGCCCCAGCAGTGGGGACATTAATAGGCTGATGATGATGATATTTAAATAGCTAAAGAAATTCATTCAATATCAATAGTACTTTCGTTTTATAATATTAGCAATAATAAGTGAGTGAATCATATCTTACTGTACAACCAGATACAAAATACTAAACAACAAAGCCTACCGACTATCCTACTTGCTTGCTGCTTGCACTTACTGAGACTCCTCAAAACGTCTAACAGGGTATGGGGGTTGAAGGATGTGATATTGCAGTTGCCGTTGCAACTAGTCTACTCGTATGCTCCTATGTCTTACATTTTGTGCGCTCCCTGTTATTTCATTGATATTTAACTAACACGCTTTAGAAATAGGAACACGATTATCATCGCGTACGTCATTATAATCGTACGAGCTAATAAAAAATCTATGGATCAATTTAAATGCTCGTACTCAGCACACAAACATCTACCTCCACCAGGATTCGAACCCGGGACCTCTCGAGCCAGCGACACCATGAAACCCGGCGTACAAACCACTCGACTCGGATATATTAATTGACGACCTCCGTGGTCGTCAATTAATATATCCGTTCTATATACTCGTCCTTGTATCTTTAAATATTATGTTCGTTATAGTTACTTTTACCTATGGAATTGTACCTATTTAACTTAAAATAACTAAAGACTCCCGGGATGGAATTTGATGCGCTTTGGCCTAAATGATCATAACTATGATACCTTTCAAAAAATGTAGTTTAAGCCGTGGCGGACGTGGGTGCAGTGTGCATGCAATTTTGCCCATTGTCCTTTATTAATGTGGTCAATAAAAATGATTCTGCCTTTCGGTGTTCTGTGGTTGCAATCGCAATAGTTACTCTAAAATTACAATGTGAACATATGGGAAGCATTTTAAATGATAGCTAAATTACAAATCTAGCTCGATTTTATTATACAACAAATATTTTTTATTGCACTTCCTGTTTCCCGCTAAGTTTGGAATCTCCGACACCGCCTAGGTTGGCTGGAAGAGATCTCTTTTAGAGATAAGCCCACCTTTGTGTATTTGACATTCTGTTGTGAACTATTTCATGCATTAAAGAGTAGAATAATACATTAGTATGATTTTCAATTCGTTAATTTGCACCTAATTAAAGGCGAATACGCGATTTTCTGAGGCCCAAAGACGAGTTCCTGACAGCTCCGTAAAGTATCATAGGTGTCGATTCTGGCATGATTAGAGAATCATCCTACTTCAATCAAACTCAAAATTACAAAAAAGAATTTTGTATAAAGTACTTTACTAACTAAATTAACTAATAAATTCATACATAGAAAATAAAATTTTATAAATCTTCCAATGAAATATCCGAACGCTCAATAAAAGTCTTTCGAAGGTAGCTCGACAAAGTAAATAAAAAAAAACATTATTATGACGATGCAGACCTGAAAAGGCTTCGAAACGTCAATATATAAATAAAGTTCGTGCATTATTCCGTTAAAACTCTAAGCTGAAAACTAAATTTAAGATCAGTCTCTCCTTTTCATTCTGTATAGAGAATGACAAAGATAGACTGTTGTCAAATTTAGGTTTAAATAATCGTGTCAGAATCTACACCATAATCGTCTGTGTATGGAAGTAGCTAGTTTGTTCTTACGTCTGATGGGGGCGCTGCCTTTCTTTTATAGAAACTTCGACGATGCGATACGTTACGGAGCTGTCAAAACATGTGCTTGAACGTCTGAATGCAGCCGTAAATAAGACAAAAAAAAATAAACCCGCTCATAAAGTTGTAAATATGTTAAAGTGAAACTTCTTACACACGGCTGACTTGGGCGGTAAGCTGGCGAATGCGTTACGCGTTACGAAAAGTGTGTTCGGGCGAGGCGAACTGTAGTTGAGCAGGGGATATGAGCAAGAGAAAGCAGTGCGCACGCACATTTTATTTCTCTCTTTCTCTTATAGCTAGTCAATGAAACTTTGTATATGTACATACATGTATATATTGTACACATACAGATGGAGCTGAAGAAGTTTCACTTCAGTCGTCTGGTCATAAGCACACTTGTTTTTTTTTAAACATACTTTGTGCGTTATTTATCTTTGAAGGAGATCGCGGAAAGACTTAAAAGTTTAATAATAACAACAGCCATATTATACAACAAAATCGAGCGTACATTTAACATTTGCAACCTTTGCGTACATTTAACATTTGCAACCTTTATTTAATATGTGAATATTATGCTAAAAGCGCATATCGAATCAATAAGACTCGGTGGATTTCATCTGCGCCAGCGCATTAAATACGAACAAACCTGTGTCCGAATTGTGTAAACTTTTCGATTACCTTTCATAGTTATAATGCGATTCAACTAAGAACAGGACCGACTGGGCGCCATATTGTGATATAATAGCTGTCAATTCAAACTAAATAGGTAGAGTGAGCAAAAAAAGTTTTCGTCATTAGCTTTCGTATTCTGATTTGAATCGCACTATATTTTGACACTTCTTTAACTTTAGAAGTGGATGGTTAAAAATCGTTTAACAACCGTACCGAATTAACTTAATGCTTTGATCAAGTCCCATGTTGTCTCTCTCTATTATCATCGTAGAGAAAGTGACAGCATCCACTTTGGTCAAACTTAATAGTTGATTTGAGTGCAGCTGTTGAACTTATTTTATCAAATCCCTTTCTTAGCTAAAGTAGAATGACAACTAAAGTGGCACATATTATTAAATTAGCCCCAGTCTAACTTGCTAATGAGCAATGACAGAATACTGTTACAGTATTGTTGGCATATCACTTTCTAGTTTATTGTGATCGACGCGAGTGTTTCGTCATCCGCTAGTCTCTGGAGGGCCCACGTGACAATAGTCCGTCAATGGAACTATTATCACTTGTATCTAGAAGAAAAGGAAAATTCCATTTAAGAACAAGATTTTGTTATTATTTGGGTCATAAGAAAGATTTTTTTAAGAAAAAATTACTAGAAAAAACCCTTGCAGCTTAATAAAGGCTAGAAAGAATTCAACACAGCCAGCAGGGCCGCGGTAGCATAATGGTCAGTGCATTCGCCCGGATAGCGAAGGGTAGCGGGTTTGAATCCCGTCTGCTGCCTGGACCGCGTGGAATTTTTTCTAGTATTATTTTCTTTAGATTTTATACATCGAGCAGTTACATGCTTAAAAATTAAAATTATAATTAATTATTTAGTCTGAAATTAAGCATTTTATACTACAATTTACACCAGGCAAATATATTCATACTAATATTATAAATGTGAAAGTCTGTCTGTTACCTCTTCACTGAATGAAATTTGGTATAGAGATCGTTTGAGTTTCAGGAAAGGACATAAAATAGTATTTATCCCAGAAATGGGGTGGGTTTTTTTGTGGGAAACCGATTTTTTCACACATACGAAGTGGCGGGCATCCACTAGTATAATATAAAGTTATACATTTTATTCCAGAATTTTAAAATCGTTCAAATATAATAACCCTTGTAGGACAGAACGTTTTTAAATAATGTATAAATTTCATAGGATGTTTTTAAACTTACCCGCAATTGATCCTTGTTGGGCCCCAACAAGTGTCGTGGCTCGGGATTGTCAGCGGTTTCAGTGCATTTGGGACAGCGGCTGCAAAAACTAGGTTTTTATAGTAAATATAATAAGAGCGGACGCGAGCTGAGAGACTTTTGAGCTATTTGTATTTGAAAAACTATTGCTGTCACGCATTGGCAAATACCGTGCGATAAGTACAACAGTAGTTAACGCTGAAAATTGCGTATCAAAATTGCAAAATTCGACGTTTAGCTCTCCACGATTTCCTCGAAAATTAAATATATGTAAAAGAAATTTTACCCATAGAATAATAAGTACCGTAAGTGAGGGTTACTTTTCCTCGGGCGGGTAACTTTGTCCCAAATCAGAAAAAATATTGAACTTGCCGCCCCATCAGTATCTCTTGGGTGATCGTAATAGTTCCAGTTGAAAATCACAGATAGCCATATAGGCGCGCAGTGTGGTGTTATTTTACCGACATCGTTCCTGTATCAAGTTGTCATTGTAACGCGGGATTTTTGTTACTGAAATAGTTTGCAAGTTCATGCGCAAACTTTCTCAAAACTGTGGTTTTCGGTAAGTTTACATTTTTCTCTTTAACTTAATTATTTTTGGGTAAAAACATCCATTTGTGTATACAGTATACTAATGGTAATCTGTTATAAGGGTTACTTAACCCCAACATGGCTTAAAATGCGTTTTTTTCACAGAGAAAACTCAACGAGCTAAAGTAACCCTCTTTAAGGCCAACTTTGGCCCAAAATCAAAAAAATATTTATGAACCCTTAAATATTATTTTTTCCTATTTTCGTATGATAACTTTGTAACTTATACTTTAAAGTTCACAATGGAAAGATATAAACGTGGCATATTCATCACAAAGAAAAGCTACAATTTTATTTGAAAAAGAAGTGCACATTTTAGGTCAAAATAACCCGCAGTTACTCGGTAGTTATACTATGCCACTATGTTTTGCTTTTTTTGTAAATGCTTATTAAATCTTCACACTAGACATCTTTAGTAATAAATTGTTTTAAACTTTCATGGTCACTAACATTATAGTAATATCAGTTATTTACGGGATTGTTACCATGTACCTTGTTTTTAGCGAGTTTCCGATATTTCGGCACTGGTACGGGTATCGAACGCAATAAAAGACGTCGTCGGAGGGTAGACCAATATGTCTGCCAATAACAGCCTACCCGCAATTACTTCAGTTACTCCGTGATCACGGCGCTTGCAACAGTGCCGAAATATCAGATTCTCGCTACAAACAAGGAACATGGTAACAATCCCGTAAATAACTTATATTACTGTAATCTTAGGAGGAGGAGGAGCTCGATGGCGCAAGTGGTTAGCGCGTTCGGCTGCGATCGTTGAAGTTAGGCAACTTTCGCAGTGGTCGGTCATCGGATGGGTGACCAAAAATTTACTGTCTCGAGCTCCTCCGTGCTTCGGAAAGCACGTTAAGCCGTTGGCCCCGGCTGCATCTGCAGTCGTTAGCACCCACCAATCCGCACTGGGCCCGCGTGGTGGGTCATGGCCCAATCTCCCTATTCCATCCATAAGGAAGGCCTGTGCCCCAGCAGTGGGGACATTAATAGGCTGATGATGATGATGATGACTGTAATCATTAGTGGTGATAATAAAAACTATTTTCATCCCACCACCTCGGAAAGTGTAATTTTGCGCTTCGAAATCTGGCTGGAAAATTCTATTTTATTCGCTTGAGCGGCAAAGTAGATTTGAATTTAGAACATCACATATAATGAGTACTCAATATAATTGTAAATTCAAAACGTCATTAAACCTATTTAATGTAACCTCTATGGTGCCAAATTTATGATTAGAACTTTTTAAATTGTGAAAAAATTTAAATTTGGAACCTTCTTGGTTTCTTTGTTTTATTTGCGTGCTTCGCGCCATTCTAGTTTTTCACGTTTTATTGCTTAAATATTTTGTCATTATAAATTGTTTTCTTTTTCATTTTGTCATTTCCTCGCTGAGGTGGGATGAAAAGTTACGTATTGCACTCGAGTGGAAAGATTTTTCACCTTGTGCTCGTTTGTTTCCCTCGCTGACGCTCAGGATTCTAATTTAGAATCACTCGCTGCGCTCGTGATTCAACTTTAGAATCCTTCGCTTGCTCGGTCATCCAAATCGAGCACGCGGTTAAAAAGGAACTTTCCACTCTTGTATAATAAATAACTATTTTGGCATTTTTGAGGGCTTCTTGTTTCTTTGAAACACAAGTTACTGAAAAACGGAAGACATAGGAGCATAGAATAAGTAAAATTATATTTTATGTATGAAAATCAATTCTTTAGTGACAAAAATCCAGGCGAAAACAGTCTAGAACGTTTGTATGGAAAAAACCTTGACCGCATCCCCTCCTAACGTGTCAACTTTCGATAAATAAGCAGATTCTGCTTGGAATAAATAAATAAATATTTCCAACACTGACACCAATTAGCCTAGCCCCAAAGTGAGCAATGTAAGGCTTGTGTTATGGGATGCTAGGGTAACGGACAGGATACATACATTGTACATATATAAGTATATTTATATACAACTACATATTAAACATCCATGACTGGAATACAAATGCTCGTATTCATCACACAAACATCTGCCCTCGCCGGGATTCGAACCCGGGACCTCTTGAGTCGGCGACACCATGAAACCCGGTGTACAAACCACTCGGCCACGGAGGTGGTCAGAGAGGAATACATTACAAACCTTACAGTGCTTACTTTGGGGCTAGGCTAATTGGTGTGAGTGTTACAATTATTTATGATATTAGTGCGGTAAGTTAGTTATTACAAACGAGTAGACAAATGTAAGCACGAAACGAAGTCAAGGGCTTACTTACCATAGTCACGAGTTCGTAAACACCAATTTCGCACGAATGTCATACAAACGTTTTTAAAGAAATTAGCAAGAAATCAGAACATAAATACCTAATTTAAGTATTGAAGCAAACTTTTTCTAATTAGAAAATGGCCGAACATGGCGCAATAGGGTATTTGACAGTATTACAAATAAAGTGCCAATTGTTAGCATCTGTGTTAAGAACGAATATTGGCAGGGGTTTTTACTATTTATTTTACTAAAAACCCATGAAAAAGATAAGTTTTCTTATCTATTGCCACGTGACCCAAAACGCTTGGGATTGGCGGAGCCTGAAATGACGTCACACGCAAGTAAACTTCCGGTTAAAGTGATATTGCATTGTATCGTTTGACGTTTTAATAACAGTCGCGTGACGTCACACACTAGTAAGACGCCATATTGTCCAGAAAAACGTTTTCGCGGCAACTTGAAAATGGAGTTTTTGATTTGGTTATTTTTACTGAAATACACAACAGAATGATAAATATCCACTTTTTACGGACTCCATAAACATTAGTCAATAACGTGAGATTGTTTTCTAAAACTTGTCAAATACCCTATTTGGAAATGGGTGGTGGAAAAAAGATCTACATCGTTTTAGTATTAAAGTGAAACAAATGTATAGATTAAGAGCGCTTCTAAGAAGGTTCGGTCGAAATAAAAAAATAGGTAAAGAATACGCACGGTGCCATTGGGAGCGTGCGGTAAAACGTTTTACCAAGCGCTCGGTTGTGTGGCCCGTAATTTAGAACTTTCGGAAATATTTACGACCTCCGTGGCAGAGTGGTTTATACGCCGGGTTTCATGGTGTTGCCGACTCGAGGGGTCCCATGTTCGAATCCCGGCGGGGGCAGATGTTTGTGTGATGAATACGAGCATTTGTACTCCAGTCATGGGATGTTTAATATGTATTTCTATCCGTTACCCTAGTATCCCATAACACAAGATTTATTATTAATAAATATTTATTATTTTATTATTAATCTATACAAATTCTGTAAATGCATTTCTTGAGAAAATGTGTTGAAAAAAAAAATTGATTACCTGGTTCGTTTGACCGGGGGATCAGTATCGGGACGGGCGCCGCCGGGGGGCGTATACAGAGGGGTGTTGAGTTCGTCGAAATCCAACGCGCCGTCGATATTCAACACCCTGTTTACGAAATAACTATCAGTTACTACACTTTTAAAGAGACGTAACATACTTTTGTTATAAAAACAAAAGTATGACAAATTAAAATGAGGAAGTTTAAGAAGTTATTTCTATTTCATCATCAGCCTATTAATGTCCCCACTGCTGGGGCACAGGCCTTCCCTATGGATGGAATAGGGAGATAGGGTATAACCCACCACGCAGGTCCAATGCGGATTGGCGAGTGCTAACGATTGCAGATGCAGTCGGGATCAACGGCTTAACGTCCCTTCCGAAGCACGGAGGAACTCAAGATAGAAGATTTTTGGTCACCCATCCAATGACCGACCACTGCGAAAGTTAATTAAATTCAACGATCACAGCCGAACGCGCTAATCAATTGCGTCATCGAGCTCCTCATTTAAAATTTCTATTTAATTATTTACAATATCAAAAAAAAAATGCAAACTAAATTTTATCTACAGTTTTTTCTATAAATTTAAATAATGGTAAATAAAAATCTGCGTTGCTAAGTAATTCTTGAACGCGGCGGGGGCTTTCTTTATACTTTAACCAGTGTTGCCCCTCGCCTGTCGTATAATGACGCGCGACCAATTACGAGACTCGAAAGAAAGAGAGATCGGTGTAATTCATTTTATAACACATTTGCTCGTAAAGCGTCTCTTATTGCACCAATTTCAATATCATAATCTATCACATTACACACGCGTGCGGTAATGTAAAGTAGAACGCACGGCTTATTATGTTCCGTCTAAAAACGAACGATACTTTTTTAAATCTTAGCAAAGAGTTTCTATGTCAGAAAGGTAGCCAACATTTTCTTAATAAAATTAACTTTGGGAGACAAAATATAATATATAGACATTTAATTCTTTAATTTGATTCGTTTTGACAATAAATAACAACCATGTATCGGTAACAAATTCACAAAAATATTAATTTACTTTATTAGAAACACTTGCTGTTTTTTGTTCCTTTGCCTAAAAAAATCGAAATGAAATTCGGCAAAAATCGGCTGGAGCTATCTATCTCGTGTCACGGTGTGCGTAATTGAAGTACTCCGAAACGGCTCGACCGATATTCGTGAAATTTTATATGCCTATTTAGTAGGTCTGAGAATCGGACAACGTCTATTTTTCATCCCCCTAAATTTGAAGGGTGGTGATCCCAAAAAAAAAATATGTCAAAAAAAAAATTAAGAGTGGACCACAATATTTTTTTTTTATATTTTTTTTTTGTTTTTATGATATTTCTACAAAAATACATACAACCCTAAATTTTCACCCTTCTGCCACCAACCCCTATTTTTTATGGCGGTAAAAAGTTCGCTGGGAAAGCTAGTTATTCTATTATATTGACCTGTTCTGGGAAGAGAACCGATGCACCTTCTCCACTACGGCAGAAACGTGTTCCACTCCCTTCTGGACGCCCCACACCAGAATTCCGATCTGAAAACAGATTTCATCTATACTAATATTATAAAGCTGCAGAGTTTGTTTGTTTGTTTGAACGCGTTAATCTCTGGAACTACTGGTCCGATTTGAATGATTCTTTCAGTGTTGGATAGTCCATTTATCGAGGAAGGCTATAGGCTATATTTTTTTTTTCAAAATTAGGGATCCGTGATAAAATTGCTATTTTGTAACACAAGGTGTAAAATCGAAAACCTATTTTTGCGTGCGCTGCAAAAACTATTGACAATAGAACAAAATGATGTACTACGGGTTTGTAGATCCCATTAAGACCTACAAAAAAGTCCGCGAGAACAAATACCTAGCTATCATGGTTTAATCATAATAACCGATTTTGTGTTCGAAATTATTATTAAATCGTCTGAAGAAGAAAAAACTCCGTTAATATGTATCGTAATATTAATCTTTATCGAAATTAAGCATTATGTTATCAAGAGTATTTATGTAGTAGTAAAATACTTTTTGTTTCATCTCAATCGGTTATTTCGTTTAAAAGTTATCTATATATTTTATCTCGGTATTTCCACGGAAACGAGAAAAACGCGGGTGAAACCGCGGGGCACGGCTAGTTATTTAATAAAACGCCAACTAAAAAAGACTACTATTATCACAAAATAGCGAGTACAGTACCCCTAGCATGAACCATTATCGAATTCAAATAGTTTGCAAACCGAAATGTCAATGTCAAATTTTGTATATAAACTTGAACAGCAGCGGCACAAAGCACGTAACGAAAACTAAAAATCAGTACACATTTGACAATGACATTTCGGACACGCAAACGTTACGAATTCGATATTGGTTCGTGCTAAGGGTACAGAAGGTAAATTCATGTATGTACTTCACTTTGCATACGTACGATCGGCGGTCGCGCTAGGATTGGCAGCTTTGGTTTACGCACAACAAATTGTCTTAGTAGTGGCACTTATATATAGTTGTTTGCTTTATTACCGAGAATGAAACAAAGAACGGAAATATAAACCAATAACAACTAAAATATTTTAATGTTGTTGTTATATTACAAATTCAAAAATGACAATTCTCCTTTCAATGGTGAGTTTAAACAACCGTCTACTGAATAGGTATAATAACAGGGGGCCATTCACCTAATGGAAATGCTTTGGAAAACGCTAACGCTTACGATTTCATTTTGTTATTTCTAGCCACCTGAGGTTAGCAAATGCCTAACGCTCTTTTTTTTCTTTTGCAGTGGTAATAACAATATTAAATAAAATGAGCGTGGGTTATTTGAAAACCTTCGGCGGTCAGAAATAACAAAATAAAATCGAAAGCGTTAGCGTTTTCCAAAGCATTTCCGTTAAGCGAATGGCCCCTTGGTCCGAGGTATCGCGTCCGCGAGCGGTGCCTGTAATTGTTGCTCGACCGCACTTTGTATGTAGATTACCTTCTGTACTTTTGTATTTTGTACTTTTACTATCAATAACAAGGTTTAACTGACAACAATAAAGCAACGAATCTAAAAAGGCGATTCAAGTCATCTTTCTCTCACGCACATACCTGACGGGAATAATGTGCGAGAGAGACAGTGTGTCTTGTATTATTTATTTGTGGGCGCGAGTTATACATAAGGAAACTAATGGACCGGATCTGATGAATTTTGATATCAGCATTAGCCTATTAATGTCCCCACTGCTGGGGCACAGGCCTTCCCTATGGATGGAATAGGAAGTTTAGGCCATGACCCACCATGCGGGGATGAATTTTGATACTTGACATATAAAGGTATATCTTTTTATTATGTAGCAGCCACCTGGTGCAGTGAGCCAGTCAATTGAGCGTCTAGGCAGTTTATTAGGCGGTAAAAAAACTTAACTCGGCTGAATTTAGTCAGGCATCTTGGACGGGCTAACTTCTATACAACAAGATGTCAAACAGTTGACGTTGAGTGAATCTAGTTCAATTAGGTAACTATCTGTCAGCCTAGGCATGGGAAATTGGATGTCGGCATTTTATGAACGTCATAGGCGTCCAATAGGGTATTTGACAAGTTTTAGAAAAAGATCTCACGTTATTGACTAATGTTTATGGAGTCCGTAATAAGTGGATATTCATCATTTCGAAACCGAAAACGTTTCTATGGACAATATGGCATCTTACTAGTGTGTGACGTCACTCGACTGTTATTAAAACGTCAAACGATACAATGTAATGTCACTTTAACCGGCAGTTTACTTGCGTGTGATGTAATTTTAGGCTCCGCTAATCCAAAGCGTTTTGGGTCACATGACAATAGATAAGAAAACTATTATCTTTTTCGTGGGTTTTTTGTAAAATTATGAATATTTCTTTTGTAAATATAGTAAAAACCCCTGCCAATATTCATTCTAAACACAGATGCTAACAACTGGCACTTTATTTTTAATACTATCAAATACCCTATTGGTTGGCTGAAAAAAACAGATTATTCGAAACAATCATACATGTAAAAGTTTGACATGATTATGCATTGACACCGTAACAATGTAATATTTTGTGAATACTGCTACATAATTAATTAACGCTGTGAAGTTTTTTACACCCGTTTTTTCCGCAGCTACAAAATGTCCCAAACGGGAGGTGGGGAAAAAAAACATATACATATTTCATTTACTAGCTATATGAGAAAGAGAGAAAGAAAATGTGCGCGCGCACTGCTTTCTCTTGCTTATATCCCCCACTCAACTCCCGTTCGCCTCGCCCGATCACACTTTTCGTAACGCGTAACGCGTTTGCCAGCTTACTCCCCAAGTCAAGAGTGCCTAAAGAAGTTTCACTTTTAAATATGGACAATTCAAAAGAGATGTATTAAGCTTCCAATATGAATAAAGAAATTTTGACTCTGACTTTACCTTAACCCTGACATCCGGTTCCTCGTCGTACTCGTTCTCAGGTTCGGGACAGTTCTGACAAGTGATGGATATACGCACCGTGCGCAGAACTACTTCCGGCACCTATACAAGTGGACAAATGTATATATTAACTAGCGGACCCGACAGACGTTGTCCTGTCTATTTTTTATTTTTTAAAACCTTTTAAAATTGAATATTATTTAATATTTGACACTGCGATGGTAGCGCCGTCTGTCGGATCCAATGTAAAACATTCCAAAATCAACAACTACTAATAAATTAAAAAATAATTAAAAAAACATTGTCCAGCGGACAAAATTGTGAATCTAAACCATTCTCAGATCCCCTTGAACACACACAAAAAATTTCATCAAAATCGGTCCAGTCGTTTAAGAGAAGTTCAGTGACATACACACTCACAGAAGAATTATATATATAAAGATTACTAGCTGACCCAGCGAACTTCGTACCACCATAAAAATAGCTGGTAGAAATGAAAATTTAGGGTTGTATGTATTTTTTAATACAATATCATCATCATCAGCCTATTAACGTCCCCATTGCTGGGGTACAGGCCTTCCCTATGGATGGAATAGGGAGATTGGGCCATGACCGACCACGCGGGCCCAGTGCGGATTGGTGGCTAACGACTGCAGATGCAGCCGGGACCAACGGTTTAACGTGCCTTCCGAAGGACGGAGGAACTCGAGAAAATTTTTGGTCACCCATCCAATGACCACTGCGAAAGTTGCTTAACTTCAACGATTGCTGCCGAACGCGCTATCCACCTGCGCCATCGAGTTCCTCGTTTTAATACCACATTATAAAAAAATAAATATTGTCCAAAAACAATTTTAGGGGTGTGTAACGTAAGTGTTCTATCAATTTCCTAGGATAACATTCCTCCCAACCCATATGAGAGCACTACGTTACAATACCCAATAGTTTGAATTTTGGCGCGAAGGCGCATTGTAGGTTTCAGAACACTACGTTACAGGTGGACAACCATTATCACTTAAGGATATGAAAAATAGATAGTAGCCGATTCTCAGACCCACGGACTATGCATTTAAAATTTCATAAAAATCGGTCAGGCCGTTTCGGAGGAGGATGGTAACTAACATTGTGACACGAGAACTTTATATATAAAATACTCTTTATTGCATTATATAGTTTAAAACAGAAAGTCAAATAAATAGTTAGCAAAGGTGGGCTTATCTCTAAAACAGATCTATATATCATTATGACATCTATGTATCATTTATTAATAAGTAAATGTCTCTAACACCAACAGGGATGAAGACTTACTTTTTTTCTTCACCTATCAGGTGGATTATCAAAAAGTATTGAAGAAGTATCATCATCAGCCTATTAATGTCCCCATTGCTGAGGTACGGCCTTCCCTATGGATGGAATAGGGAAATTGGGCCATGACCCACCACGCGGGCCCAGTGCGGATTGGCGGATGTTAACGATTGAAGATGCAGCCGGGACCAACGGCTTAACATGTCTTCCGAAGCACGGAGGAACTCGAGATAGAAGATTTTTGGTTACCCATCCAATGTGTGACCACTGCGAAAGTTGCTCAACTTCAACGATCGCAGCCGAACGCGCTAACCACCCGCGCCATCGAGCTCCTTGAAGCCGCCTTGAAGAAGTATTTTTTCTTTTTTCACATTATCAAAACATTACAGAGATATTTTGATTTGTAAAATGTATGAAAATTATTTAAAAACTTACAAGTCCCAGCCCAGACTATCAGCAGACTCTTCCTAAAGGTGCTCTCCGACGGTCTGTGTAGTCGCGGGCACGGCAGCGCCGGGCAGGGTTTTCAAACGTATGAGAACTCTAACGTTTGAGATTTAGCAGTCTCTATAGATTTGACATGAGATTTGAACAATGTTGACTGTTTGTGGCATGTATACAAACCAAAAATATTATCAGAAAGTAAAAAAATGTCCAGTCTACAAAGGATCGACTCAGTTAGTACAGCTTCATTATGCCATCACAAAGTGTACGAGATTTCTATTTACCTCCTATCATGTATAGAGACTGCTAAATCTCAAACGTTAGAGTTCATACATATTAAATTAAACTAGTTTTAACGGGTTAATGCACGAAACTTAATTTATTTATTGACGTTTCGCAGCCTTTTCATGTCTGAAACCCGTTAAAACTAGTTTTATTTAATGAGTGATGTGCGTGAAATCCTAAGAAACAAATATTTCTCATACATATGTTTGGCATACACACAAGCAACCTTGCGCGGCCGCGTCCACAACAACACAGGCCGTCGGACAGCACCTTAAACCACACGACTTTAGGGTACAGATCCATCGCACATTCAGCTATATATTACGGTAAGGATTTATCAAAAGAAGCGTTGAAAATGTATGAAAATAATTGATAAAAAACTTACATCGTAAGTCCCAGCCCAGACTATTAGCAGACTCTTCCTAAACCACACGCCTTTAGGGTATAAATCCACTGTCCATTCAGCTATATCTTGCGTATGATCAGCCATACCCCTTCTCGTTGAGAATATAAACGTTCTCGTGTGGTAAGAAGGCAGCGAATGGAAGTTATCGACGGCCAATACTGAGCCCCAAGTGTCTTCTGTGTATAGGCGAGGAGTGAATAACATACGGCCAGCTTCGGTCTGTTGGACTTCGGCCACTCGCTCGTATTGCCCTAGTGATAAGGTTGAATTTTGAGTAATTTCATCACGTGTCTGAATCTGAAGACTATTTGACAGTATGAAAAATAAGTTGGCATTTGTATTATAGACATGATATATTAGGAGCGAAATTTACAATTCTGATAAGAAAATTTATCATTTAAATATAAAAAAGCGGCCATGTGAGAGTCGGACTAGCGCACCGAGTGTTCCGTACAAACTTGTAGATATATGATAATTATTACAAAAATATTTGTGATGTAACTAAAATTTACGATTTTTGCAAATTTTTCCTTTATCTGTGCTATAACACGTTGCTTCGTACCTAATTTCAAGATTCTGAGTTGACAGGAAGAACCATGTAGGTTTTGATTCCCTTGCGAGTTTCAAAAATTTGCGGCATGAACGACTATATCTTTTGATTACGTTGGTTAAAAGTTTGATTTTTTCACAGCTCCAAGGGAAAGTGGCCCTGAGTATTTGATATAAATTTCAGCTTGATACCTCCACGCGTTCCTGAGAAAAAGGGTCTTGACGGACGGACAACAAAGTGATCCTATAAGGGTTCCGTTTTTCCATTTCGAGGTACGGAATATATATACGGAATCCTAAAAAATGATTTTCGATACATTGTCACGTGATCGAAAACAGCTATGATTGAGTAGTCTGAAATGACGTCATACATTTGTAAACTTGCTGTCAAAGTGACAATTATTTATATCTTTGACGTTTGAATGCCAATAAATTTGAAATAAGTTTCAGAGTTTTTTTTTTTCTAAAATATGTAGAAGAAAGAAAACTTCTTCTGTTCACTTTGGTTTTTAAAAAAAATATCTTTCCCTATTAATACATTAAACTGATATAATACCTGACTGATAGCTCATGGCGATGGCCATTCGTTCCATGAAGAAGTCCTTATGCTCTTGCGTCAATGGACACAGAAGAAGCTTCGCTAATTGTTTAGGACACATCATTGGAAATCTAAAACAATGACAAATATATTATTGGTACACTTGCAAGTTGATCGTTTATTCTTAACAATAAATAGGCTGTGTAAATAGGTATTTTCTATACACTTCCCCCTTATTCCAAAACGTATTAACACTTTATTGCACAATATATATATATACTAGCTGACCCAGCGAACTTCGTAGCGCCCTAAAAAAAATACGGGTTGTCCAGCGGACAAAATTGTGAATCTAAACCATTCTCAGATCCCCTTGAACACACACAAAAAATTTCATCAAAATCGGTCCAGTCGTTTAAGAGAAGTTCAGTGACATACACACTCACAGAAGAATTATATATATAAAGATATATTTTGGCAGATATCACTGTTGGCTAATATATTACCACTTTACCTAAGGTTAGGGTCTAATGTGAATGATAAATAAAATCTGTTATAGTTAATCACTGACTGTTTATTCACTTCACTAATGTTCATCTAAATTACTCTGACTCCAAATTATACTGTCTATTTTCTAATTGTTATGCGTACTATTACAATGACTTAAGAATGAACCTGACGGGATCGGTGGTTATGTGCGACTGGCTCGCGTCACCGCGGACCGCGCGTCGACGCTTATATCAAGTCAGCATTCTTGGAATCCAGTCGCCACAATATATACATACATATATATATTCACAGTGCCATCTTTGATCTATTGGAGGCCCTGGGCATATTAGGATAATGAGGCCCCTATGATTTCCGTTTGGTGATTTAACAGGAACTAGGGACTTTGTATTTGATCTGAGGGGGGCCACTATCGATCGCGGGGCCCTGGGCACTTGCCCAAAGTGCCCACTGGGAAAGACGGGTCTGTATGTCGGGGAACAAAAAGAATACAAAATAAGGCAAAATAATTACAGTTGCACAAACAGTGATCTTATCGCCAATCAACGATTTCTTCCACCCAAATTTAGTCTTGTTTTAAACCAAATGTTGTCTGTCTTCTTTTTAGTAAACAAAAGTGGCAGCTTCAGTTCTTGTCCAGATTAAACTTTAGTCTACGTTTTGTGATAAAGAGTGAAGGAAATGACTCAATAGGACAATGGAGAACTGCTTCTTTATGGGAATTTTACATTTTAAACTTCACGCTAATGAGATTAAATGCATTTGCGACCACTCTAGTGAATTATTACATTAACTTAAGCCAAAATTGAACCAATTAAGTTATTGAAGTTATACTTCTTGAGCCGCGTTATGAAAAAATTATGAGAGTGAAATTTTAAGATGCGCGCGCAACACTGTAACACAATAGTAACACCATGAAGTTGGCCGCGGGCGCGTTATGAATGTTAGTGTCTAATAATGGTAAGGTACTTTGAACGATCCACGGAGCTCCATAAGATGATCGCGTTGTCAAAAACAATGTTGGCACGCTCGTCGCCTCTGATCACTGTTTTCATATTTATAATATTTATCCACATGTTTCTAGTTTCTATATAGGCACAACGTGTTTTAGTTACTTACAAGTGCTAATTACATATGGACTAATAACTTAAATTCAGTAGTGACTTTAATTGAATATTTTGAATATTTATTTAATTTTTCAAATTAAAACTGAACTTAATTGACTGTGTTAACTATCCTTTTCCAGTCCTTTTATTATTTTATTGTAATTATTAATTATTTGCATGCAATTAAAAAATATTTTTAATGATGCTAAAGAAGTATAACTTCTCACGCGCGTACATAAGTTACACGCATCCATTTTTTTCTCTATAAGTATAAATACCATTATCATTATCTTCTAACAAATAAGTAGTATCTGTAAATGATTAAATAAATATTAACTGTAATATAAACATTAATTATTTATGCAAAATCTCATACTCCTTTATAAGCCAAATGTGCTTGAGAAGGGGTATGAAAGTTTTTCTTTCACTATCAATATTTCATATACGTATAATAATTATAATAATAGTACATTATGATATAAGTGCGGTAAGTTGACAATTACAGCCGAGGCGATATTGTTAGCCCGAGCCGTAGGTGAGGGCTATAAGAAGGCAGAGGCTGTAATTATCAAACCGCACGTATGACATACGACGTTTTATAACACATTTGCGAGGAAATAATACTACCTACACGTACGTACTTTGTGATAATGAATTTGCACCTGTTTGTTTTCCATAAGATGAAATTTTGATATGCTTGACTGTAAGTATCTATCCGTGGAATTTTCGGGCAAGAGGCTTAGCGTAGCCCTTTTCGACTTCTGGCGGTGTCAAATTAATAAATTCGTTACTACTTGACAATATTTTCAAATAAAAACAATACAGCGAAAAGAGAGAGAAATAACTTTTTCCCAGATTAGCGATGCGCGCGCATCAACGCTTTTTTTAGGCAAAGGAACAAAAAGCAGCCAGTGTTACTAATAAAGTAAATTAATATTTTTGTGAATTTGTTACCGATACATGGTTGTAATTTAGTGTCAAAATTTATCAAATTAAAGAATTAAATGTTTATATAATACATTTTATCTCCCAAAGTTAAATTTATTAAGAAAATGTTGGCTACCTTTCCGACATAAAAACTCTTTGCTAAGATTTAAAAAAGTATCGTTCGTTTTTAGACGGAACATAATAAGCCGTGCGTTTTACTTTACATTACCGCACGCATTGTGTAATGTGATAGATTACGATATTGAAATTGGTGCAATAAGTGACGCTTTACGAGCGAATGTGTTAAAAATGACACTTACCGAACATGTGAGAACACATCGCTGACCAAAGTTTCCCAGTGCAGTTTGGCTTCAGCTTCACTTAAGCCCGCGTCTGTTATGCGTTCCCGTTGTTTATTCAGCCATCGGACCGCGAAACTGTATAACAAAGTAAATATACAGTAGACCCGCGGTAATCGGACAAACGTTTTGCAGGGCGATGTCGGATTATCGAATTTGTCGGATTACAGAATACTGAAATGAAATGAAATGTCATTTATTCAGTCTAGGCTGTTACAAGCACTTGCGAAGGTCAAGAAGCTACGCCATGGTTCGCAAAACTACGGCGGGAGACCTTGTACTGAGAAGAACCGGCAAGAAACTCAGCAAGGGCTGTTTTTTTCTCCCTGTATTGTTATATACAGTGTCGTCAAGTTGAAAAATTACTTCAGAAATACGTCTGAAGTCACTTTCCATTACATCAGCTAGAATATAAATATATAGTTACAATTAATTTTATAGTTAACATTATATGTAGTATATAGGAAGCGGCATTAGATAGGTACAATATTACTGTTATGAAAAATGACTAATACCCATTTAATTTCAAATTATAAGAAACACTATGTCCATGCATTACGATCATTTAGATAATCATCAACTTTATAATAGCCCTTATTCATAAGAGTATTTTTTATCTGAGATTTAAATTTAGTCAGTGGAAGCTCAATCAGATCTTGGGGAACTTTGTTAAACAATGCAATACTACAACCCAGAAATGAACCTCTTGAATTTTGGAGTCTGAAACATGGAACGGCAAGCTTGTTCTTAAATCTCGTGTTAAAGTTATGGGTTTGACTTTTTTTTGCAAATTCATCATAGTTTTTTCTTACATATATTAAACTTTCATAAATGTATTGCGACGCCAGTGTTAAAATATTACTGCCTAAGACCACCCTCAATAGTCCGGAATTTTTGGAATAAGAGTACCTTGTGATCCGACAAATTACAAATCTAAAAATCTAACTCAATTGATCTTATATGCAAAACAACAGTGATAAGCGTGTCGATTTACCGGAAACGCCGGATTAGACGGGGTCCGGATTACCGGGGGTCTAATGTAGTTATAACTTAGATTTTTTAGGCATGTGGTAAGCGCGTTCGTGAGCTGAGATCGTTGAAGTTAAGCAACTTTCGCAGTGGTCGGTCATTGGATGGGTGACTAAAAGTTTACTATCTCAAGCTCCTCTGTGCTTCGGAAGGCACGTTAAGCCGTTGGTCCCGGCTGCATCTACAGTCCACATTTGCCTTATTGTGCAGCACTAAGTCCGACTGCTGCAGCAGCGCTAGAAGAGTGTCTGTGGTAATTGTCTATGATACTGACTGGTAGAGGGTCACTTCGTTGTGCAGCACTAAGTCTGACTGCTGCAGCAGTGTTAGAAGAGTGTCTGTGGTAATTGTCTATGATACTGACTGGTAGAGGGTCACTTCGTTGTGCAGCACTAAGTCTGACTGCTGCAGCAGTGTTAGAAGAGTGTCTGTGGTCATTGTCTATGATACTGACTGGTAGAGGGTCGCCTCGTTGTGCAGCACTAAGTCTGACTGCTGCAGCTGCACTAGAAGGGTGTCTGTGGTCATTGTCTATGATACTGACTGGTAAAGGGTCGCCTCGTTGTGCAGCACTAAGTCTGACTGCTGCAGCAGCGCTAGAAGAGTGTCTGTGGTCATTGTCTATGATACTGACTGGTCTCGAGGGTCGCCTCATTGTGCAGCACTAAGTCCGACTGCTGCAGCAGCGCTAGCTAGAAGAGTGTCTGTGGTCATTGTCTATGATACTGTCTGGTAGAGGGTCGCCTCGTTGTTCAGCACTAAGTCTGACTGCTGCAGCAGCGCTAGAAGAGTGTCTATGGTCATTGTCTATGATACTGACTGGTAGAGGGTCGCCTCGTTGTGCAGCACTAAGTCTGACTGCTGCAGCACCGCTAGAAGAGTGTCTGTGGTCATTGTCTATGATACTGACTGGTAGAGGGTCGCCTCATTGTGCAGCACTAAGTCTGACTGCTGCAGCAGCGCTAGAAGAGTGTCTGTGGTCATTGTCTATGATACTGACTGGTAAAGGGTCGCCTCATTGTGCAGCACTAAGTCCGACTGCTGCAGCAGCGCTAGAAGAGTGTCTGTGGTCATTGTCTATGATACTGACTGGTAGAGGGTCGCCTCATTGTGCAGCACTAAGTCCGACTGCTGCAGCAGCGCTAGAAGAGTGTCTGTGGTCATTGTCTATGATACTGACTGGTAGATGGTCGCCTCGTTGTGCAGCACTAAGTCTGACTGCTGCAGCACCGCTAGAAGAGTGTCTGTGGTCATTGTCTATGATACTGACTGGTAGAGGGTCGCCTCGTTGTGCAACACTAAGTCTGACTGCTGCAGCACCGCTAGAAGAGTGTCTGTGGTCATTGTCTATGATACTGACTGATAGAGGGTCGCCTCGTTGTACAACACTAAGTCTGACTGCTGCAGCAGCGCTAGAGGAGTGTCTGTGGTCATTGTCTATGATACTGACTGGTAGAGGGTCGCCTCGTTGTGCAGCACTAAGTCTGACTGCTGCAGCAGCGCTACAAGAGTGTCTGTGGTCATTGTCTATGATACTGACTGGTAGAGGGTCGCCTCGTTGTGCAGCACTAAATCTGACTGCTGCAGCAGCGTTAGAAGAGTGTCTCCATCCAATTCGGCCAGCTCGCACTCCCCCCACACCCATTCAAGGTTCCACTTCACGAAGTTCTGGCAGGCCTGGACAATACATTTTCTCTAAAGAATTTTTTATTAGAAAAAAATCCACTCGGAGCAGGCAGCAGACGGGACTCGAACCCGCACCCTTCGCTATCAGGGCGGGTGCACTGACCATTATGTTACCGCGTCCACGCTAGCATAATGGTCAGTGCATAGATTTAAACATCTAGCAGTTAAATACTTAAAAACAAAATATATACACCGTGTTCCTGAGGTTATACACTAACTTTGGCATGTTATTCAGACTATTAAATTGATCATTTCTTACTATGGACACTTTTATGAATTCCAATTTCTTTAACATTTTTTATTTTCATACAAACTAAATGCTTAGATGTAATTTATATAATATGAATTACTCTTTACCTGAGCTGGCAACGTCGCATTTGAAACTTTGGTTCACATGTCCACATAAACTTTTTGAAACTTTTCTTGACGCCAACAATGTTTTTTAAAATTCTGAATTTTGAAACTATGACTTAATGACCGTTGAAAAAGAGTTGATAGTTTGATAGTTTTGGTTGCACAAAGTGGCAACATCTTACAGATAAAGACTCTTTCTCACTGCACAACACAATTAAGTTGGTTAAACTTAAATTACTAATAACTTAAAAATTATGTTATTTAAACTACCACTTTCCTTGTACGATATGTTTAACAAGAGCTATAGAAATATTATTCAAAGTTAATGTATATCCTCAGAAGCACGGTTCAATAAAATAAAATTACAATTCATTTTCTATTTGTCTATCCTAATCAATGAATTAGAAATGATATAGAAGCAAGGGCCTAGAGATGGGCGTTTTTAAGATATTTCAATATCGATGGAGATTGATATCAGATAAATCGCATCCGTTGCGCACATCGATGCCAAGTGAATGCCAATCTAGCTAGTATCGTAGTATCACAGGATGCGATGCGATACGGATTATACACGTAAATACAGAATCTCTGTATCTCCATCTCTTTCCCGTGTATAGCGTTGTCTCGCATGTTAGAGCCAGCAAGATTGATAGCGCGTAGAGGACTTAAACGGAAGTTTATATTTTCAATACAATTAATAACAACAAAAGGCAATATTTTAGCTGAACAGGCGGTCAAACTAAAAACCTGCGTTGAAAACCACCACACAGACTTTTTCTAATTATATAATAAAAGAGAATCATGATATTAACATAGTTAATAACAGATAATTTTGTGGCACTGTAGCTATAGTTAGGTTGACAAGAACTACATGGCTTTGGCATCCAATAACGGTACCAAGTCCCATAGAAATCAGAAATCAATATATCTTTATTCAAATTAGAGGTATAGTACAACTTTTTTGAATCGTCAAGATTTTTTTTTCCTATAGAATGCGCGCATCCAAACCAACCCCCCTAGCATGACTAACAAAACGCGATATGATTAAGCGTTTTATCGACACTCAACTGTCAAACTCCATTGTAGTTTGACAGTTAATGTCGATAAATCGCTTTAACATATCGCGTTTTGTTACTCATGCTAGGGGGTTATCGTGTATTGTTATTCTAAAAACGCCCACCCCTACTATGTCTCACAGACAGATCGGTCAGGGTGACGGCTAGTTGTATTCACTTGCAGTGTAAGCGAGTGGTCAAACTCGAGTGACCAATAAGGAGACGCCGCCACAGTCTCTGAGACACCTAAATCTCTTAACAAAGCCCACAAAAACATGGTTCCAAATTCAAATCCCTCAATCTTCAATACTAACGCGACACGCACATACTAAAACAAAATATGTTTGACAAATCAAACCCGTCAGTAGAGTCTGTGCAGAAAGAGAATAGGATTTAGATTGGAGGGCGCTGCAGTGCTTTTCTACCGTATTTGTAAGGTTATACCCCTTTTACACATGATTAAATACAAAAAACCGCAAGAAATCACAACAACAAACAAATCCGTATCAATACAAAACTTTGACGTTTTACAGATTGCTGGGTTTGCTTGCCAAATAAAAATCTTAATGTTAGTTCCGTTTTTCGCCACGCCCATTCTCTTTCCGCACAGACTCTATCTGCAAATGAATTCGGCTATCCATTCATTGGGCATGATAATGTTGCACGTAAATCCCAACCAATCCCATGATCGGCGTGTTGATCCCATTTTTTTCGCCCCGCCCACTTGATCGCAGTTTGCGTGGAGCCGCGTTTTAGCGCAATTCGTTTTTCATTTCGATTTTCATATTATTTCTAATTTGTTGTTCCTAATATTATATAGAGGTAAAGTTTTGAGGTTGTAGGGGGTAATCTCTGAAACTGCAGAGCCGATTTTGAAAGTTATTTTACTAATCTTAATCCCATCCAATTGAGCTATACATACTGCTATTATTATAAATGTGAGAGTTTGTTCGTATTTCATGTTTGTTACTCAATCACGCAAAAATTACTGAACGGGTTTGGATGACATTTACTACGTATATAGCTTATGATCTGGACTGAGACATAGGATACTTTTTATCTCGGAAAAGTGTAAGGTTCCTGAGGGATTTTCAAACAGCTGAAGTTCGCTGATCGGTCGCTAATTAAAATAGAATTAAAAACGGAAGTAATAATAATTATTGGGGGGTTATCACCTTTGCTACGTCGTTGTGGCCGCAAGCCATAGTATACTGCATCCAAGTTATGAGTTTACCGCGTTTGGCCGCCTGTGCTATGTGATTGGCCATGTATCCGAGACATAGCGTTACTAGGTCCTTAAATAAAAAAAATGTTATTAAAAACCAGATACTGAGGAAAAACAGACATCTGAGGCTCAATCACGAATTTTGACAGCTCCGTTACGTATCGTCAAATTTTACAGAATTAACCAGTTTATTTTACCGTCCGGTAGCTGCTTAGTTTTCATAGCCACTCTGACGATGCGATACGGGGCTGTCGAAATTCGTGTTCGGGCCTCTCGCATCCCCTGCATTGAGAACATAAATAGTCTGATGGTAATGATATTTCGAATTTAATGTATGAATGCTCATCAGATTTCAACAGTAGCAATAGGGATGATGACAATTTTTTTTTCTTCGTTTATTTCTTTTTTCACATAATATAAACATTGCAGAGATATATTGATTTGATTCGCATGACGTCACGTTTGAGTACAGTTTTAAATGAAAATTCACTCAAAAGTGACGTCACGAGCCCCTTCTCCCAAACTTTGACGCGCTATAACTTTGTCATTTTTTGGTTGATTGCCCAAAGAAAAAATACTTATCCATTATTTTTTGATCATGTAACTGACGGACTAAATAGAATTTCGTTTACTGTACCCCGTCATCACCCCTATTATAGACCGCAACACCAAAACAATGGTTGACAAAATAGCATTTCGCGCTTCTGTCACGCGGCAGCCATGCTATTTGAATATTTATCTACACCGATACTTTAAAACCTCTGTTAAAGATTTTAAAACCGTTAACTTATTTCCAAAATTAAAACATCCAATGTCATCATTTAAAAAAGGAAACATTATAACACAAGTGTTATTAAATTTCATAATATACCATACTTGTAAAAGTGTAAACTAATTATGACAGTCTTTAAATTAACATGAAATACTTACCTTAACATTGTATTTATCTGCCAGTGACAGCACAGGAAGCACTGTCTCGTGGGATATCTTTATAAGACCTGTGTAAAAATACCTGAAAATATAATACAAAGCTATTTAAAATACTCTTTTTTTTAAGCTTATTTAAAAAATTATAATAGTAAGTGTTATTCAGTTTGTGGATAAATTTTAGGCATATCATGACCCCCCATGACCCCCCCTGGATCCGCCCTTGATACTTCTATGTTTAATATTTGATATAGGTACGCCATTTACGAAATGTCGCGCGAGCTAATAGGCAAGGATTCAGCCATCTCTTTTTGGCCAGCTGAATTTAGTAGCATCAGCGCCAGTAGACCAGTAGAAGAGGTCATTTGTGAAAAACTGTGCTTCGTATCACGCGAGTAGCTATGCTTATTATTAAGACTTTTCGTATATAATGTATCTACGAGGATTTTTGTAAAAAAATATTAAAAGCTTATTTTTGTAAGATTTTCTATATTTTTCATTATAAACCTCAATTCCGAAATCCCGGGATTAGAAATTAGGACCGGGATCGAATCCTCTCATAAAAAAATATGTTGGAGGTAGAAATTTAATCTTAAATACGGAGTTACATGCTAAGACTGTAGAAAGATAATAGAATGTAACAAAATGCATAAGTAACAAAGTTTCAAAAGTGTTCAATTATGAAACAGAATAGATACCAAAACAAAAGAGCATACAAAAAAATAAACCTACTTCAAAAAGTGCGGAAACACGGCTGCAGCTGTAGGCGTCTCCTGGAGCACAATACGACTCTCGCGCCACTCGCTCCATTCGCGGTTCATAAGCATCACCTAAAATCAGCGGCGGTAAAAATATAGATTAGGGTCCGTCGATTTAAGGGTAGTGATTTACATTAATAACATTAGATTTACATTAATAGGGGATTTTTACAAATAAAAAAATACGCTTTGGAAACTTTGCAGAATGACTTCTTAAATACGATCTTTCTGCCATAAAACTACGGTCAGCAAATTCGACAGACCTTAATCTATATTTTAGCCTTAGGGGTGTATTTACCCTAAGACTGAAGGAGGCTGCGAAGGGCGGCCCATGGCACCGCTGTCGCCCATATTTGATTGTTTTTATAGAGTTGGAATTAAGAATTAAGTGAATAATATTAGTAAAAGATAAGGAAGTTTAAATATATTAGGCAAAGTGGCAAATTTTTAAATTCACAGCTGCCTGAATTTTTATTAAAATGTGTATGATCAAACTAAAAAAAAGGTAAATTTTAATAATCAAAAACCCGTCTTCTTAAATATTACTTCAAAAAAAAATTGAAAAGAAAAAAACAAGTCCAGTAGTCTATAATAACAAAGCTATTTTAACAATCAATATACCTGAAAGACTTCACTGCTGGCACAGAGTATGAGCCTGTGTGCTGGATACCCAACTCCTGCAACTTCTATGGTGAGGTCACTCATCAACTGCTCAGCATACAGGGTGGCTATTTTGAGCAAAACACTCTTAGAGTTGTCCACCTGCAATAAGCATATTTTGATAAAATTCTCTTAAAGATAGATTTACATGTATTACCAAGTAATGTGTTTTTAATTCAACCACTTTTGTAGAGTGTGGGTTTCATACTCCTATTTGTGAATCTTCAGACCATTAATAGTAGTAGTTTAATACAAATTTCATTGTTAAAGCAAGGTTGCCATAGTTTAGCTGAACATAATGGATGGTTCATTCAATTCAAAAATTCAAAATTCAATATTGTTTATTCAGTCTAGGCTGTTACAAGCACTTGTGAATGTCGAAAAGCTACGCCATCGGTTCGCAAATCTACGGCGGGAGACCTTGTACTGAGAAGAACCGGCAAGAAACTCAGCAAGGGCTGTTTTTTTCTCCCTGTATTATATACAGAGTCGTCAATTTGAAAAATGAGTTCAATATGAGATAACCCATGAAGTCACTTTCCATTACAAATGTAAATGACAAAACAATTATGACTATAAAATAAAAAATATAAAAAACAGATTTAAAAATGAAAAAAGTTTAGGAATGCCGTGTCCCACTGTTTAGGCATAAAAACAAATGTACCATTAAAGTTAAATACAACGATTAATAGTACCCAATGTAGCAAGAGCAGACTCATCTCCGCTGGCAGCACCCGTTCACCAGCATGACACATGAACCAGCCATTGCTTCGCTCAACCATTTTTTAGGGAACGTAACGACCCGCCTCACATGACATTTAACATTTCATGTTAAATATACTATAAAATATAATATTTTCTTGTACTTCTCCTGCTTTCTGATATGCTCTATTGATTTGTGAGACCAGAATCTGATTTGAAATGTATTTATTTATACCAGCTGGATAAATATATCATTAATAATTTTTTGGATAAAACTAAATTTCTTTAATTGTTATTCTTAGAAAAAGAGCTAAATAGACGAGTCAAATGTCATATGCAACCAAAGAACAGTATTGCATAGATAATGATTTTTTAAATTAATTACATTGACCTTGGCTACTGCAGTAATTAAGCAAACGAGCATTAAAAAACCCCTAAGTAAAATTATATCAAACAAGCACATAATTTTTAATAAGTAGCTAAAAAGTATTTCAATGTATGAACTATAGTAGATATTCCCACAAGCCTTTATTCAGTTTTTGCCGAGGTGATAGCCACCAGAGGAAAATGGAATGGAACAACTGAAGTGACTTCATTCCGATTTGCCTCCGGTGGCAACCCCAGTGGGGGCTACTGGGACTAAAGGCCCTTGCTGTGATAGCCTCCAGAGGCAAATAGGAATAAAAAAATAACTGAACTAGGGCAGTGATTTCATTATCATTTGCTCCAGTAGCAATCCACGCGGGGATGACTGGGAATAAAGGCCCACAAGCAGTCAACATATCATAACACAAATACACATATTCATATTCAAAAAAATGTATGTTACAAGTATGATGTACTAAGTAAAAGAGTTTTACCTCGAGATCCTCATTGTTCTCTTTGGTATTTTCAGGCTTTTCCTTCGTTGCAGAAGGTCCCTGGCGATCTACGGTGAGATAACTCATAGTGACCCTGTCCTCACCAGTTTCTCATTTTTATTCCACGTACAAAATTAGATATTATATTAAAAACAGTTTGTGAATCACTGTTTGTTCAAGGATTTAGTAGTTTTAAGTTGATTCAAAAAAATATCAACAAAAGCAATAAATCTTTAAAAAATCACTGATTATTCTGGGCTATGTTCCAACCAAACCTATGCTCCAGGCGCAACAAATGTCAAATTTGACATAGGTTTCATACATTTTATGTCAAAATTATAAAGTCTGTTTTAAAAGTTGCACTCAGAGCGAAGGTTTAGAACGCAGCCTTGTTGTGATACAATGATGTCGATTCTGGCATGATTCTGTAAAGCTAAACTTAAATTTGACAATAGTGTATCTTTGTCATTCTTTATACAGAATGAAAAGGACAGACTAATGTTAAATTAAGTTTTAAGTTTAGAGAATCCTGCTAGAATCGACACCATTATTTCTTTATATTTATTATGCCTGAGAGAAGCTCATTAAAGCTGAGTTTGGAAATCATTGACACATTGTAAATCGAGTGTATGTATTGCAAAGACTTTATATAATACCTAGACTGTGCACGAAAAACACTAGTTAATCTAAAGTAAGATTTATATCTGTAGTAATAGGATAGCTATTTGATAAGCGGTCGCTAGTAAAAACGGTCCTGAGGGAGAAAGCACCCAACGGTAGTGTGTCCCTTTCTAACGTCTTGCCAGCTCAATTTATCATTGGATTTGGTAGAAATGGTAGAAAATGTCATCCTTTTCTATTTGTGATTTACTGATTAATTACCGATACGAACGATTCGTAAACTATGAAACGTATTTAAACATTTCTACAGTTCCTATAAATAATAAAATAATCATTGATATTTTTAAAATAAATCTAAATACAGAGTAAAAGTAGTATTTAATTAGTTAAGCCTGGTAATACTGAATGTAAGATGGTGATTTGTTCACTTGATGACATTGACAATGATGACACTTGATGACAATTTGATTTGAAATATTGTAAATTTGCATATATTAAAGTGTATTTTTTTAAAATGGTGAACTCGTGTTGTGTAACAGGGTGCTACAATGAATCTTATCGCGGTAGCCCTTTTTCTTTTCACGGGTAAGTAAAACTTACAATCATATTCAATAGGTGAACCATGAATTTTGGAGGTAGATGAGTTTTTTTTTTCTTAACATGAGTTGTGTGAATTTAATGAATCAATTATTAAATAATGCGGTCGCAGTTACTTCCTTGTTTCGTAGGTACTTTTTAGATTCGTATCATCATAATTACATCAGCCTATTAATGTTCCCACTGCTGGGGCACAGGCCTTCCCTATGGATGGAATAGGGAGATTGGGCCATGACCCACCAGGCGGGCCCAGTGCGGATTGGCGGGTGCTAACGACTGCAGATGCAGCCGGGACCAACGGCTTAACGTGCCTTCCGAAGCACGGAGGTACTCGAGATAGATGTTTTTGGTCACCCATCCAATGACCGACCACTGCGAAAGTTGCTTAACTTCAACCATCCAGCCGAACGAGCTAACCACCTGCGCCATCGAGCTCCTCGCAAAAATAGTAAAAAGTTTTTTTTTTTTTTTCTTGTATTGTGTAGATTTTCGAAGAACGGAAAGCAGAAATTGAAGTGGGAAAATGCAGTGCTTGGAAAAAAATGCGATGAATCTCATGAATTGGATTAGATGTATTGGTCAAAAATACTTTAAGACTTAGAAGCTACGGGAAGTCCTCAACCCTTGAGCACGTAGGACATAAGGCGACATTGCGACAAAAACTGCTCAAAACTATATTATTTAGCAATGTATAAAAACCAATTTTAATAAAAATATTGTAAACAAATTATTGTCTTTTTTCCGTCCAGAATTTGATGAATTTGATTTGGCATTTACCGATTTATGTACCTCACAATATGTGGGTCCCCTGTACCTTAATAAACATACTTTTAAGAGTACTTTCCCTTCAGGTGGCTGGCATTACAAAATTCCACCCTCTATCTAATCTCAGTCCAAGCCGATTTTGTCGATCTAACAGCAAAAAAAAGGTGCCAAAATCAGGTATTGGCATTTATGTTAAATTAATGGAAAGTCTGATGATACAATTTTGGTTCTTAGGTTTTCACGCACATCACTCATTAAATAAAACTAGTTTTTCACGGGTTAATGGACGAAACTTTATTTATTTATTGACGTTTCGCAGCCTTTACAGGCCGCGTCGTCGGAATTTGTCATCATACAAAGACTTAGTGTAATTTTTTATTACACTAAGTCTTTGTATGATGTACTTAGCAAGTTAAAAAATACGCCATATAGTTTTTATTTTAACACATAATCACAAATTACTTACATGTCAGACAGTAGCAGATACTAAACACAATCCTCTTTATAAGCTATATTAAATAACAAATACTAATGACAAATTTTGTCCCGCGTTACGCTTGAATATGGTCATTTCATTAGAAAGGAACACACTACCATTGGAAGCCCTCTCGCCCGGACCGTTTTTAACGCGATGGTGCACAGTCTAGGTATTATATAAAGTCTTTGATGTATTGAATGTAGGGTTGCCAACTGTACTATATAATATAGTATCCTACTATATTAAAGGATCAAAAACTATATTTCTAATATAATATATTATTATAGTAGGCGAAACTACTATATTTTGCTTAAAGCGGACTTTTGCCAGTAAAAGCTTTCTTAAAATTGAAACTGAAGTATTAAGGTATAGAACAGCAAAAATATAATCATTTCAAATACAAAGTAAATATTTTAACCACATACGTACTACAGTTTTTCCATTTTTTTGTCATCTACTATATTTTTAGAGGTAACAGCATCTAAAATACTATATTTGACAGAAAAAAGTTGGTAACCCTTATAAGGTCGTTGTTTATTACAATTATACACGTATTCTAAACTAAAACAAAATAATAATAAATTTTAGCTGTATGAAATCAGTGTCCGTTGACTTCAAGTGCTTTAGGCTGTATTGTGATTAATAAATTTGTTTTTGCCTTAACTTTGAAATTATACAAAAAGCAGATTTAAAAAAAATGAGGTTACGTCTCCCATCATTTCCCATTTAAAATGCTACTTTTTGGGTTATATTTTGGTTTTTAAACCCAAATTAAATTTATATGGATAGAAATACAAATAATTACTGTACTCCTCCAATAATTCTTGTATGCAATGGGATTAAAGAAGAAGAAGAACATTATAATTCTTACTACATGTATGATAATAAGTTTCATTATTTACCAACTCTACTTCTTCCTTACTATAACAGCTGAAGTAGCAAATGGGAATAAAATTATTTCCTTAATGGATCGGTCACAATTAAAAGAAGCCAAAAAATCGCATGTACGTTCAGAAGCAGATAAGTACGTTAATGAAAATGGTGTCCTTAGGGGAGTACAACACTCAGCAATGCTGAAATATCGACCGAACTCTAAGAACGAATTCAAATGCCTGAATTCCGATCAATGGATACCGTTTGAGTATCTTAATGATGATTATTGTGACTGTGATGATTTGACAGATGAACCAAGCACCAGCGCTTGTCCAAATGGTACTTTTTACTGTGATACCCAATATCCAGGGAAACAAGTAGTGTTAAATAAGGTCTCATCAAGTAAAGTTAATGATGGAATATGTGACTGTTGTGATGGGTCTGATGAGTGGATTCATGGACCCAATAAATTAATATTGTCCCAAAGTTCACACAAGCACTACAGACATTATGTTAATAAATGTCCCAGTGATTGTTATAAATAGTAATACTTGCAGGCTTGTTTATTGTGTCTTACATTTCCAGCTTATTCTTTTAATTAAATTAATTTATTCCTGTGTGTTTAAGAAGTAATAAAGTTACTGTAAATAATTGTAACTAGTTACGGTTGCATAATTAGTATTTATAAGACTGAAACTATTATTTTTAGTAAATTCATAATAAATAAATCATTATTCTATGTATATAATTAGTTTTTAAGTAAAAATTCTCCCTCCATTTTGTTTAGAATTGATTGTTATTACACATTATACTTTAAACACACCCTATTCAATATAGGGTGTGTTTAAAGTATAATGAATTACTAAAAAGGTTTTTTCCAGAGGGTTTTTGCCTTGGTGTCCCTTTTTTCCTGCTTAAAGCAAATACTAAAAGCATTAAGGAAATAGGCAGTCCTACCTAACCCAGGTTAATAATTAAATGTGTGCCAAATTTCATTAAATTCTTCTCAGCCGTTTTGTTAAAAAATATTGTGCCGTGTGATTAAAAAACAACCATACAAACTTTATAACATATTAGTTGATTGATAGTATGTCCAAGCTAGATAAATCGTGCAACACGAATCTCATGTACATGATCTTCTAACGTATTGTAGCGAACATAAAACCCTTTCTTTCATTTTATTGTAGCCAAATTCTGGGTCCATGAATTGTATTCAGATCCATGATTCAGATTCAGGCATCCAAGGAACTTTTATTAACTGGAATGTTTACGAAACAATATGGGAATTCAAAAAATGTACTCTTAACTGATTTTAAATAAAGTCCATTTTTGTTTATACCTTCATAAGAGGGGAAAATACTAGCGCGACAACGACGACAGTGGAATCTGTCCCTCTCTTGAAACTGTTTAGGCTCACTACTAGAACGAGATAGATTCCACCAATTCAGCTATGTTCTTAGACGATTTTGAGGGTCGCGTAAGCATTCCAGTTAGTATATATGTTCCTTGCAGGCATCATTCAGAGCCATAGAGCATTCACATGCATTTCCTTAACTTTGTGGCGACTTTGCACCATGTTGTTGGTCCATGTCGCCATACAATGCAAAATACAAATATTAAAACCTTCATTGCATAATTTACCGGCAATTTACATAGCTACTTATATTAAAGCATCAAAGATGACATGTGAATTCTCAAGATAACGCTGTATGGATTACGTTTAGCCTACCCAAAAGCTTCACAAAATTAAAAAAAATGTGAATTGTATTGTCGTCTTTTTTTTTATTAAATATTAGAAAGAGAGAGGAAATAAATTTGACGTCTAGAAAATTCTATTGAGTTTTGTTGGTGCGGGCGGTTTTCGTTGGTGTCGTGTGTGCTTGTATTTGATAATTTTGCAGTTTGCAAGTTACCGGCGCGTGTGGTGATAAACGAAATACCAGAAAAGTACATTTATTTTCTGCATTAAAAAGCGTTTGTGGCGGTACAGCTATTTAGTTCAATTTCATCAATAGAAGAGCAAGGATTACAAAATGACCGTAGACGAAGGCGTTGATATTTCTAAAACTGGGGATCGTGGTGTGTTGAAACGCATCATCAAAGAGGGCGAAGGCACCGATACTCCCAATACCGGATGCCAGGTCTCCGTTCATTACACGGGCACGCTACTGGATGGGACCAAATTTGACTCCAGCCGCGACAGAAACGAGCCTTTCGAATTTAGTTTGGGAAAGGGTAAGTCATGTTCAGAATTTTATAGGTTATGTTGTTCATGGGATCCTGTAGTAAAATTACGTAGTAGCTTCCTATTATTAAAACAGGGTACTTTTTTAATAGATATTATCATTAATGATGTCTGATCTTACTGTTTTGTTGATTCATCGAGCTCATAAAATTTCCAACTAGTCTTATTTCCTGAAGTTTTTTGGCCAGGATGTATACCAACTAAAGAAATGCCAACTCGATTTTAGACCAATAATATGAAGAGTGCCTAGCATAATGTTTACATAAAGCATGTCTTTTATTTCACTGTCTATGTGGCATTTCTATTCTTTTAACAGGTATTTTTTTATCATAAAAAAAATACCTGTTAAAAGAATAGAAATTTAGAATTATGGATAGATAAGAAAAAGAAAAATACTCAAGTGCCAGACCTTCTTCAATAGCTTTGGCAGAAGGGCATTGGACTGTTAATTGACTGCAAGGAGAGTTGAAGAAATAATATCCTAAATCACTGTAGGTGTCCTTATATGGTGTAGACCACCAACTGCAATTAAAATATTGCTTTTATTTAGAATTATTAATAGATTTTTTTTTGGGTTACATGCCTCTAAAAAGAAAAATATAAACTCTAATAACATTCTGAACTCAGAAAAGAGGCCAGTGAGACAGCCTGTACAGAGGCTTCTTGTCTTCTTCTTACCATATATAATCTAACAAAACCCTATTTAATATCATGTCATGTGTTTAATATGTTATTTAGTTTTTAACATTTGAACATGGGAAATAAATTATAACTTTGATTTTATCTTAGAGAAATGTATTGTAGCAATTCAAAATCTACCACAGTACCTGGTGACTGGTTTCATTTTCCCTTGGACAATAATACACTGTGAATTTTGAGTTACATGAGAAACTTGAAAATCATATAAATTAAAACTGTGCGAACATTCTTGTTTCTGTTAGCATAAGTAAAATTTAGAGACACTATTTAATATAAATTAAAAATTGTAACTGTTACGACAAATAATTAGACTTCTTATCTACTGCAAAGTTTGATAACATGATTTAAGCAAGCTTAAATCAATTCAAATAATTTATTGCATTCATGTAGTTGATTACAGAGATGGTAATGTTGGTATTTTTTTTAAATAGGTATCACAATTTTATATTGGTTTCAGTCCAAGCTCTTTTAAACTAAAGGTATGGAAAGATTGATATTAAATCAGGAGAATGTTTGTTTAAATATAAATATTTTGTTCATTAGTTATCACTTTATAGTTATTTTAATAAAAAATATTTCTTTTGGATACCCACAAATCTTGATTTTTTTTATTAATAGACCTGTACCAGACAGTGGAGTTTAAGAATTAATAGTAGGGCTGACATTGATACTAACTTCCTGTTGTCCAGGGTCTGTGATCAAAGCATGGGATGTTGGAGTGGCTACGATGAAGAAGGGCGAGGTTTGTGTGCTGACTTGCGCTCCGGAGTATGCTTATGGTGCTGCAGGCAGCCCCCCTAAGATTCCGCCCAATGCCACCCTGCAGTTTGAGGTAATTTTAATGCCATTCATTTATATTTGTGACGACCTCCATGGCGAGTGGTTTGTACGCCGGGTTTCATGGTGTCGCGGACTCGAGAGGTCCCGGGTACGAATCCTGGTGGGGGCAGATGTTTGTGTGATGAATACGAGCATTTGTACTCCAGTCATGGATGTTTAATATGTATTTCTATATAAATATACTTATATATGTACAGTATATGTATTCTATCCATTACCCTAGTATCCCATAACACAAGCCTTATAGTGCTTACTTTGGGGCTAGGCTAATTGGTGTGAGTGTTGGAAATATTTATTTATATTTATTTATTTTTATATAATAATAATTTAGTTATCAAAGCTGTTTTTTGCTAGCAATCGAAACTGACCTGTTTGCATATTTGTCAGCAAAATTACCTTTAGGATGCAATCATATGAATCCTCGCACGTTGCCCCAGTACCGCTCCGCATTTCATAAAGAATATTGCTTGTCGTATTGAAGAGCGCCTGTCTGGGGTAGAAACCTATACTTTAGAGAAGAATGCAATTAATTAAATAACATTATAATAGATTGCATTATAATTTAATCTTAATTATAAAAAAAAAAAGTATAATACATACTCATAAAATTAGATAGATTCATCAAATCGTAATGGTGTCTGTATATAATGTAAAATTATGGGACCTATTTTACATGGATAAATGATTGCTCTCTCTTACGTCGACCACAGGGAGACCACTCATTTATCTAAGATTAATTTGTTGGCATTTTCAAATACTTTTACATTAATGTAATCTCAATTCTCATCTCAGTAAATTATACTTACATGATTTAATAATCAGATAGTTCAATTATTTTGGTAACTGTATTATAAAGTTCCTTATTAATATAATTGAACTATCTGGGAAAGTGAAACCTGAGGTACCTACTCATTACGTCAACAAAATTTTACTTGTTACCTAAACAACTAGACTTTGATAGTTTACTCACTGTCTAACATAAAGTTGACTAGCAGTTTAGTTTGGACTCGAAAATGCGAAAAGCAGCTGTGTCGATTTAAATCCGGTCGGAATTGTCCAGATTCAAAATTACGCCAGATTGCAATCCTTAGTACTTTGCTGACAAAGGTGCGCTCACCTTTAGTTAGGGTTGCGATGCCAAACATGTATATTTTCAGGCTTTCAGTTTATTTATTGCACTATTCATGAAGAAAGAAGATAATGTCTGGCACTGAGGAACTGACGTTTGATCTAATTCAGCACTAAGTCCAGTTCTTCTATTTTCGAAGTTGGCCTTAGTTCATCTTTCGTTTAGCACTGATCACCTAACAAAACAATTAAATGGACCAATGCGAAATTTTGCCGGTTCTCATTTTCCCATACTTCAATCATGCAGTAGATATTCTTTGTTATCAAACCGCACTCAAAACTGTCTTATCAGTGGTTATTGTTAGATAGTGGTTTCAGCCGTTCCCATTAAGATTTTACTTAATTTATTTTTTAAAGGGCAAAACACAACGGAGGAGGTTCTCAAACCGACGCGTATATTTTTTTTGTCTAATTACGCATAACTTTTTACAGAGTTGGTAGTTCGATATTGATAATTATTTTTTTATGAAAAATAACAACCGTAAGAGCCTGCCCTGCGTTAAGCGGGAGCACGGAGCGGTCGTTCTCTCCGCGTGCAATTTTTATTTCATATCATAGAAAAGCGTTGCGTGCGAGACCCGTCTCACGCAAAGCTGCCCTATGAAATAACACGTAACAAACACCGCTCCATGGTCCCGGTTAACATACCGCAGGCTCTAAGTATTAACAGATCGCTGTCAAGTCTGAGAGCGATCTTGAGTTCGATCTTGAGATGCTGTTTTGTATGTTAAACAATATCTCAAGATCGTAGTTTCAGATAATACGGGCCTACGGGTAGGAAAACAAGGGACGATTGATTGTTGTTATAATGTATGATCACGCATTAATTTTTTACAGAGCAGTCTGATTTTGATGATTCTCTTTTTATTGGATAGTTAGATGTTCGGTTAGTTTGTCCCAGATAAATTTAGAAAACAAAATCTTCCCTAAGGGTAAGAAAATAGGGGAGATTGTGCACTTACAGATTTTTATACTAAAATGTAGGTATACAAATAATTATAAAAAAATAGTAATACTTTGTAGGTAGTGACGAAAACAAATAAATGATTTTTCCTTTCGCGGTTTGTTGTACGGAACCCTTCGAGCGCGAGTCCGTCTCGCACTTTTTCAGTTTGTTATTTTATTGTACAAACAAATTAATAAAATATTTAATTAAAAAAAAACTGCTACATTGGGTCACGATGTCGTGCAATGAGAAGTACTGAAATTTTAGTAGCGTTACACGAAGCGAAGCCTGCAGCGACGGGCTAACTTAAAGCTCAGCCTCAGCTATCGAATGTGCGCCTGCGCAGACCGTCGTTAAGTTCATAGCAAAGCTCATAGTTTCGACTGTCTATGGCTGTTGTGGCTGTTGTTTTTATTTAGTACTAGCAAACCCGGCGAACTCCGTTTCGCCACCAGATGGCTTCGTTTTATGTAACATTTCGTTTGGTGATTAAAAGAAGTTTTTTTTTTAAATTTTTCCTGAACTTTCTTTGCTATAAACCTCACGAAGCCCGAGACCTTTCCAACGAAAGCAAAACCGTGGAAATCGGTTCGTGCGTTCTGGAGTTATAGCGTCAGGAAGGAAAACCCGACTTATTTTTACCCGGCTGCGCAATGCAAGAGCGCGAAGCGCGACGCGCAGACAGGGTTATGTGTTTAACAGTCTATATATGTATGTTTGTTCCTTTGTGGCACACTAGAGACCAAACGCCTGGACCGATTTTGATGATTCATACATCAATCGATTCGTCTCAATTATGGGAGTGCTACTAAAGATATCATAGTAATCAAAATTCAATATGGGCAAAAATAGTCGCCATATTGTGGACGAAGTAAAAAAAATAAGTTGACAAAATATGTCGAGTGGGGTATCACCGTCTAGATAATCAAAAATCATGTTTAGGTTCCTAACACTATTTTTCATTTTATGTGATTGTTTAGGATCTACAACGCTTTAAAGTTGTATATTAACCACTTGCGCTTTTAATTTCAATCTTACGTTTGTATGGATCTTTGTTACTCTTTCACCTAAAAATACTGAATGGATTTTAATGAAACTTAACAGTAATATAGCTCATATATGATAATTACATATATATAATAATTTATGTAGTTATTGAGTGAATTGGCCAATATATAACAATAAGGTGTCACGTGAGACGGAAAAAATCTCCCATCTGCGAGCCATTTTGGCCTGCACTGCAAAAACAATAAAAGTTACATGAATATAATGTAGAGTGAAAATGTATCTCTTAAATAGTTCTAAAAAAAAGTCCGTGACACCATATATCTATTTTTAATGTGTAAGTCATTACCGCTAAAATAGTGAATCAAAACTATAATATTATTTGACATCTATTTCCAAAATGCACATTTTGTATTAACAAATCATTTTTTATCAAAACAAATACTTTTATCGCTTTTGATATTTAAAGACGATAAACTTTGCGTTTTACACTATGTCATTTCGCCAAATATTTAAAAAGTTACAACGATGACAAAGTGATAGCGCGGTGTACTATGTAAAAGAAAAAAAAACGGGGTATTCGCAGTATCTGATCCTAAACGAAGTACTAACAATAAAACTGTGATACAGTTCCTTCTTATTAAATGATGAAAAATATATTATCATAATAGGTATTTATGATTATTGAATTTTAATGAAAAACTCAGAATTTTACTGTTTTTCATTTTTTAACGATATTACTTTATGTTACAAAAAAGGTTTACTTAATATAATGAAAAATAACCCATTTTTCGCTAGTAAGTACATACTTATTGGAACCCCTGTATTTATTAATCAGCTCGCGATAATATTGGTTTTGTAATAATTCTGCAAAATTCAAAGTAAATAATGTAGATTTTTATAGGTAAATCACCCCTTTCATCACCCTACGCCTATAAGTATTGCGATGTTGTAGCTAAGAACCAAGTTCCCATCTACTTCTATATGGGAATTCATTATATTCGATTTAGCTATTAGGGCACGGAAGCGCAACAAACAAACTCACTTTCGTATCTATAATATTATATTATACTTACTAGTCATCCACCCGGGCGTTGTACGGGCGAAATTTATTTATCGGGATAAAATATAGCCTATGTTACTCGGACAAAATGTATTTAAATAAAGAAAAATGTTATAATAAATAATGTAGCTACCTTATGATGAATTAATATTTGAAACCGGTTCAGTACTTTGAAAGATTATTTGTTACAAACATACAAATCTTGCCTCTTTATAATATTAGTATAGATAGTTAGGATAAGATAAGTAATTAATGATGAAAAAGATTTTAAAAAAAAAGGTAAATTTAAAAAATCAAAAAACCCGACTGCTTAATTATTATACTTCAAATAAAAACTGAAAAGAAAAAAACAAGTCCAGTAGTCTATAATTCTGTTAATAAGGAACAAAGCTACTTTAACAGTCGGGACCCATTAGATATTCAAGAATACATAATATTTTTCAACAGTGGGTCCCGACTGTTAAAGTAGCTTTGTTCCTTATTAACAGAATTATAGACTACTGGACTTGTTTTTTTCTTTTCAGTTTTTATTTGAAGTATAATAATTAAGCAGTCGGGTTTTTTGATTTTTTAAATTTACCTTTTTTTTATATAGTAGATATTAGAAAGTACAACTGATTAAACTCGAATTTAAAGAGTTCTGTTACTAACAATTACAACCCTATAAATTATGGCTTGTAATCACTGAGGTACCCTAAGAGCATTAAAATAAGAAAAATTAATAACTTATGTATCCATTTCACGTATGATTAATCATAATACAAAATAATCTCTTTGTGTAGATCGAAATGATTGACTGGAAAGTAGAAGACCTTAGCCCCAACAAGAACAAAGGTATACTCCGGCACATCATCGAACAAGGCTCTGGATTCGAAAGTCCCAACGATGGAGCTCTTGTAACAGGTAAATAAAATGAGATTTCTTTCAAACAAGGTACAACATACGACAGCGAAAAAATGCTTCTAACAAGAATTTTAGTCTCTTTTGTGATATTTTTAAAGACTTTGGGTATCTCAGTCCGTGTGTACCAACTAATTAGAAATGATATGGAAGTATTACAAAGGCCGCTAAAATATGATTCTAAACCAACGATATTAAATACCCTAGATACACCAACAAGAACAAAATCGTGCCTGTAACTTGTCCAAAAGGTACATTGAAAGATCCACGGAGCTCCGCAAGATGATCGCGTAGTCAAAATCAATATAAGGCATCATTTAAATATTGAAAGTAACCTTTAATGTATAAGATCTTAAATAAAACGCATGCGTCAACGACTTCTGACAGTTCGAAATGCAAGCTCGTAAAATTTTAGGACTTATTGATATATGCGGAAGAATTTAGACCTTAGTTCTTTGACCTAGCAATTCTGAACGCGCTGTTAGCAATATAGCAGGCACGGACCGCGAGGAAAAGAGACGGCTATATGGCGACGTATAACCGACCATGGATTTGAATATCGCAAATATTTTATATTAAATCAGTTTATTGTAAGTATTACATCAAAATTTACTTCAAATGCGTTAAATTAACAAACATTGACTAGATACCTGTCGAAAAACGACACTTTTCGTACTCTTAGTATTGTTTTAGCAATTTTTCGCGGAGCTCTGAGGCATCTTCACTTTGTAACGGTCCGCGCGTGACTGTGAACCAAGAAGTACTTGAGTGGAGTTAAGCACTCCTTAATTGGGACACATTTTGAGAGCTCGTGGTGTATCTACGGCATTTAAAATCGTTGTTCTAAACTCATACAACTAAACTTCAATGCTTGTTTTGAAGAAAATTTAAACATTTTTTTTTACATAAACAGCGTTAGCATCCGCGTAGTCGAGGACTGTGTCGCAGATGTTAGCGCCCACCTCTGAACAGACGGGCTTTTCAGGCTTAACCATTATAAATTACAATAAACAGAAATTCATGCCTGTGTGTATGTGTGTGTTTGTGTGGTGTGTGATACTAACGCGACACGCATACAGACAAAACAAAATACTTTGACTATTCGAATATGTGCAAAAGAAATCAGCAATCCAATTAATGTGAATTCCAATCAATCCAATGATCGTCGTGTTGATCGCATTTTTTTCGCCCCGCCTACTTTATCTCCGTTTGCGTGGAACAACTTCGTTTGCCATATTATTTATAACTAGCAAACCAGTGAACCAAATGTTCACCAAAACCTGATTTAAAAAAAAAATGAAAAAAACCGTTGAAACAGCACCACAGACGGACGGACGGACTTGTCTAATAGATAAGAGATTCGTTGCTGTGTACTTTAGAATTCAAAACATCAAAATGAACATTTTTATTGGGATAAAATCCCGGAAAATCTTCTACCCATGGACCAATAGGACTTGAAGTATTTTCTCTGATAAATTGTGTGACTCATCCCAATGCATTAGCAGGTTCTGCGTTATTGAATAACTATAACATGACATAAGTAATGCCAGAACTTTACTTGGTTATTCATATTTGCTGTTTGTAAACTTGACAATCATCATCATCAGCCTATTAATGTCCCCAATGCTGGGGCACAGGCCTACCCTATGGATGGAATAGGGAGATTGGGCCAAGACCCACCACGCGGGCCCAGTGCGGATTGGTGTGTGCTGACGACTGCAGTTGCACCTGGGACCAACTGCTTAGCGTGCCATTCGAAGAGCTCGAGATAGTAAATTTTTGGTGACCCATCCAATGGCCGACCACTGAGAAAGTTGCTTAACTTCAACGATCGCAGCCGAACGCGCTTACCACTTGCGCAATCGAGCTCTTGAAACTTGACAATAGTCCTTATCATCATGCTTCATAAGGAATGAAAAGGGCAGACTGATGTGAAGTTTGCAAATAGATTTGCTATTTGCAATCTTGACGTCAGTCTGTCCTACGAATAGCCAAGTGAATAGCCGACTGATTATCATCATCAGCCTATTAATTTCCCCACAGCTGGGGCACAGGCCTTCCCTATGGATGGAATAGGGAGATTGGATCATTTAACCCCCACGCGGGCCCAGTGAGGATTGGCGAGTGCTAACGATTGCAGATGCAGCCGGGACTAACGGCTTTACATGCCTTCCGAAGCACGGAGGAACTCAAGATAGAAGATTTTTGGTCACCCATCCAAAGACTGACCACTGCGAAAGTTGCTTAACTTTAACGATCGCAGCCTAACGCGCTAACCACCCGCACCATTGAGCTCCTCAATATAAGTAGCCGGCTTATATTAGGATAATTAAACAGTGGTGTCGATTCTAGCATGATTCTCTAAACCTGAACTTAAAATTGACAACAGTGTATCCTTGTCGTTCTCTATACAGAATGAAAAGGAGAGGCTGATGTTAAATTTAGTTTTAGGTTTAGAGAACCATATATTGTTTTAAACTTTCATGGTCACTAACATTATAGTAATATAAGTTATTTACGGGATTGTTACCATGTACCATGTTAGTTGTAGTGATTGTTACCATGTAACATCAGTTACTCCGTGATCATGGCGCTTGCAACAGTGCCGAAATATCGGAAACTCGCTAAAAACAAGGTACATGGTAACAATCCCGTAAATAACTTATATTAGAGAATCATGTCAGAATCGACACCATTATCTTATATGTATATAAAATTCTCGTGTCGCGGTGTTTGTGGTTAAACTCCTCCGAAACGGCTTTCCCGATTCTCATGAAATTTTGTGTGCATATTGGGTAGGTCTGAGAATCGGACAACATCTATTTTTCATCCCCCTAAATGTTAAGGGTAATCCACCCCATTTTTTTTTATTTTAGTTAAAAAAAAATCTTTATGAGACATACAAAAATACATACAACCCTAAATTTTCACCTTTCTACCGCCAACCAATATTTTTTTTATGGCGGTACTAAGTTCGCTGGGACAGCTAGTATTCTATAATACCGTGGATTATAGCTAGAATTATGTCCTAGGTGATTTGAATTGGTTTTAGTTTAATTTAATGTATAAAATACACGTTTCGCAAAATAAATCTAACAACAAAGAGAACAACTATGTGTATTTGAGACAAATCTTTTGTTGATTCACACTTTGGTTCACGTCAAAAGGTGAAAGTTGTTGGAACATGACACCTTAGCATTGTAACGTTTGTAAAATGTGAATTGTGTCGCCTACAATGCTGAAAGGCTAGCTTCACCTTAACATGAGTTTGTTTTATGAATGTCAAAGAGTCAGATTTATCTTACGTTGGATTCCCAGTCCAGTAAAAGAAAAATATTCTAGGAAAGGGTTTTATGAGGAGCCTGATGGCGCCGTAGTGAGTTTCTTCAGTCTGTGATCGAGAAAGTTAAGCAACTTTCGAATGGCCAGTCATAAGAACTGTACTCGCATTGTATCCACGCGGACAGGCAGCAGACTTTTCGCTATCTGGGCGAGAGCACTGACCATTATGCTACCGCGGCCCTGATGGCCGTGTCGAATTCTTTCTAGCCTTTCTTAAGCAGCAAGGCAGCGCCTACTCTCCACATTGTAGGTAACCGACAATGTCAAATGAATACCTTTACAAGTATTAAACATTTGAAAGAAGAAAAGGATAAGTTATAATACATACATACATTTGACATAGTGGGTTACCTACAATGTGAAGAGATGGCGCTGCCTTTCAGCTTAAGAAGGGCTAGAAAGAATTCAACACGGCCATCAGGATCCCGGTAGCATAATAGTCAATGCATTCGCCCGGATAGCAAATGGTGGGGGTCGAGTCCCGTCTGCTGCCTGGTCAGCCTGGAATTTTCTCTAGTAATATTTTCGTTAGGTTTAAACATTGAGCAGTTACATGCTTAAAAAATCAAAACTATAACTAGTAAAATATTTATGTTTTTATTTATTTTTAAGCATTTAACTGCTAGTTGTTTAAATCTAAAGAAAAGTTTACTAGAAAAAAATCCACGCGGCCCAGGCAGCGGACGGGACTCGAACCCGCACCCTTCGCAATCCGGGCGAATGCACTGACCATTATGCTACCACCTATTTACGGCCCTATTCGCCGCGTCGAAATTTTCCTAGCTTTAAGCTGCAAGGCAGCGCCTACCTACAATGCGAAGAGATGGCGATGCCTTGCAGCGTTAATGCACGAGTGAAACGTCAATAAATAAATAGAGTTTCCTGCATTAACCCGTTAAAAACTAGTTTTATTTAGTAAATTATTCTTTGGATGGAATTTAATGTACTATTTTTCCACGTTCGTAGTTGATCTCGAGGGTAGACTGGTAGCGGACGGCAAAGTTTTCGACACTAGAACGGTCACTTTCAACCTAGGCGAAGGGATAGACAGCAACATTTGCGAAGGCATAGAGCGAGCACTGGAGAAATTCCTGAAAGACGAAAAGTCGCGAATAACCATCCAACCGAAATACGCGTTCAAATCTGAAGGAAATGCGGCTTTAGGTGTCCCACCTAATTCTGCCGTCGAGTACGTAGTCACACTGAAGAGTTTCGAGAAGGCGAAAGAGTCGTGGACAATGGACGGCTCGGACAAGCTGGAACAGGCTAAGATGTTCAAGGAGAAGGGCACCAATTACTTTAAAGCTAGCAAATTCCAATTGGCGATTAAAATGTACAAAAGGGTGATCACATTGGTCGACGGTAAGTTCATTTATTGTATCATACGAGGGCGGGATGATAAGTAACTTTTATAAAATTTTGAAAACAGTTGACGAAATATATATTTTCAAATGACAAAAAATCAATAAAATTTTCGCGCCACCAAATTTTAATTTAGAACACAGGTGGCCAGAGATACGCATTTAAAAATGACATATATTTTTAAAATTTTATCTTTTTAAATAGCAGAGGCTACTTATCATCCCGCCCTCGTAAAAGTTATAATAAGACTTTCACAATGTCAATCTTTACAGTTACACTGTTTTTAGGGTTCTGTACCTTGATAGGAAAAAACGGAACCCTTATAGGATCACTTTGTTGTCCGTCAGTCCGTCCGTCTCTCAAGACCCATTTTCTCCAGAACGCGTGGAGGTATCAAGCTGAAGTTTATATCAAACGGGTCTACTGTCCCTTGGAGTTGTGAAAAAATCAAACTTCTAAGCCAAAGCAATCAAAAGATGCAGCCGTTTATGCCGCAAATTTTCGAAATTCGCAATGGAATCAAAACCTGCCGGGGTACTTCCCGTGAAGTCAGTACCTTGAAATTCACCTCGATGCGCGATTCCGATTAGCACTTGGCCGGTTTTTTTCGTTTAATGAAAGTTTTCATTTTTCAAACTCAGTACCCTTAGTATGAGTTTGAGCTCAAGAAAACTATCATTGTTTTCGTTTCAATACAAATAAACAGTGTTTAAATTCTATCATTAAATCATTCTTAAATTTTAAGTATTAGTTTTTACCAATATGGACATAGAAACATAATTTACAATTACGAAAACTATGATAGTTTTCGTGAGCTCAAACTCGTACTAAGGGTACTGATTACAGAACAGCAATGCGTGGCACCAAAGCCAGTACTAAGTCAAAAGTAAAGACTTTTTTGTCTTTTTTAACAGTTTTTACAACGTTTGACAAGGCGGCACAGTTTTGATATTAACTTGATATTCACGGGACGTATTCACAAAACGATTTCAATATTCACAATACTGACGCGAATAGATGTTAGCTTTTGAGTCCGTATTTGCTATGGTGCCACGCATTGCGTGTTCTCTGCGCTCTATCTGACTTTTGTTCTGTAATCTGAGTCTTCAAGTATAAGAGATAACATAGAAAAACTTAAGAACTATCATTACATTATTGACATGATCACTAATAAATTATCTATCAGAATTTAGAGTTTTCACGTTGGCCTAAAAGTCAGTCGTAATGATTTATCTGATATTGTCTATATTATTGATTAAAATATATCAATAATCAATACTATTGAATAATCAGAATGTAAATATTCTTTGTGTTCACTTATACAATAAAGTCCCAAGCAATATCCAAGGGTTAAACCAAGATAGTATAAAAAAGCACTTATTAAAAAAGCTTATTACAAGTGTCTGATTATATTAAAGACAGAAATGCTTGGGTTTAAACTGTTCCAATCATTCCAACAGGTTTTCTATATTAAATAAATCATGATTGTATTGACGTTGTAACAACATAGTGATTTGTAGATATTATTGAGTTTTTTCGCTCGTTTTCCTCTGCAGCTAAAAAATAAGTCCAATAAAGAGTGTTTGGGAAAAAAAATTTGGACGACTCAAAAGAGTTGTACTATATATCCAATTTGAATAAAGATATATTGATTTCTGATTTCTGAATAGTATATATATATTTTTTTCTATCGTAGTATCTTTTTGTCCATATATATCTATTGCTGCAACTGCATATATCTTTTGCTGCAACACTACTGCAAACCCTACAAAGCAGATAACATAACATTTCCCCCATTACAGATATGCCTGAAGACAATAGCGAAACCGAGGAAAATAAGGAGCAAGCTAAAGAACTGCTAATATCTGCCCATTTGAACTTAGCTCTAGTGTACCTGAAAGTGACTCCGGTCCATCACTTCGAAGCCAAAGATCACTCTACGAAAGCCCTCAAATTCGACCCGAATAACGTAAAGGGCCTGTTTAGAAGAGGACAAGCGCTCCTAGGTCTCGGAGATGCTGAAATGGCGATGAAGGACTTCGAAAAGGTGGCCGAGGCTGAGCCACAAAATAAGGTATGTAAATGGAATGCTCTGCCTGCTCACCTGTTCCCTCCTTCTTACAACCTGGGATCCTTTAAAAGAGGCGTGAAGAAGCAACATGCAGGCCGGCAGGGTGAGGATGGCTGGTATGGCAGGTAGAACTGCTTTACCAGCTATCTTCGCGTCTGGACTTCACCATCACTTAACATCAGGTGAGGTGGAGTCATTTGTCGGACCTATCTATAAAAAAAAAGTATGGTGTGTTCAATTTTTTTTTTGTTATACTTGACTTCAGACTTGATAGCCAATAGGGTAGATCTGGAAGCTTGCAGCAGTCTACCAAGGCTGGTTGCCTTCTGGACTAATATATGCTGGCTGGAGTAAACGGGAATGTTTTGAGACACGCATAATGGTCCAATAATTAGGACTAAGTGCGGAAACCTCCCTAAAAACTAGACTAAACTAGGGTCCTTTCAGAATGTGTAGCTTGACAGTTAAATTAATAGGATTTTGGACACAATTAATGCCCAAAGCAAGATATAATTTGCAGGTCTTACAGCCGCACCAAGAATGTGAATTAAGTTTTGATTGTAATGTTATTGTTCTTTTTACCCGGCTGCGCAATGCAAGAGCGCGAAGCGCGACGCGCAGACAGGGTTATGTGTTTAACAGTCTATATATGTATGTTTGTTCCTTTGTGGCACACTAGAGACCAAACGCCTGGACCGATTTTGATGATTCATACATCAATCGATTCGTCTCAATCATGGGAGTGCTACTAAAGATATGATAGTAATCAAAATTCAATATGGGCAACATTAGGCGCCATATTGTGACGAAGTAAAAAAAATAAGTTGACAAAATATGTCGAGTGGGGTATCACTGTCTAGATAATCTAAAATCATATTTAGGTTCCTAACACTATTTTTCATTTTATATGATTGTTTAGGATCTACAACGCTTTAAAGTTATATATTAACCACTTACGCTTTTAATTTCGATCTTACGTTTGTATGGATCTTTGTTACTCTTTCACCTAAAAAATACTGAATGGATTTTAATGAAACTTAACAGTAATATAGCTCATATATGATAATTACATATATATAATAATTTATGTAGTTATTGAGTGAATTGGCCAATATATAACAATGTGTGTCACAAAAGACGGAAAAAAATCTCCCATCTGCGAGCCATTTTGGCCTGCACTGCAAAGACAATAAAAGTTACATGAATGTAATGTAGAGTGAAAATGTATCTCTTAAATAGTTCTAAAAAAAGTCCGTGACACCATATATCTATTTCTAATGTGTAAGTCATTACCGCTAAAATAGTGAATCAAAACTAAAATATTATTTGATATCTATTTCCAAAATGCACATTTTGTATTAACAAATCATTTTTTATCCAAACAAATACTTTTATCGCTTTTGATATTTAAAGACGATAAACTTTGCTTTTTACACTATGTCATTTCGACAAATATTTAAAAAGTTACAACGATGACAAAGTGATAGGTGTACTATGTAAAAGAAAAAAAATGGGGTATTCGCAGTATCTGATCCTATACGAAGTACTAACAATAAAACTGTGATACAGTTCCTTCTTATTAAATGATGAAAAATATATTATCATATATAAATAATAAAATTTACATACATTAGAGAATATCTCTTATGTATGTAAATTTTATAGTACATAAATATATGTAACGACTTGATTTAACTTCACACATTTTTGCGAAAATTGAGGCCCATCTGTAGCCTTGACCCCGCTGGTTAAGTCTTTATATGTCTTAATAAATCAATCTTTTGGACCGACGCCAGGTACTTAATAATTACCGCGATATTAATTCCCATACTGAAGTAACAAGACTACGGTATATACCGTCTTAAAATACTAACTAACTAAAAAGTGTGAAATAAAAAAGGTAAATTTAAAAAATCAAAAAACCCGACTGCTTAATTATACTTCAAATAAAAACTGAAAAGAAAAAAACAAGTCCAGTAGCAGTGTTGCCAACTCGGATTTTGAAAAAGGCGTAGGCCCGATGACAAAATTACGTAGAATTAGTAAAATTTGCATATGAAAAGTTCGTAGATCTACGTATTTTTTTCTGAGAGAAAAACGTTAAAACGAGTATTTTGTTATACAATTTATTTAATTAAAGGAGAACATAGAATTCTTGGAGAAGACGCTACATTGGCAGCATTTACCATGCTGTGGTAGACATTTACCATCAGACACAGACGCTGCTAGGTGTCAATTTTGGCATAATTCTCTAAACTTAGCACTAAATTTAACATCAGTCTCTCCTTTTCATTCTGTATAAAGAATGACAAGAACACACTGTTATCAAATTATCAAACAAGAATGACAAGTTAAACTGTTATCAAAGGGTAGTTGACACTTTTTGAAAATATGTTTTAAATGGTTAATAATTGTTATATTAGACCGAAAAAAATGTATTGTAGTAATTATCATGATTGTATTATGCGAGAATGTAGAATCACAACGTTAAGGACTCCAGAAAAGTTGTGGTTTAAATTGCCCAGAGAAATAAACATATCTGCACATGAACACATGTTTAAAACTTTCTAAATCCTGTAACTTTATCGACTGAAAGTCATTTCTTTTTGCAAAGATCACTTCGGTGTAAGTACTGATTCAATAATATTTTAAGTTTAAAAATAAAATTTTTAAGTTTATTAATGTACCTACTAAGTAAGAGAGCTTTGTCGTTTCTGCTTTTACTAATTCGGCGTCCAGCATTAATTTAGTCAACAAAACCAATAAACGGAAACTCTTCTACAAGATATAAGAGTTTTTAGATATATTTTAGTCCGAAGAAAGAAACCATAGTAACACAACAATGACGTTTAGTTGTTTACAAATTTTGTGACGTCACAATCATGGCGGACAGGGTTTTCAGTGTTTAAAAAGTATAGACTAAAAATATTTTTTTCTAATTAGATTCCTACAGCCATCTTCTGATTTTGTGAAGTGAAATCGATGTATTTAAGTTCCTCGTACCAAAAACTATAAGAAATAAACATTTTTATAGTTTATAAGTAATGGAAAATATGATTCCCTATTCTAGTGAGTTATGTTATTTTGCAAATTTGTACAAATTAAAAGAAAATACGTAGATTTTGGGACTGAAGTTAGTAGGTTTGCAGAAAAGGCCTAAAATACGTAGATCTACGTAAAAAGACGTAGAGTTGGCAACACTGTCCAGTAGTCTATAATTCGGTTAATAAGGAACAAAGCTACTTTAACAGTCGGGACCCATTAGATATTCAAGAATACATAATATTTTTCAACAGTGGGTCCCGACTGTTAAAGTAGCTTTGTTCCTTATTAACCGAATTATAGACTACTGGACAGTGTTGCCAACTCTACGTCTTTTTACGTAGATCTACGTATTTTAGGCCTTTTCTGCAAACCTACTAACTTCAGTCCCAAAATCTACGTATTTTCTTTTAATTTGTACAAATTTGCAAAATAACATAACTCACTAGAATAGGGAATCATATTTTCCATTACTTATAAACTATAAAAATGTTTATTTCTTATAGTTTTTGGTACGAGGAACTTAAATACATCGATTTCACTTCACAAAATCAGAAGATGGCTGTAGGAATCTAATTAGAAAAAAATATTTTTAGTCTATACTTTTTAAACACTGAAAACCCTGTCCGCCATGATTGTGACGTCACAAAATTTGTAAACAACTAAACGTCATTGTTGTGTTACTATGGTTTCTTTCTTCGGACTAAAATATATCTAAAAACTCTTATATCTTGTAGAAGAGTTTCCGTTTATTGGTTTTGTTGACTAAATTAATGCTGGACGCCGAATTAGTAAAAGCAGAAACGACAAAGCTCTCTTACTTAGTAGGTACATTAATAAACTTAAAAATTTTATTTTTAAACTTAAAATATTATTGAATCAGTACTTACACCGAAGTGATCTTTGCAAAAAGAAATGACTTTCAGTCGATAAAGTTACAGGATTTAGAAAGTTTTAAACATGTGTTCATGTGCAGATATGTTTATTTCTCTGGGCAATTTAAACCACAACTTTTCTGGAGTCCTTAACGTTGTGATTCTACATTCTCGCATAATACAATCATGATAATTACTACAATACATTTTTTTCGGTCTAATATAACAATTATTAACCATTTAAAACATATTTTCAAAAAGTGTCAACTACCCTTTGATAACAGTTTAACTTGTCATTCTTGTTTGATAATTTGATAACAGTGTGTTCTTGTCATTCTTTATACAGAATGAAAAGGAGAGACTGATGTTAAATTTAGTGCTAAGTTTAGAGAATTATGCCAAAATTGACACCTAGCAGCGTCTGTGTCTGATGGTAAATGTCTACCACAGCATGGTAAATGCTGCCAATGTAGCGTCTTCTCCAAGAATTCTATGTTCTCCTTTAATTAAATAAATTGTATAACAAAATACTCGTTTTAACGTTTTTCTCTCAGAAAAAAATACGTAGATCTACGAACTTTTCATATGCAAATTTTACTAATTCTACGTAATTTTGTCATCGGGCCTACGCCTTTTTCAAAATCCGAGTTGGCAACACTGCTACTGGACTTGTTTTTTTCTTTTCAGTTTTTATTTGAAGTATAATTAAGCAGTCGGGTTTTTTGATTTTTTAAATTTTTTTGAGATGAAAAAATAATATGGCAGCATTTGACTTTAGCTCGATGGCGCAGGTGGTTAGCGCGTTCGGCTGCGATCGTTGTAGTTAAGCAATTTTGGCAGTGGTCGGTCATTGGATGGGTGACCAAAAATTTCTATCTCGAGGTCCTCCGTGCTTCGGAAGGCACGTTAAGCCGTTGGTCCCAGTTGTATCTGCAGTCGTTAGCACCCGCCAATCTGCACGGGGCCCGCGTGGTGGGTCATGGCCCAATCTCCCTATTCCATCCATAGGGAAGGCCTGTGCTCCAGCAGTGGGGATATTAACAGGCTGATGATGATTTGACTTTAATCATAATCACCAAATACGGCTATTGGGAAATCGGACTTAGTGTTTTTGTTTTCTTTCTTAGGGTCGGTCTCAGCACTGCAAGGAATTCATAATCATCAAATTAACAATATGTTTAACTCAAAATATAAACTGCCAAAATTATCATTACTTTTTAAATGTACCACAACGATATTAAATACCCTAGATACACAACGTGCGCTCAAAATGTGTCCCTATCAAGAAGTGCTTGAACACTTCTCAAGCACTTCTTGGTCCACAGCCACGCGCGGAACGTTGAAAAGTCAACATGTCTCTGAGCTCCGTGAAAAAATGCGAAATAAATACTTATAGTATGTAAAATGTCGTTTTTTCGACAGGTACCTAATCAATGTTTGTTAATGTAACGCATTTGAAACAAATTGTGTTTTAATACTTACTATAACCTGATTTAATAGAAAATATTTGTGATATTCAACTGCATGGTTGGTAATATAGTCGTCTCTTTTCCTCGCGGTGGTCCTTACCTGCTATATTGCTAACAGCGCATTCAGAATTGCGTGTAGAGTCAAAGAAATAAAGTCTATATTATTCCGCATATAGCAATGTCGTAAAATTTTACGAGCATACATTTCGGACTGTCCTAACTCTTTGACGCATGCGTCTTAATTAAGACCATATATAGTGTACTATAAAGGTGATTTTTTATTGTTTAAAAAATGCCTTATATTGTTTAGATTACGCGATTATCTTACGGAGCTCCGTGGATCGTCCAATGTACCTTTTGGACAGGTTTCGGGCATGATTTTGTTCGTGTTGGTGTATCTAGGGTTATTTAATATCGTTGTCGTACCATTACTTTCCGTTCTTTGTTTTTTTCATAATAGTTTTAAAATAATAATGTTACAATTACCTTTCACAGGCCGCTGCCAACCAGATCCTGGTGTGCAAATCGACTATCCAGAAGCAGAAGCAGAAAGAGAAGCAGCTGTACGCGAACATGTTCGACAAGTTTGCCAAGCACGACTCGGAGGTAACAGGTTGGCTTGAACTGAACAACACTACGCGTGTCTTTTTAAAATCTTTGAATTTCTTAATGTTATTCTGACGATGCAGACCCGAAAAGGCTGCGAAACATAAAGTTCGTGCATTAACTCGTTAAAAATAGTATATTTCTTAGTATCTAACGAAATATTGATGAAGTTATCAATATTTGTTTCAAACACAGTTTAGGACTATGAAAAATAGTCATACTATCGTATGTTCATTTAAAAACATCATCATTTTAATTTCATATTTAAGTACATAGGGAAGGCAATAAGGCCTATGGAATTATGGACACAATATAAAGAACAGATCGTAACCAATGAAATGATCCTAGTAAAGATTTGTGAATGCTAAGGGCTGCAGATGCAGCCGGGGCCAACTACTTCTCAAACATCCTGAAGAACACAGTGCAATAAGTTTTTTGTGTGATAATGAATATAATTTTGTGTATTGAATGTTTGTCACTGTTTGTACTGAAATAAATAAATTGTAAATAATATTAGCAGGACTATCGCAAGCTATTGGTGTCGATTCTGGCGCGATACTCTAAATTTAACATCAGTCTCTCCTTTTCATTCTGTATAAAGAATACACTGTTGCCAAATTTCGTCGTATCCCACGAAAACTGCCCCTATGATCATAAGGTCTTTTTTCTTTTATTTCTTTTTTACATTCTACATTAATTTAGGCATCTTTTAGTCTAATAACTGTATAATAAAGTTTAAAACTTTTCTTGATATTTCAATTAATTGTAAAGCCACAATTTCATGACGGGCAAAAAATACCTAAAATATAGACTCTATTGCCGTTAGAGCCATCTTTTAGGGCTGGAACTGTGTGCGTGCGGGGCGGACGGGAGGCGCGAACGCCGCTCGGTCAGTACTCCGCGGACCGCGATTGTGAGTGCATTTATCGTGCGTACTATAGTTTCTGAGGTATTAACCTAATAATGAGATGCTTTTAGTTTATGTAGTTATAATACTTGTAAATCACAGAACAAGGCCCATGTGTTGATTGGGGCTTTTTTCTGCGGAATTTTAAAAATACGAATGTATGGAAAAGAAGAAGCCGTAATGGCGTTAGTGTCTTTATTCTACTTCAAAATATTTGTTTTGACCTAATTAATGAGTTTTGGTTATATAAATTAGGTTAGTTGCTATCTTTTAAATACTAAACGAAAGGCATCTCAGATTACAATGCGTTTTCATCTTATTTATTAAATAAATACACGTCATTCCAACAAAGTAATATAAAGTCTATAAAGGCTGTTTCGTACCTTCATTTCATAATTCGAGACAAAATTCATACATTTGCGAATGTCCTACACCGCATAAGACTTTACCATCCTGAAGGATTTACCTTTTTTTACAGATGTTACCATCGATATAAGTAATTGTATTGATTCTCCAGTGCCTTCGGGTTGTGAACAAAAGATCAAGTTCTTATTGCATGTTGAAGCAGAAGAATTTTTAGAATTAAACAATAATGATGATTTGCCAGACCTTTTTGTTACTATAGAAGAGAAACAGAACATAAAAATAAAGAAAAAGACAAAGTACAAGAAAAAAGGGTAGAACTACAAAGACAAAATTGTATACCATCATCACCAAAAAATATTTTAGAAGAACCAGAGGTTCTTGAGGATGAAATGATACTATCAGAAGCTGCCAATACAACTATTGATTGCCCTGAGTGAACACTTATCAATTTTGACGTTTGATTTAAATTTTAACAGTCCTACTTTAAGCTTCACGATTCCATCTCCATTATAGTCCACTATTTCTTCCCCGGTTGGTTTTCCTTTAGATTGTAGTAACAAACGGCGTTCTGGTAAGGTCGGTACTCGAAATGATACAGAATGGAAAGATCTTAAAAGAAAAGCACTCAAAAATCTTGAAATCTTGTCTGTCACTCCTTTGATATATGGCAAAAATACTGGTTGCTTTCCTACTTTGTGTGTCAGGTGCCTCAACAAAACAAGATTTCGAACATACTTAATAAGTACTGACTGAATACTGTCTTCACTCCTTTATAAAAGCGTCACAGTTTCTACGATCTCCCAAAGACAACTTCCCTTTGGAGAAACCTGGTGTATACAAGATCGACTGCAGGTGTAGTAGTTCGTATATTGGCCAAACGAAGCGGACAATAGCGTGCCAAATAAAAGAACACATAAAAGCAGTCAGAAACAATGATACGCAAAAATCAGCTATCGCGGAATATTTAATCGATTCGGGTCCTAATCACTGGATTGAGCTCCATAATCCACAAATCATCTCGGCAGAACGCCACTACATACCAAGATTGGTCAGGGAAGCGATTAAAATAACCAAACACAAAAATTTCAATCATGAGGATGAGTTTAAATTGTCAAGTGTCTGGAATCCAGCGGTTCGTATGTGCAAAAATCGCAAAAACTGTGAGTATAGTGTGTCGGGAACAGTTGCGAGTGAATAGTGAGAATGTCACCAATGGTAGGTATCGAGCGCAGTAAAAGACGGCGTCGGAGGGTAGACCGATATATCTGCCAATAACATCTACCCGCAATTACTTCAGTTACTCCGTGATCATGGCGCTTGCAACAGTGCCGAAATATCGGAGACTCATAAAAAACAAGGTACATGGTAACAATCCCGTTAATAGCTATAAAGTTTAATATAGAAAGTATAACCCACCGCTTCCTTGAAGTTGGGCACACACAAAATGAAGGGGACAGTGATCATTCAGTTATAGAAGGAGCTTCAAGTAGGAAGACTATATATACTCCCGACCACAGGGTAAATCTAATCAGATGGGCTAAAACTAAAGGCGAAGCATACAGAGTCTTTACTTTATGGGAAAAAATTGATTAAAAATGATGACAGAGAAAAGGTAGTATGGAGTAAGATTAAAGAAGTGCATAATACTAAAGAAAATGTTAATGTAATAAAATATAAATATGATCTTAATGAAGAATATGAAACAATAACAACATTAAAAAAAAGTAGAAGAGGAAAAAAAATAATATCGGATCCAGAAGTCCAACTTGCCAATACGACTCCTATTAAAGTTAAATATGATAAATACAAAGACTTAGTGACTATGTGTGACTCAAAAATAATTCCTGATGAATTTCATTAATTTTTCCGAGGATTACCGTATGAGCAAATACTGTTAGGGAATGATAACAATACAGAAAATACTGACGAAGAAGATAATTAGTGAGTTAAATCTTAAACCGAAAACTTAAGTAAGATATTTTGTATAGATGACTAGATGTGGATAAGACTGATTCAATAATAATCAAAGGTGTTAAATTTTGTTTTTGCTATATGATTATCAAAAAATTAAGAAGTAATCATGTTTTTGTAATTTTATGTTACGTTAATTTGATTATCTGATCTGAATTAGTTAAGGCGTTTTAATATTAATAAGAAAAAAAGCGTTTTGGTTTTGGTTATTTTTTGTTAATTATTACAGTATTTTTTTATATATTATGAGAGGTAATTAATTTTTTATAGTGTCATCCTCTTTTTGTTCTTAGCACGAATTTTATTTAAAAATAAACAAACTTATATATTAAAATAAGTGTTTATTTTAATACAGCAGGTACGGTAAGTATTTTATATAATTATATTAAGTAACCTGATAGTTTTATCGAGCAATGTAAATAATGATACAGCATTTATAATATTTTGAAATAACCTAATGGCGATTGTTGCATTAACATTTCCAAGGAAAAGGGTTATAATATACCTTAGGACCCATGTTGGGTGCTTTTTAGTGGCAATATAACGGAGAATAAGGAATTAAGGGGTATAACTATTCAAAAAATCATTATTATTACCAATAAAATTACTCAGGCCAACTACAAGATGCAAAAACTACATAGTGGCCCACCCTCGCTTCACTTCGGTGTAGAACTGTAGTGTAGACTATAGTTTTTGTTCTCCTGAAAAGTTGCTGTTTTGCAATAACGCCCCTTTTCGTGGGATACGACGATTTAGGTTTAGAAAATATACTGTTTCATTGCTCACCATATTATATTTCACCTCTGTTAAAAATTAATAATCAATACATTACTAAGACGACAGCCGAGTGGTTTGTACGCCGGGTTACAAGAAGTCGCCTTCTCGAGAGGTCCCGGGTTCGAATACCGGCGGGGGTAGATGTTTGTGTAATAAATACGAGCATTTGTACTCCAGTCATGGAGGTTTATTATCTATTTAAATATACATGCCCATAACACAAGCTTGCAGTGCTTACTTTGGGGCTAGGCTAATTAGTGTGTGTTGAAATATTTGTTTATTTATTTCTCTATTTCTCTCGCACAGTTGGAGAAGATAAGAGCTAAAGAAGTGGTAGACGTTATAGGCGAGAAGGTGGGAGAATGGGGGGCGGGTGAAGGCGAGTGGACTGACGAACAGAGAGACAGAAAACCAACGGAATTCGAGAGGGAGAACCCCAACATACTGATGCTGGACAAGGAAGGACAATTCAAGAACATGTGAGCGACATAAGGATGCAAATAACAAGTGACAGAGGCCTACTTTGAACCGAGCGATTGGAGGTTATGGCAAGGTTTTTTCATGTTACTGTTTAAAGTTCAAAGTTACATATTTGTAAATTAAGTCGTTCAACTCTGAGTAGTTCACACTTGAGCCATGAGACGGAGTTAATGTTTGTAAATAGCTCTCTTTATTAGTTATTTTATTGTGATATCATATTTTAATCACTTTTGTGAATTAATAATAAACGTGCAATATGAATAAATAATGAACTTGGTGAACTGCATACGTATTCTTAAGAAAGATGGGCACACGCCGATAAGTCCTCTTTCTTTGTATACATAAAAGACGTCATTTAAATTTAATGACGCAAATTGGTTAAGTTCTATGGGTGATTTGTTTATGAGCAATTCTTTCCGTAAGTTGGCTTGAGTCAATGAGGGCTATCGCGTATGAAGCCGCCGCTAGAGGCGCTAGTGTAGCGTGAGGTCTCCGAAATGTCAAAAATGTTATTGCTTGTTGGTTGACTACGCGGGTTTATTACTTATTAAAATAATGTTCTGAATAATTGGTAACAATTCGGCTTAATTATGGCAAATATGAGTTATGTGGCAATGAATGTCAGTTATTAAAAATTTGAGCTTAGAAAAATGATTATGTTCCCATTTTTGCCCAATAAAACGGAACTGCGCGTCACTGTGGCATGGCCTATTATGTTTAGGATATGGTTCTTTTGTGTTAAAATACGATCTAAATGTAACCTTTGATTTAATGTGCGTATTAATAAACTTTAAAAGTTACAATTTAGGACCTCACTCAACAGTGGCGCAATCTGGTGAGGCAGAAAACGGTAGCCCTCATTGCAATCCCACAAACACAGTCATAGGTGATTATGTAAATTTCACAAAATATGTATTTTAAGAAATACATTTATTTTGCTACATGGCTGTGGTGACATTGACTTCAGTTACTGTTTAGAAATCTGCCATACTTCAAAAATCAGCTGTGCCTATATATTAATTAATGATACGTTTCAAAGTAGGCTTGGTCAGTTTTAAAGTTAGATTATTTCACTAGAGCCAAAAGCAACTAGTGTTATAAATTTAGCGTCACCATATTATGAAGGATCTCCACACCAAATTGGTTTTAATTCGAATAATTAGGGTTTAGCGTTGTGCAATAAGCATTGTGTGTCTTATTATGGAATATTTCCATCCTTATGGTAGCACTCCATATTCGGTGTTTGGGTAATTAACTGCATTCCTTTTATTCGGCAAAAAGCTATCGAACATTTCAAATAATGAATACGCGGAAATATGAAATAAATTTCACAGATTGACGATATGCTAATTGTTTGTAATTTTTGTCAATGAAGCGAACAAAACGAATGATTTGTCCATTTAAAAAATCCTTTGCGATTATTTGTCAAACATCACAAAGTCCAAATATGAATAGCGATATGAAGTGCTATCTTTACTATTTAATGTTGTTGTGTATGGCCATAAGAAACTACTGTATTGATAAATTAACCGAAAATATTTTAGGGTAGAACTGAGACTGTCGCCCTAGCGCTCTGTAAATTCTTTTGAGCAGCAATTTTACCTTCTATTGCATACAAGCATTGTCTTTAGGGTGAGTTAGTTTATGTTAAAAGTGGATAACTTTATCACAAACCAAGAAGAGTAGTTTTAATGAATTATCAATAGAATAACATCTTCAGTTATAGGTATAGCAACGACCATAGACAAGGAAGCCTGCGCAGTTGTAATATTACGTACAAAAACATCTAGTGCGAACTTTGACTGGTTTTGTTGCTGCTACTTGTATATATTTCGATGTTAACTCATGCGGTTTTGTGACAGAGCTTAGTTTTGAGTTAAATTATGCGTACAGAAATCTGAATGGCTCAGATGACCAACTCAACAACTCTCATTCTAGAGTACGAAAGCTCAACGTGAAAGAAGGAGATGGTAGATAATATGTATAAATGAACAATGTTTATGAATATGTGTAGGTAATGATACTCTTTCATTCTCGCATCGTTTGTCTTTTTACCACAACATTAAAAAATTCGCTTACATTGATAGCATTCCTGTGAAAACTATGTATTTTAACAATAATGTTTATATATCTATTTATTTATGCACGCTTTGAACCCGTTTATAAAGTGTTTAATTTAATAATGAATTTAAACTTATGTCCACTCGCCTTGTAAATTGTTTACAATATTTTTATCATATTGATTGTCATCCATGAACTTGCGTGGAATATATCTTGTGTTATGGCACAACAGTAATTTATTGTGCACAATGATTCTGCCATGTTGTATGAGTTGCAAAAGATACGGTTATTTTTGGCAATGATTTTTGCATGTCTGATCAATTTGTAAGTAATTTGCAATGCAATGCATTTATTTACTTTCTGTATATAATATCTGTATAGTTCTTTGTGTATGTGATGGTGGCTAATATTTTCTCAGGATTATTGATTTTTCGGCACCATATTCCAGTGAACTCAATTTGTTGTTGTACCATGCCAGAATTGTAACCCGAAATGAGAATTTCTCGACTTTTTTTTACTTTGAATAGTTTTTGGCCACCGTCACATTAAACATTTTTTTGTAAAATTTTCACTTGCTAAGCATATTTTCGTTTTTGTTAATTTTGTTTTTATAAAGGTATGGCAGGTTCATCTAATACCAAGTTCTTGGATATTTTAAACTATTGGAAGTTGTAAATTAGTTTTTTTATACAAATATTGCGGGTTTACTTTTACGTTTGATTGAATACATTGTGATGTACGATTGTATTTGGTTTAAGAGTTATGAAAATAAAATTTAAATCTAATAACCCTGTTTTTATTCGAGTACAAATACCCAAAAAGGTTAAACGAAATATGCCAGGAAAGCCAGATTTTCTATCAAAATAGATTTATCATTTTCCTCTAAAGTTCATTTATTTTAGGATTCCTAGTGTGTGCAATTTTTACTTTTTACAGCAATATTATTGTGGTATGCTTGAGTATTATTGAGATTGCAGGAGATTTTAAATAATAAAAAGTTGATTAAAAATATATTTTATTAAAAAAAAAAAAGAGGAGTCGTAATACATGTCTTTCATTTACATGGTGAGATCATGAAAACAGTAAACGTAAGTATCTTACTCCAAAATGACGTTTTTTACGGCTGCTTGGAAAATGTTGCATAGCTTGGACACGGGAGGTGGCTATTTCATTAATGACCAACTGCCCAAAATATGGCAACATTTAATGTATACATACAGCGACAAATCCTGTTATGGTCAATAAATACTAGCGCTGAGACGGGGCGCATCGCAACCTCATTCAGAAACGGTAAGATCAAATTCACCCTTATCTCCACAACGTAAAGCACATATTCCTTCTGCGCAAATAATCAGCGGAATTAGCGAGTCTTCTTTTTATCTAAGTAGGAATATGTGCCTTACGTTGCGTAAACAAGGGCGAATTTGTTTTGTTAAGTTTCTGATTGACGCTTCGAAGTGGGCTATTTAAGAATAATATTCGAAATTATAAGAAATTACCATTACATACAAAAAGTTTAGTTTGTTCACAAAATGACTTAAAGAGCTCTTTTCAGCTTTGTATAAGATTCATAATCGGTTAAAATTTTTGATATGTTGTGGTTTCTCGATGTGTTGTTGCTGTACAATGGAGATCACATTGGCGTCTATAAAATTTGGCACTGCCTTTATAACCCAACCTATTTGAGGACGAAAATAAATGATAGAAAATGTAAACAATTTGGTGTGCACCAAAATCCTTTATTCCCAGTTGGCTCCGCTGAATGCCTCCGGAGCCAAATGGGAATAAAAATACTGAAGTGGGGGCAACGACTGCATTCCCATTTGCCTCCGGTGGCAATCCTTGAGGGTGCGACTGGGAATAAGGGACCAATCTTAAAAGCATTATAATAAAATTGTTATCTATAACGAACAACGTAAGGAAAGCTACTAATAAAAAAGATAATAACTTGGCCGGTCTGAAGTTAGCCATTTTGTTACACACAGTAGACTTCAATGTGTGCTCAAGATATGTCGATTTAACTGCAACTATACTCAGAGCACCCAATAACACCATTCTGCAATAAGTAAGATAGTGGGGATGAATCTATTGATGAATTTCTATTATTTACAATGTACATGTTCACTATAATATATTTATCAAATACAAATTTTAAATATGACTATGACACATGTCAATGGACTGTTTGACATGTGTCATAGTCATGCATGATATTCGTGAAATCGTGGTGAACTTATTATACCAATTTATTATTGATTCTTTTTGCAATAAAATACCCACAAAATACGTAAAATGTGATGAAAGATGAACAGAATAATTATCACTGCTTTAGTTACATATTGAATATGACTACGACACATGTCAATCAGTCCATTGACATGTGTCATAGTCATAGTGATCAAGTTGACGTTATAAGTTGCCACACACTAAAAATATGACATTACTTATGACAGAATGGCCAGCATCCTTACAAAATCGATAAATTAATTAAACACGATTTATTATTAATCGGGAATAAAATAAAAGTATCTCTGTCCATGTTATAGTATATAACATGCTTTCAAATTATATATGTTTCGTCACTGCCGGAAACCGATAACCACTTTTGAACTATATCCTTTCTCAAAAACTCTGGACTTGTTAAAAATACAATCACAATGCAACTTTGATATAAATGCGTTCACAAAGAAATGTTGCCAAAAGACACTTCCTGCTATCAATACAATGAAAGAGTTCCTCCACTCATTTACGATATAGAAAAAAATGTACATCATTCCAATAAAAAAATCAAGTCATAGAAGACATTTGCGAGAAGTCTCACTCCCGTAAATTATATAAACATTTGTACAAGTAAATAAACTTATAAAATACTTAAAAATCAACAATATAACTTAAACAGCGCGTATAAAATATACTTGCTTCATGTATATGCGCCGCCGATTGAAATTTTTATTGTTTCATAAACAGTTTTTTCATATGCAATTTAAAGATTAACCTGGTTTCTGAAAGGCTTGCTTGTCAAATCATATATCAACTAACATGTCTGGCAATTTACCAGCAGTTTTAAATAGATTTAAGTTTCTGAAGTCCCCTTTTAGTCCCCTTTTTCGTAAAATGTATGTTGATATTCTGCTGTAAAACGATAAATGTTATCATTCATCATCATGCTTTGTTTGGATTTCTTCAATGATTACCCACCCCCAGACCCCTCTTTCCCAGTGGGCACTTTGTTGACACCTGAGCCCCGCGATCGATAGGGGCCCCCCTCAGATCAAATATAAAGTCCCTAGTTCCTGACAGATCACAAAACGATAACCAATATTTATTGCCAAATAACTTACATAATTCGATGAAATCGAACCTAAATTACTGACTACAATACCAACTTACTAGCTTTTACATAAGCGAAGCTATTCTACTCTCGCCCAAAAATTAGGCTTTCCGACTTCAGCATGCTTAGATAAATTAAAATATACATATAATGGTATACTAAGCACATACATAGTTTTAAAGAAAAATCATCAGTAGTACATTCATTAGTATGATTCGCTCCATTTAAAGTCATAATCCACATCAAAGTCATAGGGGCCCCATTATCCTAATATGCCCAGGGCCTCCAATAGGTTAAAGACGGCCCTGCCCACCCCTCCAATACTTAGACAATGTATGTGCCCTTAATAACTGCTTTAAGTTTGTCCGGTGTGAGGGCCTGTCCGTTGTTTTAAACTCTATGTGAAAGGATTTTGTGCAAGGACTTAGGTGTTCTTGAACTAAATTTCGAGCTCTATCAACTGAAACTGACAGAATAATACATTCGATTTGACGTTTTGTAAGTTGATTTTTCGCTGATCAGCCTTTCAGAAACCGGGTGTAAGGGCCCTAGGTAACGAGACAATATCTACCCAGGTCTAGGCACGGTTTTAAACCGTGTCTACGTCCGGTCATCTGTTAAGTATACAATATGGAGGTTTGTATACGACACCGGCGTTAGCGACGGTTTGGAGTCAAAACCGTGCTTATCAACAAACTTAGCCGGCACTGGCCCGGGCAGAAAACATCTTGTTAATGCCTGCCTGCCCTTAGGCCTCATTTGCACGAGCGCTTTAAAAACGACCGTTCAAATGATGCTGAAATGAAACTGACGAGTGTCGTAGTACTTTCGATCACACGTCACAGATTTTTTTATTATACATTTACATATTTCATTACAGACTATATAAATATAATTACGTTTTTATCAGACGATTTTTTGATGTGTAAAATCTTTCCTCTCGCTTTCGTGAGAGTTCGTGCGAGTGATTACGTGTTGTGGGACGGAAGTGTGTAACAAAAAGTTTGGGAAGCGCGCGCTATTTGATTTGATTTTAGAACATTATGTTCAAATAGCTTATTCCTTTTGTAGTAGGTTTTATTTCTTTTTTTACTAATATAAGGTGAGGTTTCAAATGTTACACATCGTACGCGACTTCTGTAAGGCTCGCTCGTTTTTTTTAAACATGAACAAGCTTAGCCGGCACCGGCCCGGGCAGAAAACATCTTGTTAACAACCGCCCTTTGATCTCATTCGCACGAGCGCTTTGCAAACGTCCAATCAAATGATGCTGAAATTAAACTGACGAGTGTCGTAATACTATTCGATCATACTTCACAGTTTTTTTTTTCATTATAAATTTACATATTTCATTACAGACTATATAAAAATCTAATGATGTTTTTTGTCAGACGATTTTTATAAACAAATAAAACACATTCGTTGTCTTACTATATCCGGTTGTTGTACTTTTACAATCAATTAAATTATGTCTCTATAATGTAGTCCTATGATATCAATAAAATACTTTTTTTTTACTACAATAATCTTAATAATGATTTGTCATTAGGCCTATTTGTACACATAATTCTCTTCACAACACATGAATTTTACTAAGATTGTTTTGTCACTTATGTTTAATTTAATTTATTTACTTAAAGCGGAAGGAAGATTGTGTGTTAAAATATAAGGAAATGCTTGTTTTAACAGTTTAAAATGTCAAGTTTACGTTAACAACCGTAATACACCACAAATAAATAATACTTTAAAATAAGATCGCGAGTCTTATTTCATACCTCTTTATCTACAAAGAATAATTACCATGCAACATAGTTTATAACCCCATTTTAATAAATTTGAAATGAATACGTAGTATAATTTTTTACATAACTCAAAATATACAGGTTGTTACAAAAATACAAATAAATCTTGAAGGGCGATGAAGTACATCATATTAGGAATCTTCTCTAATTATCTTTATTACAGCAGATTTATTACCACTCCTGGTAAGGTGCATGACCTCGAACTAGTGACATGTCTTAAAATGATCGGTATTTTTATTAATCATTAAAAATAACTGTTTTTTATAAAAAGTTCAAACTTCTTGCCAATATTTTAAGAAAATTAGAGAACACTCCTTATTGAGATGTACTTCAACGCCCTTCAATCTTTATTTGTATTTTTGTAACACCCTGTATTATTGTGGGTAAATATACAATGTCATGACACGGCGCTGCCTTGCAGCCTAAGCGATACTATAAGACATTCGACGCGGCCATTAAGGTCGCGGTAGCTTAATTGCTCGGTGCATCCGCCCGGATTGCGGAGGGTTCGAGTCCCGTCTGCAGCCTAGACCGCGTGAATTTTTTTTCACTAGCAGTTAAATGCTTAAAAATAAACGATGTATTTTGTGTTATTACTGCGTAATAAGTTCAAGCTTTAATATTAATAAGGAGGCTTGTAAATGTGTGTCCAATGATAAGTTCTCACTACTGGTCTTCGTCTGACGAGTCAGTAGTTTGTGCAGCTGGCGGAGTGGAGTCTTGCATTCGCTTGAAGTTAGCCAGTACTTCGAAGTGAGTTTGCAGCGAGTTAGATGTGCCCGGTGAAGATGGCTCGTGCAAGTACCGGCTTATCTGTACGTGATAAAGTATAAAATTCAACAACAAGATCAGAACTATATATATACGTGTAGCACCATTTCGAATTAAAAACGATCATAAAATATTGTCCGATTGTTCAAAAGTCGTTTAGTATGCATCAATTTTATTAGAATACTAACTGTTCCAGCGAACTTATTACCGCCATAAAAAAATAGGGGTTGGCGGTAGAAGAGTGAAAATTTAGGGTTGTATGTATTTTTGTATGTCGTATCATAAAATAATAATAATATTTATTTATTTCATGCAGAGAAATGAAAATGAACAAAATAAATTATCTTGACCTATACATTTTTTTTGTTAACTGATTGTTTTGTTTGTTTTTACTAAAATTCTAAATATCTGCAAGAACCCCTCCATTGGTGAAGGCCTCCTCCAAAGAAGTAAATTTTTTCCTGTCTTGTATCATATAAAAACAAAAAAAAATGTCAAAAAAAATTTTTTTTTTAACGGTCCACTTACCATTTAGGGAGATGAAAAATAGATTTTGTACGATTTTAAGACCTACTGAATATGTTTAACACATTTTACGAAAATCGGTAGAACCGTTTTGGAGTAGTTCAATTACGCACACCGAGACACGAGAATTTTATATATTAGAAAAGTATATTTTATTTAATGCTATTTGAATTAATAGATTTGAAGCATGTTCAATTTTTACAAAGAGTAGAGTTCAAAAAGAGGAGTTCAAATTTTTTAACATTTCCTGCTGTATCGAATAGATAATAATTAAAGAACCGGGTTCATTGAGACTAATGCGTGAATTACGCTTCCACGCCTGAATCAACTCATGAAGATGAAAAGAGAATATTGTGCCCAAATCAAAGTTCTGTGGCCGTCGCGTCTCGGCAGGTAGGGGAGGTAATGGAACAAACACAGGCCTGGGATTATCCGTCCGTAGATAGGTCGATGAACCAGGGAGCCATTGGCCTAATAGAAATGCTTTGGAAAACGCTAACGCTTTCGATTTTATTTTCCGCGCGCTCCTCCCGTCCGATCCACACTCGGCCCGGGTCCCCCCCCCCTCATATCGCGGGGCTAGTACTGAGGGGGCTGGCCTCCCTCCCGGAGTGTGTGAGTACATACCCTCGCGCCCAGTTCGTGCAGCAAGGCGGTGAAGGCGCCCCCCCCCCCCACATATCGCGGGGCTAGTACTGAGTGTTGGAGTACATACCCTCGCGCCCAGTTCGTGCAGCAAGGCGGTGAAGGCGCGTTCCTCCCGTCCAATCCACACTCCCCCCCCCCCCCCTCATATCGCGGTGCTAGTACTGAGTGTGTGAGTACATACCCTCGCGCCCAGTTCGTGCAGCAAGGCGGTGAAGGCGCGTTCCTCCCGTCCGATCCACACCCCCCCCCCCCCCTCATATCGCGGTGCTAGTACTGAGTGTGTGAGTACATACCCTCGCGCCCAGTTCGTGCAGCAAGGCGGTGAAGGCGCGTTCCTCCCGTCCGATCCACACCCCCCCCCCCCTCATATCGCGGTGCTAGTACTGAGTGTGTGAGTACATACCCTCGCGCCCAGTTCGTGCAGCAAGGCGGTGAAGGCGCGTTCCTCCCGTCCGATCCACACCCCCCCCCCCCCCTCATATCGCGGTGCTAGTACTGAGTGTGTGAGTACATACCCTCGCGCCCAGTTCGTGCAGCAAGGTGGTGAAGGCGCCCCCCCCCCCCTCATATCGCGGGGCTAGTACTGAGGGGGCTGGCCTCCCTCCCGGAGTGTGTGAGTACATACCCTCGCGCCCAGTTCGTGCAGCAAGGTGGTGAAGGCGCCCCCCCCCCCCTCATATCGCGGGGCTAGTACTGAGGGGGCTGGCCTCCCTCCCGGAGTGTGTGAGTACATACCCTCGCGCCCAGTTCGTGCAGCAAGGTGGTGAAGGCGCCCCCCCCCCCTCATATCGCGGTGCTAGTACTGAGTGTGTGAGTACATACCCTCGCGCCCAGTTCGTGCAGCAAGGTGGTGAAGGCGCCCCCCCCCCCCCTCATATCGCGGGGCTAGTACTGAGGGGGCTGGCCTCCCTCCCGGAGTGTGTGAGTACATACCCTCGCGCCCAGTTCGTGCAGCAAGGTGGTGAAGGCGCCCCCCCCCCCTCATATCGCGGTGCTAGTACTGAGTGTGTGAGTACATACCCTCGCGCCCAGTTCGTGCAGCAAGGTGGTGAAGGCGCCCCCCCCCCCCTCATATCGCGGGGCTAGTACTGAGGGGGCTGGCCTCCCTCCCGGAGTGTGTGAGTACATACCCTCGCGCCCAGTTCGTGCAGCAAGGTGGTGAAGGCGCCCCCCCCCCCTCATATCGCGGGGCTAGTACTGAGGGGGCTGGCCTCCCTCCCGGAGTGTGTGAGTACATACCCTCGCGCCCAGTTCGTGCAGCAAGGCGGTGAAGGCGCGCTCCTCCCGTCCGATCCACACTCGGCCCGCATCCCCAACTTGGTATGGACTCACGTGCACATACACCGTTACATCTGCAAAAACACATTTATCGAATGGGTTCGAATCCCAGTGGGGGCAGATGTTTGTGTGGTGAATACGAACATTTGTACTCTAGTCGTGAATGTTTAATATGTGTTTCCATATAAATATCTATATGTATGTATAAGTATATGTATCTATAAATATATGCTTACTTTGAGGCTAGGCTAATTGGTGTAAATGTTGGAAATGTTCATTCATTTGCATTGCGGTACGGAAGATTATTATAGTAGGTTAAAATATAGTAACTACCAAGGGGATATTAATAGGAGAAAAAAAATGTTGATTGCATTCTCTATTTTTTTTGTTATGTGTTTTTGGTGTTCTGTCATAGAAGTTAAAATGCATTATATCATACTATGATGATTATAAATATAATAATGTATCTACGAGAACTCTGCCGACAAACTGCGTTGCAGTTTGGCAGATATAATGTAATTTTGTATGTAAAATTTTTTTTTGCTGAATAAATAAATAATAAAAAAAATATCTTTATTAGAATCGGATTTATACTCTTATAAACCTTTTAAAATATATATTACAAAATCAAATTCTACCATTCGTTATTGGAAATATTTTTAGCTGTGGAGATAAAGGAGCGAGATAAATTTATAGTTTAAAATACTAAAAACACGCTTTTATTAACTGCACTAAAAAGCCAAAAATAAACTTAAAATATATATACTCTCTGTTTACTTCGTGAGGGGTTAAAGTAAGCCATATTTATAGTTTATTTTAAGATATATATATCGATATGCGATCGATGCACGGTTCAATCTTAGTTTGTTCAGTTCGTTATAGCGGTTATGTATTTAATGATAATTGGCATTTGTTAATGATAATGATTCGATTCTGGTATGATTCTTTAAACTTAAAACTAAATTTACCATCAGTCTCTCCGTTTCATTCTGTATAGGGAATGACAAGGATACAATGGTGTCGATTCTGACATAATTCTCTAAACCTAAACTTAAATTTGACAAGAGTGTGTATCCTTGTCGTTCTCTATGCCGAATGAGAGGGAGAGACTGATGTTAAATTTAGTTTTAAGTTTAGAGAATCAAGGCAGAATCGACACCACTGTTGTCAAAGGACATGTTAAAATTTTGTATGAGCGACTGCCCTAGAACGTATAAATATTGCACTTGGTAATATTTAACGCTAAATGGCTGAATATTTATAATTTGTAGGAAAAATGGCGTAGGAACTTTTGATAAAGTTACAATCTTAAAAAAATATGAAAACTCCTATTACGTCACACTGCTTTGCTTCATTTGATAAAAAATATTGCCAATTATTTACAGAGCCATCAATTTCGCGTTTTCTTAGAATATTTCCTCACACTTCTCTGATTAACACTTCACAAAAAGCATTTTTAAAACAAAAACATTGCCCGCTTCTCAATCATAACTTTATGTTTAAAGAATCATGTCAGAATCAACACTAATGAATAAAAAAATAACTTCAACGATATTAAATAACGTAGATACATCACGTGCGCTCAAAATGTGTCCCCACCAAGAAGTGCTTGAACACGTCTCAAGCACTTCTTGGTTCACAGTCACGCGCGGACCGTTGAAATGTCAACATGCCGCTGAGCTCCGTGAATAAATGCGAAATAAATACTTATAGTATGTAAAATGACGTTTTTTCGAAAGGTTTGTTAATTAACCGCATTTCAAGCAAATTTTGTTTTAATACTTACTATAAACTGATTTAATAGAAAATATTTGATATTCAAATGCATGGTCGGTAATATAGCCGTCTCTTTTCTTCGCGGTCCGTATCTGCTATATGAGTCGTATAGTATCAAAGGCGGCAAAGTAGGGCGAATGTTTAGTCTCGTCTTTAAGGGAGGATAAAATATTGACATTTCACTAGGATTTGTAGTTATGATGAATGTCAATTATAAAAATCCTCCTTTAAAGACGAGACTAAACAGTATTTTTTGATTTGCCAAATATTTGGTTCGCCCTACTTTGCCGCCTTTGATACTATACGACTCATATTACTAGCAGCGCGAATTCAGAATTGCGCGTAGAGTCAAAGAAATAAGGTCTATACTCTTCCGTATATAGCAATAAGTCGTATAATTTTACGAGCTTACATCTCGGACTGTCATAACTCTTTAACCCATGCGTTTTAATTAAGACCTTATACAGTTTTATTTAAATGTGATTTTCAATGTTTAAATAATGCCTTATATTGTTTTGACTACGTGATCATCTTACAGAGCTCCGTTGTTCGTCCAATGTACCTTTTGGACAGGTTTCAGGCATGATTTTGTTCGTGTTGGTGTATCTAGGTTATTTAATATCGTTGAATAACTTATTTACCTGCTACTAGACTTCATAAAATCAATAATTAATTGAAAGGTCTTTGTGTTCGCTTATACAATAAAATTACCAAACTAAATTTAACATCAGTCTCTCCTATTCGTTCTGTATAGAGAATGACAAGGATAAACAGTTGTCAAATTGAAGTTTATGTTATGCCAGGGGCCCAATTCTCGCGGCATAGATATTATATCACCTTCGATATATCTCGAATGATCCGGCTTTTATCGAAGGAAAACCTTTTTGCCCTATTCTCACCATGTCGCAATAGATATTTATCTACGGATGATCAGTAGACATACATCGACTGGTGAAGAGCCTTCGATATATAAATATCTATGGATCTTGGCATGTCAATCTTGTTATTTCCACTTTTTTTACCTATTATTTATTGTGTTGTCGTGTGTCATAGCCAATTATTGTTACCTCAAGACGTTGTTACCTGCCTTCATAAATAATTAGTAAATAAAGAAGTAGGTAAACAATGGTGTCGATTCTGGCGTGATTCTCTAAACTTAAAACTAAATTTCACATCAGTCTCTCTTTTTCATTCTGTATAGAGAATGACAAGGAAACACTGTTGTCAAGTTTAAGTTTAGATTTAGAGAATTGTGTCAGAATCGACACCAGTTTATATTAACGATGGATGAGTTGATTCATGTTTTCGTCAATGATTTAATAAATGACGTGATTGCTGCTGCTGTGCTAAGGCGCCGCCGTTGTGAGTGCAAGAGGGCCCATTCGAAATGAGGGACGCCGACTTCATAAAAAAAAAATACGTTTAAACAAACATTTGGTTAGAAATCTATAAAGTTATGAATGACATTGGTATCGATTCTGACACGATTCTCTAAACTTAAAGCTAAATTTAACATCAGTCTCTCCTTTTCATTCTGTATGGAGAATGACAAGGATACACTGTTGTCAAATTTACGTTTAGGTTTAGAGAAGCCAGAATCGACACCATTTTCTTATTGACGATACGGAGTTTTTGGCGGGATTTCTGCGAGTGCGGTTGGCGTCTTATTTTAATTATTCTAAAATTCGTTCATGTTACAACCGTCTGCGCAACTGAAGAATTAGTGGAATCTTTAAAATATACGCTATTCCGGTCAAGTGGACGTGAGAACTTTATTGTAGTGTCGACTACCTCACAGAAGCTTATCGAAAAAGCCAACTCCATAAATTTCGTGCCAAACACTCCAAGAAATATTAGAATGCGTTACACCGACATTGTAATGTAAAAAAAAGAAGATTAATATAACTAAAGACTAGGTTGTATGGGCATTGTTTCCTTTGCCTTCCTTGAAAAGGGAGAATCTTAAATAATATTGACGTTTCATTATACATAACGTTGAAATTAAACGCAAATACAATTTAGGTAAAGTTGAGATTTCTTATACTCAAAAAATGTATACTCATATTTAATATGAATGGAATTCATAAGATATAAAATATCATTTTGTTGCTTGTAAAATTCTGCTCTAATTTATTATTATTTTATATAGACTATGATGTTAACTTAATCGAAATAAACGGAACGCATTCGGCAGTGAAAGAATATCTACGATAGATATAAATATCATTGGAATATCGAAAATCCACGAGAATAGCATTTTTTACCATCAGTAGATATTTTCAATAGATATCCCTACTTTCGATATTATCTCGAAGCCGATATAATATCTACGCCGTGAGAATTGGGCCCCTGAATCGACACCATTATCGCATAATAAAATGATACATATGTCTAATTACCGAGCCTAGTCAACGTCTCCAGAAGACTACGCGAGGTGATCCAGGTATTCTTACCGCCCGCATGACCTCCGTCCAGCCAATACATTTCCTCCACTCGTTCCATGAACCTAAAACAATGTTTCACTATATATATTTGTTTCTTAGGTTTTCATGCACATCACTCATTAAATAAAACTAGTTTTAGTTCACGGGTTAATGCACGAAACTTTATTTATTTGACGTTTCGCAGCCTTTACAGGCTGCGTCGTCGGAATCAATTTTTTATTTAATTTTGCCGAGCTACCTTCGAAAGACTTTTATTGAGCATTCGGTTATTTCATTGTTCGATTTTTAAAGTTTAAAATTTTAAAGAAACGTCAAATAAATAAAGTTTCGTGCATTAACCCGTGAAAAACTAATTTTATTTAGTTTCACTATATAATTAATAAAATAAATATTTCCAACACTCACACCAATTAGCCTAGCCCCAAAGTAAGCACTGTAAGGCTTGTGTTATGGGATACTAGGGTAATGGATAGAATACATATCCTGTACATCTATAAGCATATTTTATATATAAATACATATTAAACATCCATGACTGGAGTACAAATGCTCGTATTCATCACACAAACATCTGACCCCACCGGGATTTGAACCCGGGACCTCTCGAGTCGGCGATAGATGAAACCTGGCGTACAAACCACTCGACCACGGAGGTCGTCAACATATACTTGAGAGGTCCCGGGTTCGAATTCCGGTGGGGGCTGATGTACGTGTGATGAATACGAGCATATTTGTACTCCAGTCATGGATGTCTAATATGTATTTCTATATAACTATATATATATATATATATATATGTGTGTGTGTATAGTATATGTATGTGCAGTATATGTATTCTATCCGTTACCCTAGTATCCCATAACACAAGCCTTACAGTGTTTACTTTGGGGGTCCAGGCCAATTGGTGTTGAGAATGTACTGATATACTAATCAATCTATACATATATAATAAAATGGTAGGAAAGTCAAAACTGTACATTGAATATTTTTTAAAAAGAATACTTCGGGTGTTATTTACAATCAATACTGAAGCCAAAAATATAGTTTTAAGAATTTTTGTCTGTTTGACTGTATGTATGTGCGGGATGAACTCAAAAAGTACTGTATGGATTTACTTCAAATTTGGCACGAATATTATTAATAAGTCGGGTCAACATATAGGCTACATATTATCACGCTATCACCTACGGGGAACGAGCAATGATCTTTTATTTCTAACTAACTCCAAGCGTAAAAAGTCGCGGGCGGCCGCTAGTGCTGAATATTATACGTTATCATCATCAGCCTATTAATGTCGCCACTGCTAGGGCACAAGCCTTTCCTATGGATGGAATAGGGAGATTGGGCCACGACCCACCACGCGGACCCATTGCGGATTGGCGGGTGTTAACGACTGCAGATGCAGCAGGGACCAACGGCTTAACGTGCCTTCCGAAGCATGGAGGAACTCGAGATAGAAGATTTTTGGTCACCCATCCAATGACCGACCACTGCGAAAGTTGCTTAACTTCAACGTAACGGAGCCGAACGCACTAAACACCTGCGCCATCGAGCTCCTCACACGCTTCCCTCCCTCCCTTAATACATGGGGGAAAGTTGCTGAAACACTTTGATACAACAAATAAATAAATAGCGAAATAATCTGTTCTTCTTTTGTATGTATTTTAGAATAAATTAGCGCGGTCCATCAATCTATCCATAATATAGGCGTTTAAAATACATAGATTTGTGATCAGGTCAATCAGTTGAATTGTATCAAGTTGTTTATTAACATTATTGTGATTGTTGTGTATGCTTGTAATTGGTCTGCATTTAAGAAAACTGTATAGTATCCGACCTATTCATTAATGTATTAATATGTGTGACTGTTAGCATGCCTAAATAAATAAATAAAATAAATACATGAACATTAGTAAATAATGTAACATCGTTTTCTAAAACTTGTCAAATACCCTATTGTCGGACCTTTCTATGAAAAAAAGGGTGTGCTTATGACCACACGACTGAAGTGAAACTTCTTTAGCTCATCGTTATGTAAAGGTTGTCTGGAAGAAATCGCTTTTAGCGATAAGACCGCCCATTGAAGCACTCTTTTTTTACAATTGCAATTTCCCTCATTTCTGTTCTGTGTTGTGTTGTTTGCAATAAAGTATTGTATTGTATATACAGTGTGAGTCTTAATTAAGTGCACATATTGAAATTGGGGATACTATGTTGAATTTTATCGACGGAAAAAATTATAATACAAAACGTTAATTTTTTATACAATTTTTAAAAACCTTGCTTCCTACGGTCACCTCCTTGTAAACAAAACGGAAACAAAACTTTTAAATTAAACAATCAATCACGATGAAAGAAACTTATTAATAACTAGCTTTTGCCCGCGACTTCGTCCGCGTTATCGTCGTTTTTCGTAAAAAAGTAGCATATGTCCTTCCTCAGGGTTCCGTGGTTTTGATGTGATAGACAGATTAACTTTCGTATTTTAGTAGGGAAATATAATACTGTTAAAAATATCGCAATAAGGAACCGCAGAATATTATTATTATCACTGTGCCCCGAGACCATCAGCGTGTAACTCCTTGTATGTTATTATGTTAATGTATTGGTAACATTGTTTAGATCGCTTTCACATGAGTCTTAAGTACATATAGAATGAAAATACTTCAGCGCAAAGCTTCCGGGTAGACTACGTTGAAATTTGACCCGTCCGGAACGTGAACATAAAAAATTCTAGGACTGCTAATCCGGGAAAGACCGACATAACTGACCATGTGAAAAACAACTGACACCGAGATCTACTCCAACAACACGAAAGGTCTGCCCTTGAGCCTTATTTATTGTCATTGCATAACACACCGATACTGGGAATTGCGTTCTTTTAAATTGGAATGGAAAATTATTTGGTATTATGGGAATTCTGGGAATAAAGATGGTTTCTCCTGCACCGCAACCTATTAAAATTTGAGCCTCGATTACATTTTGTTGCAACTGGGTTACTTTAAGCCGAGTTCCATTGCAAATTTGTGGTGGTCTTAAATTTCGGAGCAGAATAATCGTAATGCCAATTTTTAAACAAATTTCATGAGAAGGAAGTACGGGCATATTTAAAGAATTTAAAAATTCTATCGGGTAATTAGTGGCTTCTTGTTCGTCGGCCATTCTATTTATTGAACTATAAACTTTGCTTTCCCCCTGGATATTCGACAGTATTTTATTATTAATCTCAGATGCCTGGTCATTGCGAGGAGTTAAAATGGACCTTTCGCATAGCCAAGAATTGTTCTTATTTAATATATTTGTTACGTCACCGTAAACTGACGATGTAAGATGTTGTTGGGATTGCACTATACAACATAACTCAGGCGTCAGAATAAGTTTTCCTTGGTGTAGCAGTGGATAGGTATCTTTGGTGAAGGTATTTTCTTTAATAATATATCATAAAATTCACGATCATCCGGGTTATCTACAGTTCTCACTCGCATGTTTATAGTCAAATGCACCGATTGTATATCACGCCACAAATAAGAGCTTTTCAGGCAAGCCCTAACCTCAGCAGCTCGTTTTCCCCGTGGTATTACCGTTAAGGTTTGTCGGAAATCACCACAAAATAAAACTGTGATACCGCCCATGGGTCGATCATTTTGTCTTATATCTCTTAAAGTTCTGTCTACCGCTTCTACTCCTTTTCGATGGGCCATCGTACATTCATCCTATATGACTAAATTACACTTTGAACGAATATTTAAACACTACCAAAACAACTAATACGTGGTCCTAACTTTAGCTACCTTACACATAAAATCTAAGTGACTATTTGAACTAAAATATTCTTATAGAATTATAACCAGAAATATATACAACTCACAACAAAAAAGAAATGAAAATAAAGCTGAAACGCCTGTGCAATACTATCTACCTATACCTCCTTCACTTAAAAAGAAATACTTATAACTACTTTAATTAATAAAAGTACCTACGCTTAATAATTTTTAATTTGAACGAATATTTAAACACTACCAAAACAACTAATATCTGATTTACAAAATATCAACAAAAGAAATTCAAATAAACTATTTAAAGACTAAAAGTCGCGCTGATAAGCACGGTTTCGGTCTCCCAGGCGAGGGAGCAGATGAGAAATCCTCATGGATACCCTACAGCCGGCTGCAAGGTTATGTCAGACTCGTACTGACTAAAAAACACCCGTAGGGGCTGCCTCTGGCCGGGAAGGCCTCTAAGGCTTCATCGGAAGCGATCGTCCCCCAGGGGGGGAGCGACGCAGAAAACAGATTTAGACAGCTCGCTCTCGGACCTTTGATACCCTACCGCTGCCGCGACCCGTGTCGAGCGCGGCAACCGTTACACAAAAATAATCCTTATAGCATGATTCAGTATTCACGTGCGACGGCGCGATGGCTTATTTCATGTATAAGTTTGGTGTTTCTATACCGAGTATTATAAACGTAAGAGTAAACAAATATGATCAGAATGCTCCGAACTGCTAAGCTATCGGGAGTTACACGTGTTATTGTGAGTCAACCATAAAAGATAGACATATGCTGTTGCAGGATATTTTTTAGACAATTTTATGTAGAATATTTCCGTCGTACATGATTTCTATGTAACTTTAATCATTAAGGCTGCACACGCGACGGAAGCTTAAAAAATGGAGTAACTTCTCCCGTTTTCCCAACATTTCCCTTCACTACTCTGCTCCTACTGATTGTAGCGTGATGAAAAGTATACTATAACCTGCCCAGGAGTATGAAGAATAATTGTACCAAGTTTCGTTAAAATCCGTCGAGTAGTTTTTGTTTCTATAAGGAACAAACACACAGACAGACAGACAGACAGACAAAAAATTTACTGATTGCATTTTTGGCATCAGTATCGATCACTAATCACCCCCTGATAGTTATTTTAAAAATATATTTCATGTACAGAATTGACATCTCTACAGATTTATTATAAGTATAGATTTGAAATAATAGAGCATTCTCATAAAATGAAAGTTGAGGACAAAATGCCCTCAACTGACAGTTTAGCGGTTACTTTTTAAAGAAAATAGCTTATATATATGTGTGTATGTACATATTTGTACTTATACATATTTAATTTACTAGCTATAAGAGAATGAGAGAAAGAAAATGAACTCCCGTTCGCCTCGTCTGAACACACTTTTCGTAACGCGTAACGCATTCGCCAGCTTACCCCCAAGTCAAGCGTGCTTAAAGAAGTTTCACTTCAAAAGTGTACTAACCTCATCATATGCGCGTCTCCAGGGGTCAAGGTCTTGGTGTAGTGGAACTCATATATGACCTGGTTGAGCACCACGCAACCCTTGCTGAACCCCACCAGGGTTAACCGGGTTTCGTCCAAAGCGAGTTTCTCTCGCCACCATAGCAGATCCGATTCACTGCAAACAAATAAGGTACCCTGTTGATTGCTATAATTCATAACATGATTTGTTTATTTCGTATGATTTATATATGTAATGCTATTTTACTAGATGTCATCGGTAGTACCCGACTTTCCCTATAGATGTATTATCTAATATATAAAATTCTCGTGTCGCGGTGTTTGTGGTTAAACTCCTCCGAAACGGATTTCCCGATTCTCATGAAATTTTGTGTGCATATTGGGTAGGTCTGAGAATCGGATAACATCTATTTTTCATCCCCCTTAATGTTAAGGGTAATCCACCTCAAATTTTTTTTTTCAATTTTAGATATTTTTTTTTATTTTTTCTTTTATGATACATCATACAAAAATACATACAACCCTAAATTTTCAGCCTTCTACCACCAACCCCTATTTTTTTATGGCGGTACGGAGTTCGCTGGGACAACTAGTTGTGCTATAAAAATACAAATTAAAAAGTACTTAAAATTAAGGTACAATGAAAATGTATGCTAGTATAATAAAACAAAATATTTAAAAACGGGCAGTTTAGATTTTTTTATCTACTTCAATGAATATTACAAGATGGAGGTTTAATTAATATGATTGGATGTATTGGCATGTTATTTCAAGCATCCTGACATGATTCTATGCATCATCAGCCCATTAATGTCCCCAACTGCTGGGACAAAGGCCTTCCCTATGGATGGATTATGGAGGTTGGGCCATTACCCACCACGAGGGCCCGGTGCCGATCGGCGGATACTAACGACTGCAGATGCAGCCGGGACCAACGGCTTAACGTGTCTTCCGAAGCACAGAGGAACTCGAGATAGAAGATTTCCGGTCACCCATCCAATGACCGACCACTGCGAAAGTTGCTTAACTTCAACGATCGCAGCCGAACGCGCTAACCACCTGCGCCATCGAGCTCTCCATGATTCTATGCGTTCCAAATTAAAAATTTGCGGACAACTCGTTCTATAGATTCTAAAGGTGTATGACAGTAAACTATCAAATAGAATAACATAATGTTAATATCACAACATCCATTGGAACTAAACCTACTCACGGCTTGTGCTCGGGCTGCGCCCCGTTGGAGCGCCCGCCCGCCGTCGCCTGCTGCAGCGACGCCTTCTACACAAGTAACGATTCAGTGAGACAATGGTAAAGTACGGTCGCCGAGTGGAGATAATTTCGTACAATGACCCCACGCTACCCATCCTTATCGCTCGCGCGCAATTATGTCGCAGTCACGCTCGCACACGTACCGTGTGTACGAATGTACGAAACATTGTATCTGTACCCCTAGCACGAAACCTTTATCGAATTCGAATAGTTTGCAAACCGAAATGTCAATGTCAAATTTTGTATGGAAACTTGAACAGCAGTGGTACGAAGTACGTAACGAGAACTAAATTCAGTACACATTAGACAATGACATTTCGGACTCGCAAACGATACGAATTCGATATTGGTTCGTGCTAGGGGTACTGATCATTACATCTGCCCGGCGACCGTACTTCAGCTTATGCTACTAACATATAAGAAGGGTGTTAAATAATAATAATCATTTATTTTAGATGAAGATCCATAGAATTATTAGTAAAAACACGAGTTTGGTATCGATTCTGACACGATTCTCTAAACTTATTTAAAACTAGATTTAAAATCAGTCTCTCATTTCCATAGGCGCCATTCATTTATATCTTAAGGCTATTTTCGCTAGTTTTAGAATTTATCGATACAAATTGTAATATCGTTCGTCAAAATTTATCGATACAAGTAACTATCGATACTTTTCATTCCATACCGAGTAGGCATCGATACTTTATGACCGATACAGTAGCGAGTAAAAGTATCGATACCTAGATGGTATCGTTTCATCCCTATTCACTATGAATGGTGTTACACCGAAATCTATCAGTTTGAAATAGTAACAACAATTTATTAAATCGCTGTTACAACATGATAACAGTAGAAAGGCTTATTCATAACTTACGTGTAACTCTTCAATGTCAATTTCCTCAGGCAACGACACTGTCGACACCGCGTCGATGAGTTCTGTCGTGGGCATCGCTTTGAGTCTACTACTAACTGATTGTAGTAACCTGCAGGGTGCATAATTATAGCATTAAAAATCGCAAAAAAAATAACTGGGCAGTTAGTGGAAACTTTAAAACAGGAGGGCTACTCTAATTTAACGAAAAACGAAATTTAAAATCAATACTTCGCATTTTTTCTTTTTCTTTTATGAAGTGTAACATCTTTCCTGTCGCTTTCCTGCAATTTGTGGGAGTGATTACGTGAAATGGGACGGAAGTGTGTAACAGGAAGTCGCGAAAGCACGCGCTATTTGATTTGATTTTAGAACATTATGGTTCAAATGGCTTATTCCTTTTGTAGTAGGTTTTATTTCTTCTTTTACTAATATAAGGTGAGGTTTCGAATATTGCACATCATACGCGACTACTGTAAGGCTCGCTCGTTTTTTAATTATAATAATACTAGCGGACCCGACAGACGTTGTCCTGTCTACACGTCTTTAATTTGAAAATTTGACACTGCGATGGTAGCGCCGTCTGTCGGATCCAATGTAAAACATTCCAAAATCAACAACTACTAATAAATTAAAAATTAATTAAAAAAACATTGTCCAGCGGACAAAATTGTGAATCTAAACCATTCTCAGATCCCCTTGAACACAAACAAAAAATTTCATCAAAATCGGTCCAGTCGTCTAAGAGAAGTTCAGTGACATACACACACACTCACAGAAGAATTATATATATAAAGATTCGTCGTCGGAATATACATTGAGGTGTTCATTTTCTAATCTACTCAAAGAAAGCTTTAATATGGTAGTTTATCATTCAAATTAAGTATAACCTTAAATTGAAGAAATTAAATTTCATTTCAACTTCGTTATCGAAAGTTCGATTCGGCGAAAGAGAGTAGACCCCCAGACTCGAATCTGGTTAAATAGTCTTTCTGAATGAAGAGAAAATCCTCTCGATAAAGGATGTAAGCGATTTTAATAAAATTTGCCATGGAGTTAGCTGACACCCTGGATTAACCCTATGTGTTGCTACGTTTTACCGCGGGAAAATATCCCTAATAAACCGCGGGTAACAAAGAGGGGCAGAGCAAGTTGTCTATAAATCAGAAAAAGGAAAATCAGTTTTTTCATTCTTGTCTTAGATTAAAACAAAAAGGGTAGATACGGCACTAGCCTCACAAAAGTGATCCGCATGAATTGTGGTCCACGACCCTAATCGCTTTAGTCATAACTTGACATGCAAACAACGTACATGAGAACGCCAAAAAGAAATATTGCTAATATTTTGTGTTTATATGATAAAACAATGCCCAAGTGTGTTTTTAAAAAGTGCTCAAATTGCTCAAGAACTAAAAATAAAACCCACGGCATCACATTTTTTATTCGTAAGTACTATAAGATATATTTTTTCATAAAAATTGCTGTTTGTTTTGAATCTTATTCGGTAGTGACGTTCGTACTGGTCGCGTGATTGGTCGGTAGTGCAGTGACGCGGATCTCACCGTCTCGTTCGCGCTGCCGTTGAAACTTAACGTGCTGTTTCGTTCGGGTCGGTAATGCAGTGACGCGGATCTCGCCGTCCCGTTCGCGCTGCCGTAGGATCAGTTTTTGTTTGATGCAAGTATGAGCGTACTGTATCTACCCTTTCTGTTTTAATCTAAGATTCTTGTACCTTTCTAGGTGATGTAGAGCGCTATGAGTCGGCGTATGATCCGGCACACCCGCGTTGTTGCTCGGCACAAAGTTGTCGTAGCAACTGAAGCTTTTGTACTCTATCCTGTAGGCAATAAGGTCGATAGTCGCGATCACAGACTTAGATATTATTTTTTGATTAGAGCCAAAGGGCTAAAAAATAAATAAAGGGTAAAGCTTATAATAATAATTTATTTCAATATATAGAATAGGGTATTTGACAAGTTTAAGAAAACGATCTTACGTTATTTACTAGTTTATGAAGTCCATAAATATGTGGATATTCATTTAGTAAAAATAGTAAATAAAAAATAAAAACATTTCTATTTAATGTTTTCTTTTTAAAGTTATGAATTATTTCTTCTCTAACAAAAGTAATATCGCTGCTTATATTCATATTAAATACAGATGCCAACAATTAATACTTTATTTTTCATACTGTCAAATAGCCCATTGTAACAAGTGGCCATGCTTTTCTACCACTTATGCCGCGGCTAAACTGGAAGAAATCACAGAAACAATTAAATGGCTTTGGATACACGGACTTTTCGACATTGTGCGTGACTCGCCAAAATCGTTCTAATATCACGTCCTCATTTGTGAGGCAGGCACGCTGAAGCGCGTTTGAGAACAGTCAAAAGACCGACATGACTGCCTGAAGGCAGATTTCAAGCTGAGGCGCCTACGCACTTGAGACTAGACTAACTAATTCGTACGCACAATTAACAAAAAGTGTTTAATTTTTGCGATAGTAAATAATAATAATAATAAATATTTCCAACACTCACACCAATTAGCCCAGCCCCAAAGTAAGCACTATAAGGCTTGTGTTATGGGATGCTAGGGTAACGGATAGAATACATATACTGTACATATATAAGTATATTTATATAGAAATACATATTAAACATCCATGACTGGAGCACAAATGCTCGAATTCATCACACAAACATCTGCCCCCACCGGGATTCGAAGACCCGGACCGGGACCTCTCGAGTCGGCGACACCATGAAACCCGGCGTACAAACCACTCGGCCACGGAGGTCGTCAAATGTGATGTTTTGTGAATGTTGAACATTGAAATGCATAGTATGTATAGACGCATCAATTAAGATGAAAATAATATTCTATTCCTTGTGAAATTCCTGCGTGAACTTCATCTGTGTCGAGTTATTTAATTAAGGAATAAGGTACTGAGACAATGTAAGAAATTACCGTTTCACTTTTCGTTCAATGCCGAAAAATTCCAATGAATGATGACAGATCCGTAAGCTTTAATCGCGAAGACAGATTCCGATGAACGACAATTTAGACATTTTATTTTTGGGTTTTCAATGATGAAGCAACGGTAATGAAAGAAAAAATGAACCGTCTAATTTCAAAATTTGTATAGCTATTTATTATATTTGCTCTTAGCTCTGGTGAGTAGTAAATTTCATACGAATCTCACTAATGAGGGCCACTATCACGTATGAATCCGCCGCTAGAGGCTCTTGTGTAGCGTGGGGTGTCCGAAATGTCAAATATTATTACTTGTGGGTTGACTACGTGAGTTTTTTCAAAGAATTAGTCTAGCCATTCAAAGAGGTAACGCTGCCAGTATCTACGGTTCCTTGCCTAAAGGGACTCCTTTTAATAATATATTTTAGTTATTAATTTTATGTTTTAAGATTTTTAGTTTCAGTTTTATTGTTCTAGTATTTATATTTTACTTATATATAGTAATTATGTAATTAGATAGAGACTTATTTGTTTATAGTTAGTGTATTTTATAGTTTTATGATGTGAAATTGTTAATGTTACTAAAGAAATTTGCAATTGCTGTATATGTGAAATTATACATTAATTGTTCATTAATGTTGTGAGTATTTTTAAGATTAATGATGGCAAATATGAGTTACGTGTCAATGAATGACATTTATTTAAAAGCGAAGCTAAGAATAAATATTAAGTCCTCTATTTTTCCGCAAAACGGAATCGCGTAACACTGTTTGTGGCATGGCCGATTATGTTTACGATACGGTTCTTTTGTATTAAAATATGATTTAAATATAAACTGTGATTTCACGCGCGTATTAACAAACTTTAAAAGCTACGCTTTAGGACCTCACTCAACAGTGGCGCCGTCTGGTGTATAGATGTAAGGCCGTCTTAAAACCAATTAAACCAATCCGTTTAAAACGAAAAAAAACTTTTTTTTCGATTTAAAACGGTTGGTGTTGATGACTATGTTTTTCTTAATTATAGCTACATTGTCTTGATTTTATCGAGGTAGAAATATAACGGACTACCTATAAACTGTATAAACATTTTTTAAATGTGTGATATACTTACTGATATTGATATACTTAGCGAGTTTAGTTCTACTTGGTCGATCCGCGACCAAGCATAGGTAGTACCTACCTAAGTTATAAAAACTCTTATCATAAGTTAAAAACTCTGGGTTGGTAAATAAAAAAAAATCATTGTTTTCAAACGATATAAATCAATTCAATCAATTTGATTCGGTTTAAACCCAGACTCACACTCTCGCACTCTCGTTTATGGGCGTACCCAGGTAAGGGCTAGAAGATAAAATAAACGTCAATTTTCCTGGCAAGTTTTCCTGGCAATTAAAAACGTGTTACCTGCTCTGCGCAAAATGAAGTGTTGGAAACAAAACATCTTTTCAGTCAGATATTTTGTTTTAATTTTTTTTATCTATAATTTAATATTCTATAACATTCTATATAATAGCGACGCAATATAATTTATATCTCCCGCGAAACCGTCGTATCTCGTAGTTTCCGCTCCCGATGAGATAATCAGAGCCATCTAGGATTAAAGCCGAATATAATTTGGAGAAAACAACGTCTAGCGCTAGCGTTATCTAGTTACGGACGATGACACTCGACAGTGCTTTATCCAGTTAAGAAGAACGTTCTAGCATGGACTATTCTGGAAAGTAAAGACAGTGATAGCAAGTATGAGACAAGGATGGCAACAGAGTCGAGTATTTTCTACGTATTTCGGGAGCGAGAATATTTGAATATATAAGCGCGATCGTGAGGCAGAGCAAGGCAATTCAGTTCGAATTTTTGAATACAATTCAATTTAGTTCGGAGTTTAATACGAGCGAATATTTAATGCGCCATAATAGTGTCTTATAGTTTAGTTGTGGCGACACGAGATTTACGTTTACTGCGCAACAACTGGAAAGATTTACTCCATCAAATGGATATCAGGAATTTCTTTGAAAAAGGCGAGTCAAAAGAAAACACATATGTATGTACCTAATATGATTATTTGATTTGTTTAAGGGGGGCTCTCTTGTAAGTGTATAGGAAGTAATTGATATTTGAATGTGATGTTTTCATAGGTATCTTAATCTTTATTTATTACCACGTTTTTATTAGGTCCGTTTCTTGTCTGTTTGTCTGTTCGGTACAAATCTGGCCATTGATTTTAAACTAACTTCCCGATCTCCGGATGAGCTAGAGACTTGAAATTTTGCCAGTAGGCCAGAAGTGGATGACAATACAATATTAGATTTTTTCTTGTCTGTCTGTTTGTTTGAAAGTTTAAAAAAAATACACATTTTTTATGACTAAAAAGCTGATTTTTTTAAATATACTTACCACGTTTTTAAAACGGACTAAAAAGTATGACGAAAAACGTGAGGTGCAAGAAAAAAAAAATAAGATAGATAATGATAAAAAGTGTAAAAAGTACCAGTCGTTGAGAAATCTCATGTTAGAAGAGCTTTCTCATTGACTGCTACTTTTTATGCTTAATTATAATTTAAAATTCTTAGATCAATTTATACGGCATTAGAAAATATTATTTTATACTGTTTAGGCCGCTTTAAAAACGTGGTACATTCGTTCTATGCCTAAACACCGTAAGAGTAATTATGTTTGTGTATCCTTTTTTTAGGGACAACACGGGAAAAAAGAAAAAAAGGTCGGGATAGTAGCAGTGGAGGAAGCGATGAAAATGACAACCATGATAAAACCCATGTAATGCCAAGATCATTGCATGCTAACATTGGCCAAACGTCACATTCTCCAGCAGAACCTGTAAATATATCTGTTGCCGATTATTCTTCTCCGTCGACATTCCAGCAAACTTATGACGTCAACGTCGATCCTGAAATTATAGTGGACGATGGCTATCATGAAAATGATCTGGGTCGTTATGTTGGGTTGGCTACTCAGCTATCGACGGAAAAGAAAAGGGAGTTGTTACAACATCCTTGGAAATGGATCCCACCCAGAAATTATGATTTTGAAAGTGATGCAAGCCATTTGAAAAGGAAATTTAATAATGCTTGGTTGGATCAATATGCACCATGGCTAGTATATTCCAAGCGACTAAAAGGCGCTCTTTGTAAGCATTGTGTTTTGTTCCCTCCGCCCATCAGCACTGTGAGAGGAATTTTGGGATCATTTATGGTCAGGCCATATATAAAGTTCAAAAATATGCATGAAGACTGCCGAGAGCATGCAACGACCAACCTTCACCTAACAGCGACAAATGCTGCAAAAAAATTTCTTGAAAATGTTCCTGTAGACATCCAACTGCAAAGTGGACACCAAAAAGCAATCGATGAAAACAGACAAATATTGTCATCAATTATTTCTTGTGTAGTATTTTGCGGTACACATATACGTACACATATGCGGTATATATGCCTCTTAGGGGAAAACAAGCAGATGAGGGCGTTTTATTAGATTTATTAAAGTTGAGAATCAATTCAGGGGACGATAAATTAAAGAGTCACCTGGAAAAGTGCCGTCGCAATGCAGTTTACACATCGCCACAAAACGAATTGATTAATTTATGTGGCGAAGTTATTAAGGAGAATATAATAAGTGAGGTTCAGAAGACCATGACTTACGCAGTCTTAGCTGATGAAACAGCAGACGTAGCTGGAAAAGAACAGCTATCAATAGGCGTGCGGTTCTACGACGAAAGCAAAAGGAAAATCAGAGAAGAATTTGTAGGATTCGTTGAACTAAAAGCACAAAATGCTTCAGCAATTGCCGAAGCATTTGACAATTTCTTGATTAGTTCTAACCTCCCAACAGAAGATTGCGTAGGGTTTGGATTCGATGGCTGTTCTACAATGGCAGGGAAAGAGGGTGGCGTACAAGCCATTTTGAGAAAAAAATATCCTCGTGCTTTATATTTTGATTGCTCAAGTCACAAACTCAACCTTGTTGTGAATGATGAGAACGCAGTGCCAGAAATTAGAAATACTGTCGGCACTGTTAAGGATGTTATAACGTTTTTCAGAGAATCGACTACTCGTCGAAACTATGCTCCAAACCTATCACGATTGTGTGAGACGAGATGGTCCGAAAAATATAAATCAATTAGAAAGTTTTCTCAACATTTTCCAGAGCTTGTGAAATCTCTAGAAACGTTATTCGTAGAGGGAAATTATGCCACCAGAAAATCTGCATATCAGTTGCATTCAGCCGTTACAAAACCAATGTTTATTGTTGCTCTACAAACAATAGCCAAATATTCAGCAGTTTTAGAACCAGTAGTTAACGCACTGCAAGCTAAATCGATCGACATGATCTCGGTGGAGGAACACATCAATAATATCAAGGACATTCTCAGAAATGACCGCGAGTTTCCTAATAAAATAAGTAATGAAATGCTTCAAAAAGCGCTAGCTGTTGCAATGGATTTGAACATAGAAATTTCGGTTCCACGTCTTGCTCATAAGCAAACACATAGAAGTAATCCGCCATCTGACAATGATAACGAATATTGGCGGCGTTCTCTGATAATACCATACATTGATTCACTCATTTCATCGTTGAATATTCGATTCTCCCAAGAAAATACTCCGGCGTTTGCTTTAAGTAAGCTACATCCCTTGTACATGACCAAAAACAGCATTACAGACTTACACAAGAACGCAGAATCATTCCAAGAATTTTATAACCTGGATATCACTGGAGAACTGAACCTTTGGCATAATTTATGGATGAAGAATGCTTTATCAGATGATTAATTAAGCGATATAGAAGTAGTTGATCTGTTCATCGAAGCCAATATTGTTTACCCTGTTGTCAGAAAGGCATTGATTATTTTAAGCACTATCCCATGCACCACGGCGACCGTAGAACGGTCCTTCAGTACGCTTCGAAAAGTTAAAACGTGGCTTAGAAGCACCATGGGTGAAGAAAGGCTTACGGGTTTATGTCTGATGAGCGTACATCGCAATTATTTAAAAGAAAACAGTGAGTTTATTCAAAAGACTGTCTTAGACAAATTTTCGGCGGCAAATCCGAGAAGATTACTTTTAAATTAATATATGTGTATTATGATTATTATATATATTTAATATTTTGTTTTGTGTCATAATCAAACTAATTAATAAAAGTCAATTTTCATGATTTTTTGTTTCAATATACCCGACCGACCATCTTCTCGAAACAGGTATGAGCTGCCCCCTCCTAGCTGATATCCTGGGTACGCCCTTGTTCTCGTTGACGTCACTCGTCGTTACTCGACGCAACGTTGCCAGCTCGCCTACCCTACACGCACATGCACATACATACTGCTAACTACCTACATTAAGAGCAACGAAGTAACGTTTAGGCTTAGATCAAATAAAAAGTTTTCATTTGATTTGAGCGTTTCGATATTTATTCAACAATCAACATTACAAAACTAAATTAACAAATTGGTCTTTTTCTTAACATCACAGGTATGAAGGTACCTACATACCTACTTAAGTTTTCGTGGTACCTAGGTAATGTACGTAGGTACTTCCTATTGGTACCTACATACCTACTTAAGTTTTCGTGGTACCTAGGTAATGTACGTAGGTACTTCCTATTGGTACCTACATACCTACTTAAGTTTTCGTGGTACCTAGGTAATGTACGTAGGTACTTCCTATTGGTACCTACATACCTACTTCAGTTTTCGTGGTACCTAGGTAATGTACGTAGGTACTTTCTATTGGTACCTCCATACCTACTTAAGTTTTCGTGGTACCTAGGTAATGTACGTAGGTACTTTCTATTGGTACCTACATACCTACTTAAGTTTTCGTGGTACCTAGGTAATGTACGTAGGTACTTCCTATTGGTACCTACATACCTACTTCAGTTTTCGTGGTACCTAGGTAATGTACGTAGGTACTTTCTATTGGTACCTCCATACCTACTTAAGTTTTCGTGGTACCTAGGTAATGTACGTAGGTACTTTCTATTGGTACCTACATACCTACTTAAGTTTTCGTGGTACCTAGGTAATGTACGTAGGTACTTCCTATTGGTACCTACATACCTACTTAAGTTTTCGTGGTACCTAGGTAATGTACGTAGGTACTTTCTATTGGTACCTACATATCTACTTAAGTTTTCATGGTACCTAGGTAATGTACGTAGGTACTTTCTATTTGTACCTACATATCTACTTAAGTTTTCGTGGTACCTAGGTAATGTGCGTAGGTACTTTCTATTGATTTTCTTTACACCTACTAAGTAAAACGAAACACGACGTCAGGTGACGAAAAATTTGTGTAAAAAACATAGTTCTTTTATTTTTGTATGCCAGTTTTCAACCGTTAAAAACGATCTATTTGGGGTTTAAAACGGCAACATTTTGTTTAAAACGTTTTAAATCGGTTGTTTTACATCTATAGTCTGGTGAGACAAAAAACGGAAACTCTAATTATATTCTCTTTGGGTATATTCCGTAATATATACCAGTATATTGGCCAGTGCTAATGACGTCATGAATCGACGCTATACTGGTGAATTGTTCCGAAATATAATGGCCAGTGCACTGACGACGTCATAAATCGACGAAATATTAAAAATAGTGCGAATAAGGAAAATTTTTTTTCACCATTAAAAGGAATTCTTTTTGTTCGGATGCCATTATTGTTCTTTAAATAAAAAAGAAATAAAATTCGAATGCATCTCACGCACGCTCGGTCATAGCATCTAATAGTCTGTGGTCATACGTCATATTCGTTTTCCCGGTAAAAATATGTAAGCATACCAGTACAATATGGCGTTAGACTCGTGAAGTCATTACCACTGGCCAGTATACTGCTGTATATTTCGGAATACACCCTTTGTCACGACCTCCGTGGCCGAGTGGTTGGTACGCAGAGTGGTGTTGCCGACTCGAGAGGTCCATACTCTAGTCATGGATATTTAATATGTATAATGCGATTCAAATAAGAATAGGAAAGCCAATGACCTCCATCTGTCAAATGTCGCTTCAAAAGTACGGTTAGCAAAAAAATCTCGAAACACTTTTTTAGCACTGAGCTGATTCTAGAATAAAAACCAAACATTTTTAAACAAACAATAACAATTGTTGATAATTAATGTTATTTGTTTTTTTTTCACTTATTAAGTATTGGCTTTGAATGGTTGATAGCCTAAATCGTTAACTAAATGTCACTTTATGTTGCGTTCAGAAACTCGATTTAAAACTTTCGTTTACATATAGGATGCATGTTCGTATGTGACCTGCATGATTATTCATAACTTCTCCGGCGGTAATGCAGTGATGAGCGAAATTGAAGAGCTAGATTCTGATTAATGTTTTTTTTCAGTCTTAATAAAGAAATACTATTAAAAATCGGTTGTGTTCTTCCTCAACCTTAGTAAATTAATTTAATTAAAAAAACTGATGTTTTGTCTCACTTAATCTTAGTAAATAAGTTTTATTAAATAGCAAAATTTTTTTGCTCACTCTACCTATATGGTTTGAATTGACAGCTATGACGTCAAAACTTTAGATACTAAGATGGACTTTCACCAACACGTGATAAACGTATGCAAATCGGCGAGTAGGATCCTGGGATTCATTATCAGAACTTCCTCCGAATTTAGTAGTTCTTTAGTGGCTAGGGTATTGTACAATGCCTACGTACGTAGTAAATTGGAATATGGGGCAGTAATTTGGGACACCCACGAAAAAAAATATTGCCTCATGATAGAAAAGATACAACGAAAATTTGCTCGATGGTTGTACAAGAAAAACTATGGATATTATCCGTTCTTGTATCCATCAACTTTTGTCTACGGTATGGTCGACCTAGAAGCACTGGATATGAGAAGGAAATTGCTCCTCATTGTGCACTATTTATCAATTATTTACCAAAAGATAGATTCGCCACACGTGCTAGAAAGAGTACGCCTTTTGGTACCCACTCGCATCCCGCGTGATGCCGAGGGTTTATTGGAGCCGCGCCGGCGGCCGCGCTTGCTGGAGTGGCCTGGCACCCGAACCGTCCACGCTGCCCAAGCGCCCACAGTACGTGCATTGCGCCTGATCGGGGACATGCTCACTCAATACGATCACTTAGACCTGTTTGCTGACGGTCTAGGGAGATTAATTACCATGACTCGCCAGATTTTAGATTCTGGGTTTTAATCTGTAATTTGACATTTGACAGTGTATTTCCTAGTTTATTTTAATTTGTAATTTATTTATTGTTTTCACGTTTTTAATTATATCTTTTGACATTTTTGATTCTGTAACTTCGTTGACTTTGGTGTATGTTTATTTTTAATTTTGACTTTTTAATTGTAATTCCACTTATGACTATTTCTATATAATGAATGTTTTTGTTTTGCATTGCATTGACTTGTTGGTGTGTTGGACTAGCTCTGTAAACCAGCATGTGAAACTGAATAAATAAATAAATAAATAAATAAAATATGGCGCCCAGTCGGTCCTATTCTTAGTTGAATCGCATTATAATTCTTATTATTATTATTATTTATTCTGTTTGTCTATAGGAGTGGACTCACCTAGACGGCCTGACGATCAGTATGTGTTTGTTGGGGAAGTTGTGGCCGAGCATGCGGGCCGTGCTGTCCAGGTTCCATTTGAGGTAGTTCCTGTTGTCCCGGTGCGCTTGCATCACCTCGGGGTAGTCCTATTCAATAATGTAGTCTATTAACATTCTGGATTTGGAACGAAACCATGTGAGCAATAGTGGAGACAGCGACCAGTTGGATGTTGTTTAAAGTATTTTCATTTGTTTTGTTCATTTGTAAATAAACCGAGAGGCGTCGCCGTCTCAGTGGTGAGCCAAACATTTAAATGATGAACACGAGCGAGATATATCATCATTATGTACTTTAATGTGTTAAAGGTAGCCATAAACTTTTAGAGCAAAACCGCAGACAATTAAACATGCGCAGTAGACCTTTTCGTATGTAAAATTGCTACTGCGGTACCTTGTCAGAAGTTTTCCGGAGTATAAACATATATACGAGTATATTACTTACCACCAGGTGAACCGTCAGCTCGTATTCCCCGTATATTAGATATATATATATATATATATATATATATATATATATATATATATATATATATATATATATATATATATATATATATATATCTACCTAGCTTAACACAAGGAACAGGGTGTCGTTGATACCAGCTATTAGTAGATAATGACCTGTACATCTCCCCCGAAGTAGACCAGCGTCTGCTGCCTTTCGGGCGTTCGCCGCACGGCCGCCGGCTGGAACAGGGTGTCGTTGATTCCAGCTATTAGTTGATAATGACCTGTACATCTCCCCCGAAGTTTGACCAGCGTCTACTGCCTTTCGGGCGTTAGCCGCACGGCCGCCGGCTGGAACAGGGTGTCGTTGATTCCAGCTATTAGTTGATAATGACCTGTACATCTCCCCCGAAGTAGACCAGCGTCTGCTGCCTTTCGGGCGTTCGCCGCACGGCCGCCGGCTGGAACAGGGTGTCGTTGATTCCAGCTATTAGTTGATAATGACCTGTACATCTCCCCCGAAGTAGACCAGCGTCTGCTGCCTTTCGGGCGTTCGCCGCACGGCTGCCGGCTGGAACAGGGTGTCGTTGATTCCAGCTATTAGTTGATAATGACCTGTACATCTCCCCCGAAGTTTGACCAGCGTCTACTGCCTTTCGGGCGTTAGCCGCACGGCCGCCGGCTGGAACAGGGTGTCGTTGATTCCAGCCATTAGTTGATAATGACCTGTACATCTCCCCCGAAGTAGACCAGCGTCTGCTGCCTTTCGGGCGTTCGCCGCACGGCCGCCGGCTGGAACAGGGTGTCGTTGATTCCAGCTATTAGTTGATAATGACCTGTACATCTCCCCCGAAGTTTGACCAGCGTCTACTGCCTTTCGGGCGTTAGCCGCACGGCCGCCGGCTGGAACAGGGTGTCGTTGATTCCAGCTATTAGTTGATAATGACCTGTACATCTCCCCCGAAGTAGACCAGCGTCTGCTGCCTTTCGGGCGTTCGCCGCACGGCCGCCGGCTGGAACAGGGTGTCGTTGATTCCAGCTATTAGTTGATAATGACCTGTACATCTCCCCCGAAGTAGACCAGCGTCTGCTGCCTTTCGGGAGTTCGCCGCACGGCCGCCGGCTGAAACAGGGTGTCGTTGATTCCAGCTATTAGTTGATAATGACCTGTGCGTCTCCCCAGAAGTAGACCAGCGTCTGCTGCCTTTCGGGCGTTCCCGGCACGGCCGCCGGCTGGAACAGGGTGTCGTTGACACATGCTACATTGAACAAAAGGTAAATATTTATTAGTTGATAATGACCTGCACATCTCCGCCGAAATAGACCAGCGTCTGCTGTCTGTCGGGCGGTTGCCGTACGGCCGCCGGTTGGAACAGCGTGTCATTGGTGCGCCCCTCGTGGCCGGCTACGCGCCGCAAACGCAGCGGGAGCATTCTGTTTACCACATCTTGTGACGCATCGCTGCGAATTTTCAACACTTACATTAACAATTAGTTTTTATTGCTTATATTTTTGCGACCTCCAGTCATTAAAACACTTTTTGAACAAAAGTTTAATACTTTTCAGAATCAAAACATTATCTTTGACTTCCGAACCTGTAAAGGACCGAAACGTCAGGAATAATATAGATAGCTTTTTTTATACATTCACTAGCTGATTCGCGAACTTCGTACCGCCAAAAAATAATAATTTGCAATAAAATAATATTGAGATGACTATAAATTGAGATGTAAGCTATCCTATCTTTCAAGTTGGATCAAACTGCACACTTTGCACAAATTTAATTAAAATCGGTTAAGTAATTTAGGAGTCAAGTAATTTAGGAGTAAAACAATGTGACGCGTAATTTATATAAATTAAGATTATATTCATTCAAAAACTGTTTAAATGAATTAAAAGATAATTCTCTTGCTTTCAATATTCTATAATATTTACTTTAACCGAGTTCTGAGATAAATTTAAAAAATCAGTTTTCATAAGTGGCTATGACAAATATGTAGTGGTACCTGGTGTTTCATAAAAAAAAACAAACTGCACAAAGATCATTATATGTATCAAAACCTGTGCAGGATTTACCGAGCACTGGGATCCGTTATCTTTTAGATCACTTTTTTTTATAATTATCTTGCGTGCTCACTTTGAATTATAATAGTAACTAATTAAGGCTATAATTGGTGTTGATTTTGTAATGATTCTCTTAACCTAAAATTAAATTTGATTAAAAAAAAAAATTAATATTTTTTTTTTTATTTTTTTTTTTAATTTAATTTCTATTTTACTCATTCTCTATACAGAATGAAGAGGAGAGACTGATGTTGGATTTATTTTTAAGTTTAGAGAATCATGCCATTGCCAATACCGTTATCTTATCTACTCTTCATTCAGCATCATAATTCATAGAACACCTGACTGTTACAATAAGAATGCTCATTTAAAAGGTTGTATAATTTTTTCTGTCTGTTGAATGATTATTAATTAAAACAACATTAAAATACATAATTATTTTGTTTAATATGTTTAAATAAAATGTTCACTTAATTAACATAATTATATTGTTATGGTAATTGAAAACAAAAATGCATAGGACTTAATATACTTATCTATTACATTTTAATATTACAGATTAAAGCAGTTAAGTTGCTTTAAAATATAATATCAAATACATTGGATGTATTTAACTGTAGTTCACTTAAATGTAAGTTTAGATAATTAAGAAAATATCATTTGATGTGTCGTGTTTGTTTATTATGGTAATATTTAGTGTCATTCATGCATACTGTGATTTTAAGAGTGATATCATCCAGGCAATTCTTTAGGTCTTCCCGCAACTCTCTTACTTTGACCCTCACATCTTCGCACATCAAATTGTAACACATAGCCACCAGGCCCATACCAAGAAGCACATATATGAAGTTGATAACCAGTTTCAGATGAGAACCACCAGCAGAGTCTGCTATATTTGCCCCGGGAACAAAATCTCCGAAACCTATTTTACACAAGCTGATAACACAAAAGTATGTTGAGTCCAGATAGTTCCATTTCTCCCATGCACCAAACATTATTGTCCCCGTCAAAATATAAAATGAAATAACCCATAGGCAAGCTGTTGATGGCACAGTTATTTTCCTCTTTGGCGGGACTTCTCCATTTTCAAATTGAGTATCTTCCCTCCGACTGCATTCATGTGCCGTGATGTACAACCACTTGAATGACTTCGCAAGTACTTTTCCCATATTGCAGAAATATAGAATGTATATTGGTATACCAAAGCATGCATAGGCAATAGTAACAATTTTCCCCCAAACTGTTTTAGGAATGATATTACCATAACCTATCATAGTGAACACAGATAACGAGTACATCAGAGCTGCAGGAAATGACCAAATGTCATCAGCTGATCTGCCGCTGTATCCTGTGTGTATAGCTGCTGTTATATTGTTTTGGAACACCTTTAGCACTTCATTTGCTTTTTGTACAAAAGCAGTTTCATTAAACACATTCATTGAGACGGTAATATTCCATAAGGTTTCAGCACAGTTCAGTCTCCAAAGCCTGACATCATGCAGTTGCTTGTCAGGGCTGTATTTTTCCAGGTGGATGAAACAGACTGCACCTAGTATTGCATAGCAAACAACTAGAGCGCCAACACCCACTTGTGTGAACATAAATGCTATGAATTTTCTAAAACAGTCTTTGATTTTCTCTCTTGGATCACTTCCCACTGTCGATGATGAACCCCTGCTCCTCATAGAACCATGGAAGCTGGAGTGTAAGGGATGGTGACGGTCCATTTTGATATTGTTCTGGTTTTGGTTCATTAACAACAGGGTAAATACGTGAACTATATTACTAGTCAATACACAGAACGTAAAGCTAACACTATTTTTAGAATCAAGTTGGCTCGCAGCCAACTAAAGTTTGATTGCAAAGCAGTCAGTTTTAAATCACAAATGCAAAAGTGGAGAGATATGGCAAGATTAATTTAGCATTCACTAAATAACTGTAAAATAGATCAGATCATGTTTAAAATTGATAAATCTGCCTCTAGTAAGAAGTTTACATGCAGTGATAAAAATATTCGATAAATATTTGAAACTCACCAAACGAATCTTCGTATCATGAAAGAATAAGCAATTAATTTTCAAAAATGGTTCCTTTCCTTTTATTTGTTAGTTAAATTCATAAAAAAGGCAATAATTAATTTTTTATTGATTTTCTCTGATATTATTGGAAAAAAAACAAACAATTCTGTTTCTTTTTCAGATTTTTTTTAAGGTTCTTCCTTTTTGGAAAGGCACAGGAAACAATGCCCATAAAGCCTAGTCTTTAGTTAAAACAATCTTCTTTTTTTTTACTTTAGAATATCGTTGGCGTGACGCATTCTAATGTTTTCTTGGAGTGTTTGGCACGAAATGTATGGAGTTGGATTTTTCGATAAACTTCTGTGAGGGAGTCCACTTGACCGGAATAGCATATATTTTAAAGATTTCACTAGTTCTTGAGTTGCGCAGACGGTTGTAACAAAAAATCCCACCAATTTTATCTCACACTGGTTTCAATTCTGGTATGATTCTCTAAAGCTTAATTTAAATTTGACAACAGTGTATCTCTGTCATTCTCTTTATAGACTGAAAAGGGTTTTAAGTTTAGAGAATGCTGCCAGAATCGATACCAATATCCACTAATAACGAATTTTAAGAATAATTAAAATAAGACGGCAACCGCATCGATCATATCCCGCCGAGTCGTCGCCGCGTCGTGTCGTCAGGGAATTGGAGGTAATTACAGTTAGACATCAAGTTACCAATATCTTGCATATATTATACAGAATAATATTATACCAAGATTGTGAGCCTTGCGGAACACCAGAATTGAGCAATTAGTTTTTTTATATGGCAATAATTTATCGATTATTTAGCTGTCAAAATCAAATTCACACGTTTTCTTGGCGTTGTTTGTTATCCGGTTTCGCATTTTTAGATGAAGTTCGCATTTTATTTCACAAAATATGATGTAAAACCAATCATTATGTTTGACCAAAGTGTTATTACTAGTTTTCGCCTAGTTTTGTAAGTATTCGTGGTTTATTTTCATAGTGAGTCCGCCTGCATTGTGTCTGATCGAGATAATGGCTGAACAACCTACGAATTTATCAATGACAAGGAAGTACCTACAAATAAGTTGTAAGTGCTCATAGTAGTAATTTCAATAGGAAGCAATAACTTCTTAGATTACTTAAACCGATAGAAATAATTTTCTGTTACCTGTTTCATTCATTACTTGTGCCGGTATTGACCGACCATATATTGATATGGAGAGGTTTAGTTTGCTAAACAATTTGCCATATAAAAAGATTGCTGGTTGTTTCAAGGGATTTAATCCAGAAATTGCAACTTACCTTTTGAGTAAATATATGATAAAAATTGTTTCCAGGAAGCAGTAACACATCAAAAACATGTAGCTATAGAAGGAGGTGCTAATATGTTTTTTCCAACAACACCATTACTATTATCCATTTGACACATCACTCTGCAATAGATGGATCATACCTAGCTAGCACCTACCACCATGGCTACACTCTCAAAGGGGGTCCCGGTCGAGACTGACATCAATGAAATATTCATAGATCCTAAACCCAAACTCACCACTATTGATTTAGTAGGAGGCATCCACTGTCATATTTGTAATTTAACAATCGGAAACAAAAAGGACTTTGATAGTCATTACATTCAGCATGGCACAGGGAACACCGAGATCACATACACATGTGTTGTTTGTCTGAAAGAGATAGTCGGCTACCCTAGCTTTCGTGGGCACTGTTATTTAGTCCATGTTACGAAAGATAAATTTAAGTAAGTGAACTTGAATCTGCATTATGCTCAATATAAAAAGAATATTAAAATAGCCCTGATATTACTCACTTTGTATTAATTATAATTATCTTTATTATAGATGTGAACTTTGCCACAAGATGTTTTCAAAGCAAAGTGCTCTTCAAAGTCACATAAAAAATATGCATGAATTAATCCATAAATGTATGATTTGTCAGAAAAAGTAAGTATTATCTAATTTCGAAGTTAAGAAGCTTGGATTATGATTAAAAAGTACAATTAAAATGACAGCTTGCCCAAATAATGCTAATACACAAAGTGCATCTATAGGATTATTATTTCTCTCATATTGTTGGGTCTTTGATACTTGGGCAGCCTTACAAGTGATAAATGTAGTCCATAATTTATGAATTTAAATATGTATTTGATAATTTGATCAAATGTTATTTTTTAAATGAATTGCTTGTATTGGGCATCAGTCTGTGGAAGTAACTTCCACCATACAGAAGATTACAGTAAAACCACATTATTTTTTGTGGTGTTGTATTTTCTGCTGCATTAGCAATCTTTCTGATTGGGCTTGACTTGCATTTATCATCAAGTTGTGTAGAGTTTGCTGCAAAAATTGCTGCCTTAAATTTAGAGAACAACAAAGTATTAAAGCTGTAGGTATGGTTTCTTGATTCTGTTATAAATATAAATTCATTTCAAAACATCAATATAAATATTAATTCTTAAATGTCTATTCAATTTTTCAGATTTCAAAATCAGAAAGAGCTTTTGCTCCATAAAGTTTTCCATAAAAACACTGAAAATGGTCCTCCATATGAATGCCAGACTTGTGCAGATAGATTAGATACACCCGACGATTGTGAAAACCACATTGAAGAGCATAGTTTCATGTTTTATTCATGCCCAATCTGTAACGAGGACATCAATGATATACAACATGCTGCTAGTCACTTGATGAAACACTTTGGCAATGTACTTACTAATGCAAAACCAGGTGAAGATACAACAAAAGACACCATAGAAGAAAGATCAAATGACAGTTCAATTGACCTCTTAGGTGGTATCCTCTGTAGTTACTGCGATAACACTTATAAAGACAGACCCGATTTCGATAACCACATTAGGGTAGAACACCCTTCCAAAGAAATTATTTACGCTTGCAACATCTGTGGGAAAGAATATGAGAAGTATTTCAACTTTGCTAATCATTGCTACGATCATACAACCAAAGACAGATTTGAGTAAGTATTACCATATGGAAACATTATTAATTTACATATCGCAGGTTTTTATACTGATTTTGTTATTCTTTTCACATAACAGATGTGAAGAGTGTTCGAAAACATTCCCTCGTTTATCGTTGCTGGTCATTCACATGGAAGCCTATCATTCTGACACTAAGCCTTTGGGAGAAGACACGCGCCCTTTTACTTGTTTGCAGTGTAACCATGGTTTCATGACAGATTACCGTCTCAAGGAACATTATCGGACCAAGCATAAGATATATAATAACCAGTGTCCAGAACGGGGATGTGGAAAGACGTAAATAATTAAATTATTTGGAAAATGTATATCCTAAATGTATTAAATGACTTTCCCCTTTTTAAATGTAACTATTATATTTACAGTTTTGACGCACCACGAGATCTAATCCTTCATTTGCGTGAACACAATTCTGTCCAAAATTGGTGTAAGCAATGCGGCCTCCGGTTTTATAGTTTACAAGCGTGTGAGAAACACCTCCAATACCACAAGAAAAAACTTTACTCATGTCCCGTTTGCAGCAAAAATTACGGCGAAAAGTATTTAGTGATCAAACATTTGCAGCAGCACTTCTCGGCTGTTCTTCACGTTTGCAAAGTCTGTGGAAAAGTATACAATTGGCGGAATCGTCTGGTGCAGCACATGAAAGTGCACAATGAAGTGAAGCCTCACGTTTGCTCATTTTGTGGCAAAGGATTCACAAAGACATACTTGTTGCAGCAACACCTGAATATCCACACCGGTCAGAAACCCTTCAAATGTACAAACTGTCCGAAAACCTTTGCCAGCCACCCAAATTTAAGGAAGCATCAACGTAACATTCATAATGTTGCCATAATAAATAGAAAACGAGTTTTAAATGAAAATAATAATCATAATGATTCGAATAAAGCTATCGAAGAAACATTGATGGACGATAGTATGTTGGATGGTGAATCTGCACTGGTGGAAGAGGATAATAACGAAATCCACGCAAATACAGATTTAAACGAACCAGTTATTGATACATCTGTCGATATGAGCAATACAGAAAATAGTTTTGAAGATTCACAAATATCAATTAACCAATGGATATCAAATAGCATAGATCCTGTAGTTCTGGAAATGTTGGAGGAGAACATACTGAACCAGCAAGGGGTGGATGTCGAAGTCACCAATATTTATGACTTCCAGAAGGAACTCTGGGTGTCCAGTTCATCCATTCAACCAGGTGAGTTGATTTGTACTTGTTTCCTGACAGAATTAGATTAACACTTACATTTAGACTTGAGTTACAATATATATAGACAAATCGAAAATAGAGAAATCAACAAAAGTTTTCAGTGTTCTTCCTAGAAGGGGCTAATAGATCATGAGAAAGTCACAACGTATGAACCACCACTATTGGCATTGATTGGGTCTAAGAATCTTAAAAGATTATCACTATTACCAACTTATTAATAAACGAAGACTACGCTTGGATTAGTTACACCATGTTTTGTCTCTGTCTATCAATGACAATAGTTATTTATTATACAAGAGTGGAAAGTTCCTTTTTAACCGCGTGCTCGATTTGGATGACCGAGCAAGCGAAGGATTCTAAAGTTGAATCACGAGCGCAGCGAGTGATTCTAAATTAGAATCCTGAGCGTCAGCGAGGGAAACAAACGAGCACAAGGTGAAAAATCTTTCCACTCGAGTGCAATACGTAACTTTTCATCCCACCTCAGCGAGGAAATGACAAAATGAAAAAGAAAACAATTTATAATGACAAAATATTTTTATTTCAATTAAAACACATTAAGATAATCTATAAATTGAAGAAAATAATAAGAAGTAGAAAATAATTAAGAAATATTAAATGTAACGTTGCTACAGTTACTTATGTTAAGTTTAATATTTTTGTTAGGTAATGTTATGTTGGTGTTTGTGAATTGTGCGCTGTTTTGTGGTAAACTACTCGTATCAGTAATTTTAAATAGTTGTGCCGATTCATTGGATTCTATTGGCGTAAATGTTGGCGAGAGAGGGCTATTGTTTCCAATCTTATGGGGGCTCATTTTAGATGTAGAAGGGCGAGACCAAGAATCTGACAGAGGTTCTTTCAGCGTTATGGCCTCCACGATACTATTACAAATTTTTGATTTACTTTGGATTGAATCCTCTATGTATCCCTCTACAACCGAATTAGACTTCCAGCCTCCATGGCGCTTAAGCGATAGAAGATCAGCCCCTGATTCGGCCAAAAGTGTGGCTGAGGTTCTTCTAAAACAGTGACCGGTGTATAACGGGGGTTCTAAAAGTCCGAGAAAAGTTGCTATTTCTCGTGGAATACTGCCAATTTTATTCTGACCCATAGGTTGTCGGATACACTTTCCGTTGCGATATTGTAGAAAAAATCGTTCAATTGGGGTGTTAGAAGGACGTAAAGCTTGATATTTCTGAACAGTGTTTACATATTCCTTGCGAATAACGAAGTTGCGGTCTTTTTTTGTCTTGGTATTTAGTACATTAATTAATAGCAATTCATCAGAATTATGAGAATATTTTGATACGTTATTGACATTAAGTAGTGTAAGTTCATTTGTTCGACATGCTCCGGTTATACCAATAATAAGAACAACCTGTAACAAAAGAAGTATTTATAATCGTAAATAAATTAATCAAATTAAAAATATTGTAAGTACTATGTACAATTTTATCAACAACAAAAAATTACACGTATTGACTTACTTTTGCCGCTAAATATACGGAATCAGGTGCTTCATTAATAAACTTTGCAATTTCAGATGCTGTGAAAACCTTCGATTTTTTTGGTTTATAACCAGATGAGGCTCTTTTTAAAAATGCCACTAATTTATGATAGGTGTCGATATGAACGTCTTTCTTCATCTTAATTGTTAATTTTAGCATTGAATACGTACTCCATAGCGTGCTTGCTTTCTTGGTCTCAGATAATTCTATAAAATATGCCAGCAAAACGTTTTCGGAGAAAGTTTTTGCTCCTTTAGCTAGTCGCCACATGTTAAATATATCGTACTGTTTCAAATACTTCTCTCGTGATTGCTGAGGGAGAAGGCTCATTTGCGCATTATTAACTGTTTCAGTTAACTCAGTTGGCGTTAGATAAACTTCATCGTCGCTAATGTCACTCATTTTAGTTGATTTTTTTGTACAGTTTTTAGGTTATGTTAATTATATTAAGCAATAAAACGTGAAAAACTAGAATGGCGCGAAGCACGCAAATAAAACAAAGAAACCAAGAAGGTTCCAAATTTAAATTTTTTCACAATTTAAAAAGTTCTAATCATAAATTTGGCACCATAGAGGTTACATTAAATAGGTTTAATGACGTTTTGAATTTACAATTATATTGAGTACTCATTATATGTGATGTTCTAAATTCAAATCTACTTTGCCGCTCAAGCGAATAAAATAGAATTTTCCAGCCAGATTTCGAAGCGCAAAATTACACTTTCCGAGGTGGTGGGATGAAAATGGTATTTGAGTGACATGAACAAAAAACGGAGTAACTAGTCTTAAGCTTATTCCTTGTTTATTAATAAGGGGGTAAATATGTTCCTTATTTGTTTTGCTGTAATACAAGTCCATATTTTTGTATTTGCCATAAGGTGATCTCATGAGATTTAACAATAGGGAATATGCATGTAATTTAAATATTCTTCATTTTATTTTTTATATAAACTTTATTACCTACTTTTAAGTTGTGCTTTCATCAATATGTTTTGATAAATTTTCTTTAAAAGGAAATTAATGTCTATCATTAATTAATTTAATTATCTTGCTCGAAAAGCAAGTGCCAAAACCTTGTGGAAAATTAAAATAATTTGAGATGCGACAAGAGCAGTTGTGATGTAGAAATTAAAAAAAAGTGATTTTCACAGGATATGCAATGTCAACAATTTAATAGTGCAGTGTCAAATGTCAAAGCCGTGTTCCACTTGGACACCAAAAGCAATATTTAAATATAAAATTAATAATTTTACCTAAAATGTATGAAACATAATGTCTATTTCATTGACGTACCTATGTACGTCAAATGAAGAACCTATGTTCTGACTTCCATCTTCAGTGAAGGTATGGAACGCAAAATGACAGTCTTCTGAAGTCATTGATTTTAATGTAGGTTTTAAAGGTTTGTGACGTCACATCCAAGCGTTCGAAAATAGCACGAGTTTAATCTGCCCGTGCAAAACGCTATTTTTTTTAGCATATTTTAGACACTATTACTTTTTTCGCCTTAGGTTTTTTTATACTTTAAAGAGGAGATGTAAACTACTACATAAAAATATTTAAAAAATTCATGCATATTCCCTATTGCGTTGTGCTATAACGACTGCAGAAGCATCCGTGACCAACTGAACGCCCCATCCAAATTCCAAGTCAAGGCAGGAAATTTCCTTTACATTTAGGCTGGGCGCATGTGTGCGATTTCCTGATTAGGAGTTCAGATTCGGAATTCGCGAGCACAGCACTGACTTTTCAGTGTTATTTATTAGGTACCGAACCGGACGTTAAGTTTTTTCGATTCTGATACAATAACAATAGTGTGCGCCTTCTTGAAGATTTTGTATGTAACGACGTGCATTCAGGTCTCCGAATTGGATTTTCTGACCAGGTCAAACATCCGTATGCGCCCAGCCTTAATAACTAATGAGTAATACAACAACTAAACTATAATATATTGTTTTAAACTTTCATGGTCACTAACATTATAGTAATATAAGTTATTTACGGGATTGTTACCATGTACCTTGTTTTTAGCGAGTTTTTCCGATATTTCGGCACTGTTGCAAGCGCCATGATCACAGAGTAACTGAAGTAATTGCGGGTAGGCTGTTATTGGCAGACGTGTCGGTCTACCCTCCGACGACGTCTTTTATTGCGTTCGATACCCGTACCACTGTTCATATTCTCACTATTCACTCGAAACTGTTCTCGACACACAACACTTACAGTATCGGATCGCGGCACGACACTTTTTTGATTATTTCCGGTTTTACACATACGAACCACAGGATTCCAGACACTCGACAATTTAAACCCGAAATATTGGAAACTCGCTAAAAACAAGGTACATGGTAATAATCCCGTAAATAACTTATATTACTATAACTAAGCTGAGGAGCTCGATGGCGCAAGTGGTTAGCGCGTTCGGCTGCCATCGTTGAACTTAAGCAACTTTCGCAGTGGTCGGTCATTGGATGGGTGATCAAAAATTACTATCTCGAGCTCCTCCGTGCTTCGGAAGGCACGTTAACCCGTTGGTCCCGGCTGCATCTGCAGTAGTTAGCACCCGCCAATCCGCACTGGGCCCGCGTGGTGGGTCATGGTCCAATCTCCCTATTCCATCCATAGGGAAGGCCTGTGCCCCAGCAGTGGGGACATTAATAGGCTGATGATGATGATGATGATGATGATGATGATGAGTAACACAACATCTAAACTATAGGTACAGATTCCTGCGAGGCGCTCGTGACCCGAGAGTATGGTCCCGAATTCGTATTTGGCGCAGAAGCCGCGAGCGTAGGCGCCGGTTACATTCCCCTAGGCGATCCGCCGCTACCCCACATCGACCCGCGTCTGACATTACTCCACCCCGTCCCCCCCACCATCACCCCGACCCCTTACCCCTGTTCACCCCCATATACCAGCCCCGACTCAGCCCCGGTTCTAACGAAGCTCCAGAGCCCGTACGATTTCGACACCGCGCGATTCACGGTGAATACGGATATATTTTAAACCCTCCCACTGTCGATGTATCAGCGATCAAAGTACCTCCCCTAGAGACCGCATATTAGGGCGTCTGCTCGTGCCAAGCTTATATGAAATCAAGTTCAACATCATTTGTTTTGACTTGGCTGTTACAAGCTCTCGTCAACGTCAAAGCGCTATGCCATCGGTTCGTTAATAAACGACTTTTTACTGGAGACAAAGGGTATTTATTTTAGTTACACTGTCTAAAAGTGTGACGCGCCCGCAAACGTCGCGATACAAATTTTCACCTAAATTTGTCGTCCGTGATTAATTGTCCGTCACACTGACGTGGCCAATCAAAATGCGGCTTAACCTCCCCACACGCGACCAACTTTGGCGATTTCGATTTTGAACCAAAATTGAGAAAAGCGGTCTCTAATAGGGGTGCTTTGTGAACGTACGCAACCACGAGTTACGAGTCACGTTCGTAGACATAGAGAATTCCTTGTCCTACTGTCATAAAAATTGAGCAGATAAATGTGGGAGAGAGGAAGCGATCATGCGGTCAATAGTTCATATTCGATATGGTTCTTTGTAAATGTTGCTACTTCTGTTAAATGCTGATAAGTTTCTTGCTCCCATTCTTCTCATCAGCTGAAAGATGTCCCGAATGGGTGGTAGGGAAAAATATTGGGCGATTCAAAGCTTTCAATAAGTCAATTTGAGTAAAGTATAATTTTAGTTCATTTGCAACTTTAATTGTTTAATATTTATAAATATATTAATGTATATGAGCTACACCGTCGCATTCACTCTTTCTAGTGAGTTGCTGATTTCATGCGAGTTAAACTTAGTACATTCTCTATGTTTATGGTCATGCCGTCTGTGCCGATTCATTTACTTTTAATGTACCCTGTGTTGCCACTTAAAAAATATTTAAAATCGTCCCAATCAGATGCGATTAACGCGAGCTATTACTCGTAGAAACTTCAACCCGATTGAAATCACTTATCGCGAATAAGTATTTTTATTGGGCATTTGAATATTTTTTTATTAAGCTAATAGAGACGTCAATAAAATAAGTTGGTTTAAAAATTATGTTGTCACTTTGTTCGCGATAGCAACAAAGAAAGTCAACAAATCATCTCCACTAGCGTTTAAGTTGTTAAGTTTTAAGTATGTAGTGCGATAAGGCTTTTATAATTTGAGTGACAGTTCAGGAAGGCGCTGCTGTCTACATAAATGATATACATCATATGACGTTTACAATCTTTGCTGCGTCAGTTCCAATTTTCAGATCCTTTTCGCACTGTGTAAGTGCCCTAGTGTGAGTTTTAATTACGATCGTGTTTACGTCATTTTCGTATTACAGAAAGTTGATACATTTATGTTGTTCGACAGACGATGCTCGTAAACGCCATTCGATTCGATTATAAGTTTATGTAAACGCGATCGTGATATCCAAAAATCGGTTTCGTTTCATGATCTGCGTCTTTGTCAATTCCCAAATGAGTGGAATCGGCAAAAGATAGAAATGGAATTTGAAAATGTTACCGACTGCTCTATGTATGAATAAGGCTTCGGCGAGTGACTCGCGGTTGCGGTTCCACTGTACCAATTGTTGTTTAGAGTTAAATAGTCGTAATAGTATTGTATCCGCGGCCATTGGCGACGGATAATCCCCGGGAGGACATGGTCGATACGATGCCTCATCATATTGCCCCCCGCTTCAGACGGAAATAGCGGGAGTATGATGTGGCGCCATCTGTCGACCTTTCACCGCCGGTCCATAAGTCTACCTCACGCCGAAACGAGTATATACCTCAGTAATATGTCCATAGGAGCTATTTTAGTAGTTTAAACTGTTGATTATAAACATAACGTGTATCCCACCAAACATTAGATGAGTAATCTTTAAACATATTACATAATAATGCTACCTCAGTTTAGTTTTTTAAGTTTAAGTTTAGTTTAGCTGTAGCGTTTACGATTTGTCGTTGCGCTTTTCTCGTTATCTAAGTATGCAGGAAATAAAGGCGTGCCATTTCTTGTTTCGCCCCGAGCGGCAGATCATTCGTATGCCGCCTCGCTCGCTTAGAGCGAACACTCAGATTTCGTAAGTCGAAATCGAATAAAATATGCGAGAATTCGCTCGGAAATTGTGACTTTTAAATTTTGTCAGTTTATTATTTGTGTTCTGATTTTTTAAACTACAGTTTTTTTTGTAACACAAAGTTTGTCTGCTTCCCGAAAATTGGGTCACGGCAAACGACAGCTTTGTTAATACGTATATTCGGGACTTTTGCTGCACTTGGTAATATGCATTTCAATTTCTCTTACGTTGAGCCAGTGTTGGACGGCTTTAAATGTTTGTAATCACCTCTTGACTCGCTTGAGTTAAGCTAGGTATAGTTTATTGTATTCAATCCATACACTTGAGGCCACAATTGATATAGATACAGTTCTTTTTTTACATAACCATAAGAAAGCATACAAGTAAATGAGGGCATAAACCATTCAGGTTAATTGATTAACTTTATAGGGAATTGAAGGCAAAGGTTAACAAAGGCTAAGTTCTTCCACAAAAGTAATGGCCGCCCTCCCTAATCTCCACTTGAGTTTCTTGATCATGACTGTCGCTGGTTAATCCATTCATATCTCGCCATGATACTGTCCCTTGGACTTGGTAATTCGATTTTAGATGACAATTACCTACCTTCAACTTTCTATAGAATGCCGTTAAGGCTGGAACTGTGAGCCTAAGTTTGCTTCAATAATATAGAAAAGTATATCATAAACGCGATCCAGCCACGGAAAATTGGTGACAATATCTTAAAATTGTGAACACGTTTATTTCAAAGCGATAAGAGTTATATTTTACATCTGGAATAGCCACAGTTGTTGCCTCTACTGTACAATCAAATTTACACCATGTGATTTAGATTCTTATTTTCTAAAAAAAATGTTGATAATGAACTTTCATAATGTATACTTATTTTTCTTTATACTGTACGTTACTTGCTGCAGTCAAATATTTAAATTGTCATAAACCTCGTCCGACACTGGTGTTGTCTTGCATTTTTCAATTTCGATTCCTTTTGTTGTTATTATAATGAAAGTCGCGAGGCCAAGCTCCGCGACTTTAGTGTAAGTGAATCGATAGTGCTGTGATATTTTTATGTACATCTAGTGTTAAGATTAGTGAGCGTAATGTAATAAGTGAGTACAAAACATAATGTTATTTATGATGAACGAGATTCGGGTCACACAACGATACAAGCGTCGTTCCGATTCTGGTGCGATCGATCGCGGTAATATGTACGGTCAGCAGGCAATGGAAATTGTTCAAAATAAATCTAAAGATCAACGGCCCCATTCCTATAACCTATCCTCTATAGGAAAGATTACTAGAGCTTAATTGCCTTGAAATTTGTTGATTATTGAAACAGAATAGATCTAGTTTGTTAACTGATCTTAAAGATCCACTAAACTGTGGTAAGATTATCTTTATGTTGGGTAGGATGTTGCGATCGGTTCGTAATTAACAACGGTCTGTTAGTCCTCGGCGATTTGGATTTAGAATAAGAGAGATGAAAGTTAGTCCGTTTCGTTGCTGACCGTACTCTGACGGTCGTACCTGTGGCCGCACATCACCGCAAACAGTATATGGACACGACAACACACACCGCATATGGAATTTCAGGTGAAATACTTAACGTAGTCGAATGAGCCCCTTAATTTGACGGGCTGTCTTTTTATCTGGTAATCGGGTGCATAACTAATGCTTGAATGCAGCTATCGGGCAGCTAAGTACGTACGGACACAACGTGAAAAATGCACTGTAGAAAAGTGTCAAACTTTTTAGTTCTAGATGAACTCGTCGACTTTGATGATTTTTCAGTGCAAATTATTGTATTTAACGAAAAACAAATTTTGTTTTTATTGTATTTCCTACGTTGATGTCTGTAGAAAACCTTCATAATACGCGAACGGTTGTCCATTTCACAAAAGTGGTAGTCAAAGTAAGCCGCACAGTTACAGCTCAGAACATTCCATATGCGTTGCAAACAAACAAATTAGGTGTATTCTCACCAAATTATATACGAAGACAATTTACTTAATCGAAGAGAGTTAAGATTTGATTCTTAAAGATGTTGATGTATATGTAAGAGAGAAAGAAAATATATGAATTAACTCCGAAATATATTTTGGAGAGAGATATTTACAAGTTTGAGGCGGGGTCTTAGTGATAAACGTATCCAAAGACTGTTAGGTATTATAGGGTTCTTTGAACTCGAATTTGACTTATAAGTCGGGGATATAATGCGGAAAAAAAGTCAGATACGCGTAAGCAGAAGAAAAACATATAATAGATCACGGTGTAGCTATCGACAATCATAGGCTTTGACAATCGAATTGGATAAAAAACAAATTGTGAAGAGTGCAAAATTGGCGCATCGTTCACCTCTCAGGTCAGTAGACAGGTGCAGGTAGTTTACGACACAGTTGGATTACGCTGGAGAGAGAAACTCTACTCTATGCTTCTTGAAATTAATGTTGAAAATTGTACAACGCCCTGTACGCAGGGCGCGCAGCAACCACGCTAGATTGGTTCCCACTCAGTGTTACTGTGCAGTGGCGTCACAGGGCCCGCTGAACATTACTGCACATTAATTCGATGGCTGTCGGCACATAGCTTGTGACAGTAATTAAAATAGCTTAATTAATCATTCATTATGTTGTAAGCCTCAGCAGAGGCTTTCATTTATCAATAAATAGTACTTATTCAAGCTTCTATAATCATGATAAATCAAATTATACCATTTCGATGTAAATTTCGTTGCAAAGGGGACAATTGGCACGATATTTTCGTAATTTTTTTCATGCTGCTCGTATGCAATTATAATGGCCTAATGATGTGAGATTGTCTTTGTGGTTGATGCGTCTATGTTAAACAGGTTCTGCGGAAAACTGAACTGTTTCATAAATAGAGAGTGGGTATTTTGAAACATGAGTTTATAATTGTTATTGAATCTGAAGCGATTTGATTAAATAGAATTTAAAAAATACCCGAATCTCACTTACAGACAACATTGATTTGTCAAGATTTGACCATTCTAACCATTACTGGACGGAGTTTAATACATGTTGTTATAAGACATACAGTTATCTTAACAATATATTCTTCTGTTTTGGTAATCATATGATCCTCCACGGAGTCGTGCTGGAGCAGCTGCGATAATGTTGTGGTTGTACCCTTTGCAACCGTATTTGTCCCTAGCTTTTAGGTGTTAGGTTAGAATCGAGCACAGGGTATTGTGGTTCTATTTTAACGGAGGCGTTTAAATCGAGTTCGTAAGTGACAGGACACACTTCATCCGACACACAGGTGGTTGCATAATACTACCCCAATACCCGACACTTTGTAACATAGTAAACCATCTAAATCTGTTTAAAATTTAAGCGTTTGGACCGGGTTTTTTTTCATGATGTTCTTAGTTGTATCTTTCGAGTACGTTTCAAATAAATTATATATCTAATAATAACCACCAAGATTAAATGTTGTAAAATTTATCTCGCGATATGATCTATTTTCATGGCGCATGAAGAGTTTACAAAAGATTTTATGATTCATATTTGAAAATTGACTTTAGTGTAACATTTTATCAAATTCTTTTAGGAATAGGAAATTATTAGTTTCACAAGCACTTCCAAGCGAAACTATTCTTGTTATTAATATATAAGAAAAAATAAAAAAAAAAATGTAAACCCGGTCGATTTATGTGTAGTTGTCTAAATTTTATTTCGATACAATAAATTTCATAATTTAGCGCTTTTAAATGCATAATATACAGATAATTTACGGATGTTCTGATTTTGTTTTTTATTTCATTTTATGATATGGAAAAAGTAATATGTAAATAGATTTTTCTTGAATTATCCTTACCATCTCTTAAGGAATGCGAAACTTGTGCTACTGTGTCTAAGGTGACGTTTGTTTGTTTTTGCTTTTTTCTAATCTTTACTTCGTAAGTAAATAAGCACTAAAAAGCAGCGGTGGTCTAAATATATAAAGGAACATAATATACATAACGTCATCTCCCCCTATCCCTACTATATAGAAATTAAATATAAAATACATAGTTAATTGGTGTGTATTCTATAAATTATGCAGATCAAACTGTTGGGCTCAAATGTGACATGCCAACTTGTGTTAGTATTAGGATATATTTTTTTTCGATGGAAAGGATAATTTGCCAGCTTTTGCTTCGATGTTTGACATGAGATGTTGTATACTTTTAGGGAAATGTATTTTCGCTATGTAATGGTAAGAAATCACTTGTATTCAACTACCAATATAGTTTTATCTCTTTTAAATCGCCACTTATACCTAATCAGGAAAATATAAAGCCCTGTAGCGGGCTAATCGTAACTTGTTACAGATCAGTCTTACAAGAATGAAGACTAAGATAATATTTGATATTGCCGTAGTACATGTCAGTACTGTTCTTGGGAGACTGGTTGTTGATACTGTGATCCGTAAAGTTGATAGTGTTTTATATTTTTGTGAATAGGCGCTATATGAATACCGATCTACCTCCATATGACTCCATGGTTAACAATAAAATAGATTTTGTTATAAAATATGTAAACTTTACACACATTTATAAACTATATTTTGTATGTTATAAAAAAGCAGATATTTGTAAGGGATGTAGGTTTTTACACATAAGATACTTATTTCGATTAAAATTATTATATGTGCATGTTACGTTCCGTTTCAATGTAGAACGCCACTCAAATCTGAAATTGAATCGTGTAAACATTACGATTATATTATACTATGTGAATGTACATTATTGTTTTATTATCACCTACCTCTCTCACTACGGAAATGCCCTATATTCGCATAATGTCAGTGATACGCAGTGCCGTCTTTGACCTATTGGAGGCCCTGGGCATATTAGGATAATGGGGCCCCTATGACTTCCGTTTGATGATTTAACAGGAACTAGGGACTTTGTATTTGACCTGAGGGGGCCCCCTATTGATCGCGGAGCCCTGGGCACTTGCCCAAAGTGCCTACTGGGACAGACGGGTCTGGTGATACGCGATGGCAATTCAAAAGCTTGCTTGGACACAATGAGGTATATCTCGCATGAACCTAACTCAGATTAATTATGGCTTGTCTAGTATCAGAATGGTTCAATGAATGCAAGTGCTTTATAATTTTTATAAGTTGTAGGAGAGTTTGTTCCTTTTTGTAGTGCAGTTTCTTTTCATATGGGGTGTAAATGGAAAAATCCTATGGAAAATATGTAACGAAAGTGTGTCACAAGGGTCACACGACTATGCGTGTGTGGGATGCGTGCGCAGCTCTTCCCGACGAGCATGAAAGTTGGAGGGTTAGTTGAACTCTGCGAAGGCTGATACGCTACAAGCGTTACACGCGACAATATCTTATACATAAAATTCTCGTGTCACAATGTTAGTTACCATACTCCTCCGAAACGGCCTCACCAATTTTTGTGAAATTTTATATGCATATTCCGTGGGTCTGAGAATCGGCTACTATCTATTTTTTCATATCATATCCTTTAGTGATAATGGTTGTTCACCTGTAACATAGTGTTCTGAAACCTACAATGCGCCTTCGTGCCAAAATTCATACTATTGGATATTGTCACGTAGTGTTCTCATATGGGTTAAGGCGCTTTGCAGACGATGGGGCGGAGCGGGCCGGTCAATTTCGCCGCGAACGATAGCACAAAGTGAATCCTATACTACAAACGCACACAGAGGGCAAAAAGACCGGCGGGCACTGGCGGCGCGGCATGTCCGCGGCTGCCCGCCGTGGATCATACAAACCAGTGTATATGCAGTAAAGCAGACGGCGGCGCGGGGCGGCTAGCTCAGTCTGCGCCACGCGCTTTTTAGTGATGGACTATTCACTAGAACGAACGTTCTGAACTGACTGCCTCTGCCCGTCGTGTGCTTTGTGTACGCAGCGAGGGCAGACGCGGTTTTTATTGCTTCGCGGACAAAAAGCCCGCCCCGCCCCGTCGTCTGCAAAGCGCCTAAGAGGAATGTTATCCCAGGAAATTGAATACACCACTAAAATTTATTTTGGACATCTTTTTTTTATAATGTCGTATTAAAAGATACATACAACCTTAAATTTTCTTTTCTACCTCCTGCCCTTATTTTTATGGCGGTACGAAGTTCGCTGGGTCAGCTAGTAAATATATTAAAAGTGAAGCGCGCGCTGCTTAATTCCCCTGTTTTATGCACCGGCTAATCTTCGGTTATTTAAGAAAAGAAGTTTCACTTCAGATGTGTGGTCCGCCCACATATTTTTTTTCATCTTTGTTTATCCATGCCAAATTCGCTTTTATCGCGTGGTCAAAGGATGGGACCACGAGGGAGAACTGTTTCTCTTGGTCCCATTAAATCAAATCACAGTAATTAAATATCATTTATTCATTATTTCGTAAACTGCCGTATAAATAAATCGCTTGATATTAGTGGACCAAAGACTAGATCGGGGTTTTCTCCCACAAAATCTACTTTTCACGTACACCGAGGAAAGACTGCCGCTCAAAATGTTAACAGTTTAAAGTTGACTTTTGACACCATTATTTCCATAATAATGGGACCCCGAGAAACAGCACTCCCTCGACCCCTAAAATGGAGACCGAACAAAAACCATATTTTGAGGTAAGTATCATTTATTACCATCGAATTATGTACGCTTATAACTATGTATCTATATTAATTAACTAAAACTGGCTTTAGAGTGAAACTAAATGGCGATTCAGCTACATCAGTGTTTCTGTAAGACAATAATTAAATTACATCCCTAAACAATCAACAATTAATCTTGTAACTTTAGTAGGTAAATATGGTGAACTTTAACTCGGAAAATTTAATTATAATATTCTGTTGTCTTTAAAGGGTAAACTTAGTAAGGTTTCTAACATTTTTGCAATACCATAATTTGTAACAAATTAACTCTAAGATTTCATTCAAATTCGATGCAAGTTAAAACAGTACTGGAATAGATACTACAAAATGATCTACGTTTCAAACTCAGTATATTGCTAAGTTCATTATGAGGTATAAGATAACAGGACATCTTCCACAGGTTGGTGACGGTGACATTAATTTTCCTGGCGAAGCACAAATTCAGAAAATAAATCTGGTATAATTTCGAGTCTTATATTAACTATAGGAAGCCAGCTAAAATCTACGGATTACAATGAACTGATATAACCGATACGATTAATTTCTGTGTAAAAATTACTTTTTCTTAGCCAAAAAATACTATGAATCCCCACTTATCCATAAACTGACTAGATGTAAAAAAATTATGGGCATACACACCATGCCAGCATTTTTTACTCGAGTAACATGATATTTTCGTTTACATTATTATAATAATTATGAAAAATATACAAATTGTGTTATGGTAACCTTATACACTAGGGATTCCGTGTGATATATATTTACAATGATTTCAAATAACACTTTACTGCGTTCAATAATTTTAGAGAGAAAAACTCATGTTTTCTTCTGAAATTATTTACAGTAAAATGAAACGTGGTCACGGCTGGGCTTATGCAATAGAAATTTTATTATCGACCTTATTATATCTGCTGTTTTGTTACAAATTGATTAAAATATGTGTATCCGATTATTATGCTCATCAACACATTGTTTTGCATTACAATTTGAACTTGCTTTAATTTCATACAAATTAATTATTATGAACTTAGGCTCTTTTGAAAATAAATAGTTTATTGAACGTGTAATTTTAATATATTGAACTTGACAGTTTTTAATTCTAATGTAAGTGCAAGTATTTTATTTAGTATTTCATATAACTACCTACATTAATTTAATGTCAATCGATTTAACTGTAGAAAAGTCTACCTATTTAAAATGAGTCCAGATCACAAATATATAGCTGAATACATAGGAATTTATACCAGTTGTTTAATACTTTGTGACAATGTCTTTTTTTCCTTACGAAAACTAAAATTGCAGTCAAGATGTTATTTATAATAAGTGTATAATTTTTAGTATCTTTAAGAATAAATGCAACAAATATACAATAAAACTATAAATAAAAATCATAAGAAAAAAAAAAAGGAATCACTAACAGTTATTTTTTCACTTTAAAGAGATACCAATCATAGGTTAACACATTTAAATAAATCCCTGAACGTTGAATGATTCTTGTATTGATCAAATCAGCATTAACTATTGAATAATTTTCGCCCTTTCAAGATCTCTTATAAAAGGAAGAACTATCTCAGTCATTCGTAAAGCATAACATCGATTTGTTTGTCGAACAGACACATTACATTAATTATGATAATAGAATAATTAAACACTTCATTTATTGAAGATCATTGAACTATTGCCGCATTTAATACAATTAGGAATTGACCTGACCATTGACCGGTTTCCTAGCAAACACTTTACCTACGGGTTTCCTCGCCGTACTCGCGGCATTGGTGCCTATTTTAGCAGGTGTCGACTTGGGTCGTAAACTGGGTATCTGTGACACTCTAATTCCAATGGCAGACTTTTGTTTTGGAGCGCCGGCCTGAGCTTGCTTAGGCTGTCCTTCGAAGGTGGAGCTTCTTATTAATTTTGGTGTCTCCGTCTTTTCGCTTTCGATCCACACTCTTTTATCGGGTTTGCTCGGCTGCTTTTTGCTCTGCTCCACCCTCTTCCATAAGTTGGCTATTTTGCTTTCGACATCTTTCGTGTTTTTCGTTGAGTGCACAGAGTTCACGCTGGATGTACTCCCTTGTCTTGAGCTCCTGGAAGCTAAAGTCACAGTTTTGCCACTGTCGTTGCTCTGTAAGCTGTGATTGGAGGGAGAATTCTTCATGGTGGCTTCTGACGGCCGTTTTCCTGCTACCGTTTTGGTGGCAGGTTTCTGGTTGCCTTTGGCTGATGCAGTAGCAGGCCTGGAGTACCGGTTTAGTTGCGGTAAACGCGACGGGGACGTGTTAACCGGCTTAGTAGGCGAAGAAGCCTTGTATTGAGGCACGCAAGTCCTTTTCTCCGGCACTGGTAAATCTTTCGGCGGTACAGTGCTTTCCTCTTTAGTGAATGTACCCTGTCTCTCTAAAGGTAAAGGTTTGCTGCTTCCACTGAGAGGTATGGGCACGGTTTTTTGCTGCACCGCTTTGGTCGGTGACCTGTGCGGAATGGACTTCTTTGGCGACGTATTCGCACTGGGTGGTTTAGATACGGTTGGCGTTTTGCTGGGGATTTTAGCGTTAGGTTTGGTATTGACTACAGTTTTCGGAGGCTGTATGCCTTTCGGTGTCGCTTTTGCAGTTGCCGTTGCCGCTGCCGCTGGTTTCTTTGGCGCGGCTGCAGAAGTGCGTCTATAAGGCGACACGTACAATGCCTTCTTCCGACCTCTTATTGCTTTCGGAGATTCTTGCTCTTTGTCTAATGAATCGTTGCTGTCCACGCTCTCGTCTCGACGCGCGGTAGGTTTTATTATCTTTGGTTTGGGTCGAGACGTGGAAGACTCTTGGTCGGATTCAGATTGCCCCCTGTCTTCCGAATTGCTGTCACCTTCGTAGCTTGCGAAGTCGCTACTGCTGGGGTGCTGGCTTTTGCTCTGCTCCTGCATGGTTCGTTTGAAGGACGCAGTCATTTCTATGTTTTTCAGATTGTTCACTACGCACATGTCGACGGCCGCGGGGCTTTCTATAACTGGCAGATAATTCCTGAAGCTTTTAGTGTAGGTTTGCATTTGGGTTGAGTTCAGTTCGAAGTCGTCCTCGTTGTGACCGCTATCTGTCTCCCTGAACACGTCGTCGTCTCGTTGTTTATCGTCCAGTAACTGCTGATGATTCAACTCGTTAGAGGATAAGCTGTCGTATCCTGTTGTAGTCTCGACGTTCTCGAAATTCGCGTCTTTAGTGACGAACGTAGGAGATGGCGGTATATCTTCGCTTAAGGTTCGCGTCCTGAACCTTTCAGCGTCTTCTATCCGCTTCTGTTTCATCGTCTTCTTGGCGGCTAGCCGTTGCTTCAAGCTCTCTATGTGAGGGTCCACTATCTTGGACTGGGAACACTCCTGAGTCGCGATATTATGTATATTGACGGTCTGCGTTTGGTACCTAGCTCTGTCCTCTAACCGTCTCTGTTTCGCGCTCATTTTCCGCCTCGACTTTGACTCGGAAGTCGCGGTGACGTACTCTTCGGACTTGTCACTCTCCGACTTGGTCCACGTCAGGAATTCCTCGTCCTCCACTTCTACGACGATGTTGTTGTCTATCAAATTGTCCGTGATCGTGTACGTTTGGTACCTGTCTTTGGACACGTGTCTCTTTTCTTTCGGAGTCAAATAGTTTGAATCTCTATGTCGCTTCGGCGTAGATTCTACGCTGCTTATGTCCGACGGTAAAGGAGTGCACGTTTCGGACCCGGAAGGGATGTCTGTTATTACGTTCAAAGTATTCGATACGCAGTCGTCCAACACTTGATGGGCGGTCGTTTGGTCTATTTCTAAAGTAGACTCTGCCATTTCATCGAACAGCGATGGAGGATTAACTTTATCTAAGTCGTGGAAGACAGTGAAGGCGCTACACAACGGGAAGTCTTGAATTGGCTGCTTCAAATCGAACACAACGGGGAGCCGATCTTTAGTCTCGGCCACTTCTGACATTATGCTCGCGACAGAGACCATGCTTCCTTCCATATCCATCGCTTCCAATTCCGAAGGAGGCTTCACGTTGTCGAGGAAACTGACAGGATTACTATCTAAATGTTCCGAGCTGCCTTGATGCATGGAGTTGCTTAACGCCCGTTTCACCATTAGAGCGACAGGGAGAGATTTCTTTCGACTTCGCTGCGATTTCTTCGACGCTTGCGCGGAAGTGTCATCCCAATGGCCGGAAGCGCTCAATGATAAAAGACTCCCCAATTCTGAAGGTGGTCGGATATTGTCTAAATCCAAGCTGGTGAGAGATGTAACGCTTGCGTCCATTCCGAATTGCGAGTTTTTTAATTGAGCTGCCAATCTAGCTGCTTCTTTCTCTATTGCCGCAGCCATGATGGAATCGAGGCGAGTTTCGCTCTCTTCCAAAGCCCTTGTTTCCTCAAGTTTCTCCGTCAAATCGGGTCGGGATAGAGAAATGTTGGTGGTGCGTTTCTCGAGCAGATCCGGAAGTTCGGGAATATCGCGGATTTCACTCGTGGAAGACTCCAAATGAGCGGAACTGATGGTGGGGAAAGTGACGTCATCGGGGCACGTGTGGTCTTCCCAAGTGTCAGCCTTTATATCCACCCATTCTAAGTCAGTTCGGACGTCTCTCAAAGGCGAAACCGTTGTTTCGTCATCGCTGACGTAATCATTCGCCTGGTTGATATCTGGTCTTGTATCATTTTCGTTGGGTTTATCGATTGTTGGTTTGATCTGAGTAGGTGTGGAAGATCTTCGGATAGAAACGTTGCTGCCGTCGATAATATCTGCGTAGGCTTCGTTGGACATGTGTGAATCGGCGATTTCTCCATCAGATTTGGCGGGGTCCCTCAAGGTGGAAGTGGATGATGGGGCCCGTATTTCTTCGTCGGATTCATCGCCATCGGAAACGTCGGCGTACGATTCGTTCGAGCGGTCCAAGTCTACGAGGTCTTTGGAACGGTTCAAGCTGCCGAGGTCTTCGTCGTCCAGTTCTTGGTCGAGGTGATTTCTATCGTCCTCTTCCTTGAAGTCCAGCGCTTCCAGTCTTCTCTCTAAGCTGTCTATCGCGATGTGATGTTCCAGGGGACCGATCTGTTAAAAATATTGACCGTTAATTTTAAATATACATGTCATCATCTTCAGCCTATTAATGGCCCCACTGCTGGAGCACAGGCCTTCCCTATGAATGGAATAGGGAGATTGGGCCATGACCCACCACGCGGGCCCAGTGCGGATTAGTGGCTAACGATTGCAGATGCAGCCGGGACCAACGGCTTAACGTGCCTTGCGAAGCACGGAGGAACTCGAGATAGAAGATTATTGGTCACCCATCCAATGACTACCACTGCGAAAGTTGCTTAACTTCAACGACCGCAGCCGAACGCGTTAACCACCCGCGCCATCGAGCTCCTAATATTTATACCCTAGTGTTTTATCTTCATCACAATGTTTTTTTTGAGGGTGTATGCTGTTGGTCGCAGATGACCTTTACAGGGTTTGGGAACGGCGAGATCCTAACGGGACCTCAAGTCGAGAATTGGCGAGTGCCTCTAGAGGTATTCCAGGCGGATGGCGTCTCCCCATGGGGGAGTCTCCTCTCCGTCTGGAGCCTCTAGACCACTTCAACCTGAGGGGGCAGGCGCGGCCGGTTGCCACTTCGCGATATAAGGTTATCGGAAAAACAAAACGTAAGCGCGTTTTAAAATACAATCAGCGCCATCTAGCGACGTGTGCCACTCTTTGAGCCGGATTCCAGGCAGATGGCATCTCGTTTCTCTCTTCAAGGGGAGAGTTTCCTCTCGGTCTGGAGCCTCTAGACCACTCTAACCTGAGGGGGTCGGCTCAACTCAAGGTCGTGTCTCTGAGACTCGGGCCTCGGCTCTAGTTAGCCATAATACATGACTATTCATAACTATAATTTTTATTATTTTTAAAGCATGTAACTGCTTGATGTTTAAATCTAAAGAAAATATAACTAGAAAAAATTCCACGCGGACCAGGCAGCAGACGGGACGGGATTCATAACTACTCCGGCGGTAATGCAGAGATGAGCGGAATTGAAGAGCTAGATTCTGTTTAATGTTTTTTCTTTCTCTCTAACTTAATAAATTAATTTTATTAAAAAATCTGATGTTTTTTCTCACTTAATCTATGTAAATAAGTTTTATTAATTAGATTTTTTTTGCTCACTCTACCTATTTGGTTTGAATTGACAGCTATGACGTCAAAATATGGCACCCAGTCGGTCCTATTCTTAGTTGAATCGCATTATAACACTTCCTAATTCATTCACAACATTTTTTTACATATGAAATAAAATATTTACAATCACAAAACTAGAAATAAACTCAATTACCTATGTAAATGGAGAGGAGCCCCGCTCGGCCGTAGGCAGTTATTTCAAGGACAGGGCCGAAACACAATAATGTATAGATAATATTACCGAAGGAGCTCGATGGCGCAGGTGGTTACCGCGTTCGGCTGCGATCGTTGAAGTTAAGCAACTTTCGCAGTGGTCGGTCATTGGATGGGTGACCAAAAATCTTCTACCTCGAGTTCCTCCGTGCTTCGGAAGGCACGTTAAGCCGTTGGTCCCGGCTGGATCTGCAGTCGTTAGCACCCGCCAATCCACACTGGGCCCGCGTGGTGGGTCATGGCCCAATCTCCCTTTTCCATCCGTAGGGAAGGCTTGTGCCCCAGTAGTGTGGAAATTAATAGGCTGATGATGATGATGATGAATATTACCGTGCTGAGGGGATCGCAATGTTGCTCACCTGTAGTGCGTGGTCAGAGCCAGTGCAGGCGCGTTTTTTTTGAGTGTGTGTACAAGCCATTTTCATTATATTTTATTAAGTTTGCATTCCGAGTCGATGCACTCTAAACTGCTGACACAGTTGACCCACTAATTGGTTTAAGAACAATATTTTATATTACAGTGCAATAAAGGCATTCACATCATATTGACGTATTTTAATAATTATCGCGGCCCCTACAGTGTGTATGTATGTACCGGGTTTGGGGACGGCGAGATCCTAATCCTATCCTCAAGCCGTGAATTGGCGAGTGCTTCTAGAGGTGGATGGCATCTCCCCACGGGGGGGGGGGGGGGGGGGAGATGAGTCTCCTCTCCGTCCGGAGCCTCTGGACCACTCTACCTCAGGGGGTCGGCTCAACCAGAGCTTAGATTAAAACAAAAAGGGTAGATACGGCACTAGCCTCACAAAAGTGATCCGCATGAATTGTGGTCCACGACCCTAATCGCTTTAGTCATAACTTGACATGCAAACAACGTACATGAGAACGCCAAAAAGAAATATTGCTAATATTTTGTGTTTATATGATAAAACAATGCCCAAGTGTGTTTTTAAAAAGTGCTCAAATTGCTCAAGAACTAAAAATAAAACCCACGGCATCACATTTTTTATTCGTAAGTACTATAAGATATATTTTTTCATAAAAATTGCTGTTTGTTTTGAATCTTATTCGGTAGTGACGTTCGTACTGGTCGCGTGATTGGTCGGTAGTGCAGTGACGCGGATCTCGCCGTCTCGTTCATGCTGCCGTGGGATCAGTTTTTGTTTGATGCAAGTATGAGCGTACCGTATCTACCCTTTTTGTTTTAATCTAAGCAAGCAAACAGATAATTGGTCAGTGCATTCGCCCAGACTGCGAAGGGTGCGGGTTCGAGTCCCGTCTGCTGCCTGGTCCGCGTGGATTTTTTTCTAGTTATATTTAAACATCAAGCAGTTACATGCTTTAAAAAATTAAAAATTACTAGCAAACCAGTGAACCAAATGATCACCAAAAAGAAAAAAAGTATTTAATTAATTGAGAACTTCGGAGATTTTGTGTGGTTTCGTTTGAAATAGAAATCACGTGATTTCTCGAAAACCGGAAGTGCTACGTTACTCAAATCCGGTTTGTAGTCTTATCAGACTATTCTTAACTTATAACTTAAACATTCTCTTTATCTATCTCTTACGGTTTGGCCGCTGAAACAGCACCACAGACGGACGGACGGACGGACTTGTCTAATAGATAAGAGATGATCATAACTTTGCTCTCACCTGTAGTGCGTGGTCAGAGCCAGTGCAGTCGCGCGCGGGGCCTCCGTCGCCTGCGGGCGCGCGGGGCGCAGACGGCGGGGGCGCGTTTTTTGGCCCTGCGGGGGGCGCGGGGCCCACGCCTCCGGGCTGGGGGCCCTGAGGGCCCTGCGGCGTCGGGGCCCCGGGGGCGGCCGAGGAGCGCCGCTCGGGCCGCGGCCGACTGCGACGGTCGGCGCTGCGGGGACGACGGGCTTTCGAGATACCTGTACAATTGACAAAACGGCGTGGTCGTGATTTCTCCATTGCTTTGTTTTTGTAATTGTTTGTGGTGTCCTAGGGGCCGTTCAAGTATTACGTAAGCAGATTTATTACAATTATTTACCCCCTCCTCCCCCTTGTCAGCAAAAGTGAGCAAAGCTCTTACCCCTCCCCCCCATGCTTACGTAAACATTGGTACCTATATGCATTTTTCCTTTAATGTATTCCGTTTTTTTTATTTATTCATAAGTTTTCATGAGCTTCATGAGCAGCAGTACTTAAATAGGCTTAGTCCATGATGCTGACGTAATCACCATCTCGACCCCCCCACCCCCCCATGTCATCAAAAATAAGCAAAGCAAAGACCCACCTGCCCCCCTACAGTGCTTACGTAATACTTGAACAGGTAAATGACCTTAATTTAAGTAAATATGTTGTAGTTATAATTTTTATTATTTTTAAAGCATGTAACTGCTTGATGTATAAATCTAAAGAAAATGTAACTAGAAAAAATTCCACGCGGACCAGGCAGCAGACGGAACTCGAACCCGCACCCTTCGCAATCCAGGCGAATGCACCGAGTCCCGTCTGCTACCTGGTCCGCGTGGATTTTTTTCTAGTTATATTTTCTTTAGATTTAAATATGTTGTAGTTAGATGGGTAGTTATGGGTAGTCATGCTCTCTTAATAGTCTCTTCGGCGGTGTCGTGTCGTTTCGTTCCCTAAAATATGGTTGAGCGAAGCGATGGCTGGTTCATGCGTCATGCTCGTGAACGGGTGCTGCCAGCGGAGATGAGTCTGCCCTAACTTCCTTAATATTGAAGTTAATGTTTAGTCACACTTAATATAAATACCACTTATTTGTATTTATACTGACACAGCAATCAAATCAGGTAAACAATTAATGTATATTTAATAATTATGTAATGAAAGGTGACTTCATGAATCATCATCTCTGAAGTCATTTTTCAATTTGACGACTCTGTATATAATAAAACAGGGAGAAAAAAACAGCCCTTGCTGAGTTTCTTGCCGGTTCTTCTCAGTACAAGGCCTCCCGCTGTAGATTTACGAACCGATGCCGTAGCTTCTAGACATTCATGAGTGCTTGTAACAGCCTAAACTGGATAAATGATTTTAATTATGATTATTGAATAAATAAATTAAATATTTCCAACACTCACACCAATTAGCCTAGGCCCAAAATAAGCACTGTAAGGCTTGTGTTATGGGATACTAGAGTAATGGATAGAATACATATACAGTACATTATATAAGTATATTTATATAGAAATACATATTAAACATCCATGCCTGGAGTACAAATGCTCGTATTCATCACAAGAAAATCCACGGAAGTCGTCAAAATTTAAATAGGGATTTAAAGCATGGGTGTTAATAAAATAACTAGCAAACCAGTGAACCAAATGTTCACCAAAAACTAATTAAAAAACAATGTATTTAATTAATTGAGAACTTCGGAGATTTTGTGTGGTTTCGTTTGAAATTCGTGATTTCTCGAAAACCGGAAGTGCTACGTTACTCAAATCCGGTTTGTAGTCTTATCAGACTATTCTTAACTTATAACTTAAATATTCTCTTTATCTATCTCTTACGGTTTGGCCGCTGAAACAGCACCACAGACAGACAGACGGACGGACTTGTCTAATAGATAAGAGATAATATAAACACTTACCAGCTCTAACGCATCGCTCGAAGACCTCTTTATCGGTAGATCCAAACGACTCGTTGCTAAGTGAACCGGGAGAGCTGGCTCTATGCGGTATGCCCGCCTTCACTGTTTCCTCGAATATCTCCCGGTCCGTCGAGCCGAATGAATCGAGGCTCAGAGAACTGGTGGAATCGCCCTCGCGTTGATTCGAGGGGCGCGGGTCACGGCTTCGATGCGCTGTTGGAGAAATCATTACTGTTTTAAATGAAAATAAATATTTTCAACACTCACACCAATAGGGTATTTGACAAGTTTTAGAAAACGATCCCACGTTATTTATTTACTAATGTTTATAGAGTCCATAAAAAGTGGATATTCATCATTCTGTTGTGTATTTCGGTAAAAAAACCAAATTAAAAAATCTATTTTGAAGTTGCCGCGAAAACGTGTCTCTGGACAATATGGCGTCTCACTGGTGTGTGACGTTACACGACTGTCATTAAAACGTCACACCATACAATCAAATGTCACTCCAACCGGAAGTTTACTTGCGTGTGACGTCATTTTAGGCTCCACCAATCCCAAGCATTTTGGGTCACGTGACAATAGACAAGAAAACTATTATATTTACTGTGGGTTTTTAGTAAAATTATGAATATTTTTTCTATAAAAATAGTAATTCTAAATACAGATGCTAACAATTGGCACTTTATTTTTAATACTGTCAAATAGCCTATTGGCCTAGCTCTAAGGTAAATAAGAATACTGGGGGGTAAGGGATAGAATACAGATACATATCTATACTAATATTATAAAGCTGCAGACTTTGTTTGTTTTTTTGAACGTGCTAATCTCTGGAACTACTGGTCCGATTTGAATGATTCTTTCAGTGTTGGGTAGTCCATTTATCGAGGAAAGCTATAGGCTATTTTTGACGTGACAACGTCTTAAATTAGGTTGCGGCTGGGAGTCACTTATGAAAAAGTGTAACGCTCGGTAACGTTACGATGAGTTTAAGTTTACATGTACAATGTTTTAGTAAACAAAATATATTTCTATAGTTAAAATTTGTGCAATTCTTATTTTCATTCAATTCCTTGTTCCTATTGTGCAATTTAATTATATTCATATCAATAAATATTCTACCGAGAAAAAGACGTTGTCACGTAAAATCTTCGCCCGTAAAACCGACTTTACAGGCAACCATTTTTTTTTCAAAATTAGGGATCCGTAATAAAATTGCTATTTTGTAACACAAGGTGTAAAAACGAAAACCTATTTTTGCGTGCGCTGCAAAAACTATTGACAATAGAACAAAATGATGTACTACGGGTTTGTAGATCCCATTAAGGCCTACAAAAAAGTTCACGAGAACATATATCTAGCTATCATGGTTTAATCACAATAACCGATTTTGTGTTCAAAATAATTATTAAATCGTCTGAAGAAAAAAAAACTACGTTAAAAATGTATCGTAATATTAAAAACACAAACAACCCTTAATTTTCACCCCTCTACCACCCATATTTTTACGAGCGATACGAAGTTCGCTGGATCAGCTAGTATAAGTATATTTATATAGGAATACATATTAAACATCCATGACTGGAGTGCAAATGCTCGTATTCATCACACAAACATCTGCCCTACCGGGAATCGAACCCGGGCCTCTCGAGTAAGCGACACCTTGAAACCCGGCATCCAAACCACTCGGCCACAGAAGTCATCAATTATTATATCGGTCTTACCGCCAATTATAACGCTTTTGTTAAGTTTATTGTTTGTGAATGTTATGTAATTACGTTTTTGGTGTTATAATAAAGTGTTAATCCATCTATCCATAGGACGGTTACATTACAAAATGAACATTAAAGGTAAGTAAATTAGGGATTGTTTTTCGTAACACTTACTGGCAGGCGGCGGTCGAGGCGGCGGCGGTATACCCGACGATTTGGGTGGAAGTGGCGGGGCCCGTTCAGAACTGCAACTACGACTGAGGACACAGAAAACAGAAAGAGGTTAGAAGGGTTATTTTTTGTTACTTGAAAGCAAAGGATGCTAAGCCCATACATCCTTTCAAGTAATATTTCTCTTTTACGTGTCTTTTTTTTGTGTCACTAAACAGGAAGAAGAACATAATGTTCAAATGGGTTATTCCTTTTTTAGTAGGTTTTATTTCTTTTTTACTTATATAAGGTGAAATTTCAAATGTTACTACTGTAAGGCTCACTCGTTTTTTTATTCTCATAACTCCTTAGAAGGGATCACCCTTAGAATAGAATAGAATATATTTTATTAACGCTCATATTACAGATATTACACATTTACAGATACAAATTCAAAAATCTCAGGGCTAACCAGGACCCTGCCTCAACATTAGCATTGTGTCGCACAAGCGCTGTTATTCTTATGGTAACCAAAATGAAAACTACCCGAATACGCGTCTCCGTTCATATACAAGTGTATTCAATTCCATTGGCAATCGTATTCGGGCTGACGATCAAGTGTAATTGAGTCATCAGTGATGCCAGGCTAGGAGGTTTTCCACAAATTTGGGGGATGGGAAATGTTGAAAATATAACGTCAATCTACTCACCTATCACGCACATTCCTCGCGAAATCGTGAGACATTTTCACAGTTTCAGTGGACGACCGCAGATGCGCCGGAAGCGATCGCTATACATGACAATAACAAATAAATGTATTATTTTCTTGCAATAAAAATAATTACAAATGAAAGTGCAGCAGACAAAATCATTTGGAAACTAGTTGATGAGCTGGTTGATCTGCAATTTTGAACTTTGAACCAAAGCGTTTAGGAGGAAAATTTAACTAGAGATGTGTCAACTATAGTTTTGTGTTCGCCGTGCCGTTATAATTTAATTGAGATCTCTAGGCACTGTTCAGTATTTCTAAAATAAGCATGTCTAAGTGCCGACCACCAACTACTAAATAGTCGACCTCCCTGACTAGTCGGCCCATCCCTAGTTTAAACAGTTTTATAAATTCTGGACTTTGAACCCAAAGCGTTTAGGAGGAGAATTTAACTAGAGATGTGTCAACTATAGTATTTTCCGAATAACCAACTGATCGGTTTTCAAATTGCCGACTACTCAGCAATGCCGATCATTAGGGAGGTGTTCGGAATATTTCGTCACTACTCGGCTAGCTCACGCACTACACGAGTCATTGCGCAACCTCTTTGGAATTACGTAAATAACAATGACGCCAAACCGTGATTTTTGAAAAATAAATGTTTTTTCAGTTTTTCGAGTGAAAAGTGTTGTCGAGGCATTTGTTATTTGATTTTGAACCATTTTTGTTCTTTATGAAGCATCGAAAGCATTGCTTTATTTTTATAACACATAATATACGCAATTTTGCTATATTGAGTGCACATGCAGCATGTTTTAATGCCCAATTGTGACTAAAGCGCATTGTGGTCATGCACCACAATTTACGCGGATCACTTTTGAGCCGCGAGTATCGTATCTTCTCATTTTGTTTTAATCTAAGGCGGCCACTGATAATTTTGTAATGTTATTTGCTTACCCACATTTACATTTCAACGCTTCGTTTTGTGTTCGCTGTGCCGTTATAATTTAATTGAGATCTCTAGGTACTGTTCAGTATTTCTAAAATAAGCATGTCTAAGTGCCGACTACAAACTACTAAATAGTCGACCTCCCTGACTAGTCGGCCCATCTCTAGTTTAAACAGTTTTATAAATTCTTAACCAACATTCAGTGTAACACATTGACTAATGTAGGTCCTTTATTTATTTATCCTTAAAACAGTTTCTACAGCGATTTTTGTGCATATAATACAATAAAATATAAATACAATCTAAAGGTCAATTACAGAAACTTATTATGTATACATTAGAAAACGGCGTTACTATAAATATATCAATATCACATTGAATTTCAAAACTAGTATAAAAATTATATAACTTACTAACATAAAATAAAAATTAAATTTACTTACATAAACATCGCTTCTGACTGCGAAGGGTCCTGGCGGGGCGGTCTCGGTCAACGGTGCTTTGTTCTTCACCACCTTGTGAACAAAACATATAAATAATTACTGATCTCCGTACATTAAATAGAACTACCCATCTCCGATTAATTAGTAATAAGGTATTATATTATATTGAGGAGCTCGATGGCGCAGGTGGTTAGCGCGTTCGGCTGCGATAGTTGAAGTTAAGCAACTTTCGCGGTGGTCGGTCATTGGATGGGTGACCAAAAATCTTCTATCTCGAGTTCCTCCGTGCTTCGGAAGGCACGTTGAGCCGTTGGTCCCGGCTGCATCTGCAGTCGTTAGCACCCGCCAATCAGCACTGGGCCCGCGTGGTGGATAACATGGCCCAATCTCCCTATTCCATCCATAGGGAAGGCTTGTGCCCCAGCAGTGGGGACATTAATAGGCTGATGATGATGGTATTATTATTGGTATTAACGGTATTGTTACCATGTACCTTGTTTTTTATGTGTCTCCGATATTTCGGCGCAGTTGCAAGACGTTGTTGTTGTGAAAAGACGTCAGAGGGTAGACCGATATATCTGCCAATAACATCTACCCGCAATTACTTCAGTTACTCCGTGAACATGGCGCTTGCAACAGTGCCGAAATATCGGAGACCAATAAAAAACAATGTTCATGGTAACAATCCCGTTAATAGATACAATGTTAGTGACCATGAAAGTTTAAAACAGTAACATGGTATTTGACAAGTTTTAGAAAACGATAATCTGACGTCATTTAGTTATGATTATGGAGTCCATAAAAGGGGGATTTAATTCTGTTGTGTAATGAGGCAAAAAAAATTAAGAATACAATTTTTAAGTTGCCGCGAAAACGTTGCTCTGGTCATTAAGGCGTCTCGATAGTGTGTGACGTCACACGACTGTCATTAAAACGTTAAACGATACAATTTAATTTCACTTTGGCCGGAAGTTTACTAGCGTGTGACGTCATTTTAGTCTTGGCCAATCCCAGGCGATTTCGGTCTCGTGACCATGTAGCAAAAAAACATCATTTCTATTTAACGATTTTATAGAAGAGTTATTAATTATTATTTGTTTTAGAAAAGTCAAATAACTGTAAATATTTATATTAAATACAGATACCAACAATTGGTACATTATTTTTCATATTGTCAATAGCCTATTCGAAATGACTGTTCGCTGTTCATATAAAGAATTCATTTTCAGCCGCTACTGACTTTTACCAACATTGACAGCACCAGCTTCTCTTTAAACCTTCCTAGAACTGAAACTTATGCCTTTTAATTTGTGTCCACGCGGTACGCTCTTTTATTTCGGGAGTTTTAAATAAAAATAGTAAGTATAAAACGCGATTTATTTAATTTTTCATTATACCAGGGGGCCTGCCGCCTAATGCGATAATAGCTTATGATTTTATTTTGTTATTTCTGACAGCTGAAGATTTTCAAATGGTTTGCGCAAATATTAAAGAAAATGAGCGCGGGGTGTTTGATAACCTTCGGCGGTGAGAAACAACAATATGAAATCATAAGCTATTGCAATAAATCTCCGGCGTTGCGTTGGCTATCCGAAGAATCTGAATTTGCTGAGTATGGGATCGTCGTTTTCTAGAGCTCAGTTTGGCTATCCCTTTCTGTATAAATAAATAATAAATAAATAAATATTTCCAACACTCACACCAATTAGCCTAGCCCCAAAGTAAGCACTGTAAGGCTTGTGTTATGGGATACTAGGGTAACGGATAGAATACATATACTGTACATATATAAATATACTTTTATATAGAAATGCATATTAAACATCCATGACTGGTACAAATGCTCGTATTCATCACACAAACATCTGCCCCCACCAGGATTCGAACCCGGGACCTCTCGAGTCAGCGACACCATGAAACCCGGCGTACAAACCACTCTGCCACGGAGGTCGTCACTCTTCTAGCACATCGTTGGCATCACTCAAGTTTGAAGAATCAGATAGATGTTAAAGTGAGAAATAACTTACCTTATCAATACCCTTCTGTATGCACTCTTCAAGCAAATCGCCGGCGTCGCTAAGATTCGAACTATCCGAAGAATCAGGAATTTGTTGAGTATGGGATCGTCGTCTTCTAGAGCTCACTTTGGCTATCCCTTTCTGTATGCACTCTTCTAGCACATCGTTGGCATCACTCAAAGTTAAAGAATCAGATAAATGTTAAAGTGAGAAATAACTTACCTTATCAATACCCTTCTGTATGCACTCTTCAAGCAAATCTCCGGCGTCGCTAAGATTCGAACTATCCGAAGAATCAGGAATTTGTTGAGTATGGGATCGTCGTCTTCTAGAGCTCACTTTGGCTATCCCTTTCTGTATGCACTCTTCTAGCACATAGTTGGCATCGCTCAAGTTTGACGAATCAGAAGTGTCTTGGGGCAATCCCCATGCCAGTGGACCAATGTCCACTAACACCTATAGCTTTGGGACGACGACTGGGAACTCGTTTGTGATAACCAACTTACCGCACTAATATCACAAATAACTATAACAGCTTAGATGTTAAAGTGAGAAATAACTTACCTTATCAATACCCTTCTGTATGCACTCTTCAAGCAAATCTCCGGCGTCGCTAAGATTCGAACTATCCGAAGAATCAGGAATTTGTTGAGTATGGGATCGTCGTCTTCTAGAGCTCACTTTAGCTATCCCTTTCTGAATGCACTCTTCTAGCACATCGTTGGCATCACTCAAGTTTGATGAATCAGAAGTGTCTTGGGGATTGGTGACCGGTTCATTGGAACCTATAGCTTCGGGACGACGACTGGGAGGTGCCGAATCGATGGACAATGCTGAGAGATTGGAATTGCTTCCCGCTTTCGATAGTATCGCGGGTGTGTCTTCTGTGAAGTACACTTTGCAGACGTCGCTGGGTGTTTGTGTACCTGCAAATGTAATTAGTTCAAGTCTAAATATTTCATTTATTAACAGCAGATTGTGATAGTAATATAAGTTTTCTATGGGATTGTTACCATGTACCTTGTTTTTAGCGTGTGTCCGATATTTCGGCACTGTTGTAAGCGCTGTGATCACGGAGTAAAAGTAACTGAAGTAAAGAACTCGATAAAAACAAAGGTACATGGTAACAATCCCGTAAATAACTTATATGACTATAATATTAGTGACCACGAAAGTTTAAAAATTGCAGATTGTAACTTGACAAATACTAGAAGATCTTCAACACGTCCATAAAATCGCAAAAAATGTAGAATACTTGATTTGTGGCAACAGAAATAAATGAGTGTCGGGTCAGGACCAATTAGTACTCTTCTATATTGGATTCAAATAGAAAACTCATGTTCATATGGACATACACATTTAGGTAATAGGGTATTTGACAAGTTTTAGAAAACGATCTCACGTTATTGACTAATGTTTATGGAGTCCGTAAAAAGTGGATATTCATTATTCTGTTGTGTATTTCAGTAAAAATAACCAAATCAAAGACTCCATTTTCAAGTTGCCGCGATAACGTTTCTCTGGACAATATGGCGTCTTACTAGTGTGTGACGTCACACGACTGTTATTAAAACTTCAAAAGATACAATGTTAAGTCACTTTAACCGGAAATTTACTTGCGTGTGACGTCGTTTTAGGCTCCGCCAATCCCAAGCGTTTTGGGTCACATGACAACACATAAGAAAACTATTATCTTTTTCGTGGGTTTTTAGTAAAATTATGAATATTTTATTTGTAAAAATAGTAAAAACCCCTGCCAATATCCATTCTAAACACAGATGATAACAATTGGCACTTTATTTTTAATACTGTCAAATACCCCATTAAGAGTAACTGAACTTAGATTAGTTACGCCGTGTTTTGTTCAAGTCACTCAAATGTCATTTTTCATTCAATGAACAGTACACCTCTAGCACGAACCACTATTGAATTCGAATAGTTTGCAAACCGAAATGTCAATGTCAAATTTTGTATTGAAACTTGAACAGCAGCGGCGCAAAGTACGTAACGATAACTAAAAATCAGTACAGATTTGACAATGACATTTCGGACTCGCAAACGTTACGAATTCGATTTTGGTTCGTGCTAAGGGTACAGAGCATGGAGGTTAGAGCGAAGGAGAACGATCGCTACGTGCATTAGCCCGCCTGTCCGTGAAAATTTGTAGAATTTATAGTTCATTTTTCAGCCACCAGCCGCGCTGCCATCGGTAAGTAGTATCTGTGAAGTTAGCTGCTTATGAGTACAAGTAGATGAAGTTAGTTGAATAATGTACAAATTTTCTTCGCGGCATTGGTCATCTCAAATTAGCGCACAACAGCTCGCTTTTATTGAGACAACTTAGCGATCGCAGCGCCTCACTTACTTTGTCCATATTTCTGGGATACTATTTTCCACAGCGATCGTTCTCCTTCTCTCTAACCTCCATGGAACAGAGACAAAACATGGAGTAACTAATCCAAGCTAATTCTGCGTTTATTAATAAGGGGGTATAAGTATTACATTAACCTACGTTCAATCATTATTCTAGTGATAAAATAAAATTATATGAATATACTCAATACACAAACATAATTTGATGTATTTTTCTAAAATATTTATTACCTTTGTAAGCAGCATTGGGTGTAGAACTAGAAGGCGGCAAACGGGAGACAAGTTCTCTGAAAATAATGAACATTAATAAGTCGTTTGTCAAAAAAAATAAACATATTATTGTATTTTCAATAAGTCAAATATAAGTTATAATCAGAAACAATTAATATACCAATGTGGTAAAATATCATATCTTAAAAAATATATATAAAGAAAACAGCATCACACTAATTGTGAGTGTGTGTTTGTTACTTCATCACATCTAAACGGCTGGACGGATTTGGATGAAATTTAGCACACATATAGGACATTTATTACCTGGATTAAGGCATAGGATACTTTTTATTCGGAAAAATTTAGGTTCCTGAGGGATTTTCAAAAAACTTGAGACCTTAACCGGACGAAGCCTCGGCCGGTTAACAATATCCGCAACAAGTTTGGTTTATGATTTGCGTGTAAAAGCGAATTGTGTTGGTGTCTTACCCCATTTCATCTTGTTCCGAAAGCAATTGGTATTGGTCGTCCGTGGGAGCTGCAGTGGGTAAATCTTGGGGTAGATCCTTGATAAGTCGTGCAGATGCCTGTTGGAGATAAATCAAATTCATATCGTAACATCTTTAATAATAATTTCCATGATTTAATTCAGACGCTATGCTAATTGAGATAAGTATTTTTTGGAATATTTTTTGAATTCGCAAAGGGTAAAAATTCCATACAGCCTTGTTAAGAATGTTGACCGTAAACTTAGAGAATAGTTTAATCGACACTCGCATGAAATTGACCATTTACCTAATAGATAGAAAGCGAAGGTGCAGCTGTTATGTCACTAAATTATAGCTAATACAGAACTATGGATCGCAAGACCCTTGTCTCTCATTTCTACTTCTTCATTTTATTTCACGCTCAGTCTTTTCTATGTCTACGATTATTTCAATGCACAAGGCAAAGCCCAAAAAGCCTGATCTCGACTGTTGACCCACATCGAAAGACCAGAGGACCAATGGCCTGACGAGATTGCTATGGCTATCGCTATCGCTTACGATTTCGTTTTGCTATATCTGACCGTTCAGAGTTTTCAAATGCCTCGCGCTCTTTTTGTTTATTTTGCATTGCTAATAAAAATATTACAGAAAATGATCGTGAAGTATTTGAAAACCCTCGGAAGTCAGAAATAACAAAATGAAATCGTAAGTGATAGTGATAGCCATAACAATCGCGTTAGGCATGGCAATTGACCCCCAGGTAAATGTTACAAAGCTCATACAGCCTACACTCAAATAGGCTAGTTTACTCATGTCGAATTGTATCAAATAAATGTTTATTTCTTAAAGTATTTAGTCTAAGGAACCTTAATATATCGATTTCACTTCATAAAAGCAGAAGATTGCTGTAGAAATATAATTTTAAAAAATATTTATTAGTTTATATTTTTTAAACACTAAAAACGCTGTTCGCCACATCCGCCATGATTTTGACGTGTCTTGTGGTAAACAACTAAATGTCATTCGCGTGTTACTGTAGGTGGATTCTTTCGTCTGATTAAATTTATCTTAAAACACTTTTAACTTTAGGAAATAAAAAACCAGTAAACTTAGTTTTTTTTTGACAAAACTAATTATGGATGCCGGCTTTGTGAAAGCAGAAAGCACAATTCTGCCAAAATTTGACGCATTGATGGTTGGTAAATTTGTTGCACTAAACCCCGATTTCTGCTCTGCGGAGCAGAGAACCGACAAGGCATCTATGTTAGTATAGTGAATTTAGTATTACAATGTAGTAATAAACATAAAACTGATATAACATATGAATAAGTGTAATAAAGTTGCGTAGGTTAATTTCTTTCGGCACTTTAATCCACAACTTTCCTGGAGTCTTCAAGGAAGTGTTTTTATATTCTCGTACAATACAGTAATGATAATTACTTTATTTTTCGTGGTATTTATTGAAATCATGTTTTTTTTTTTATTATAAACTCAGTTAAAAGTAATTTTCTACGTGTTTACGAGTTTTTGTTTACCACAGTTCACGTCATAGCATAGATAATCTATAGACTAAAATGGCCGACAGCGTTTTTGTATGTCCATGAAAAGTATATTTTAAAATTAAAGATTTGTAGCTTTCTAGGTTAAAAAAAATACAAAACATTTTTTTTCGGTCTAATAGAACATTTATTAACCATTTAAAACCTTTTTCCAAAAAGGGTCAACTAGCCTATTGTTTTATTTATTCATAGGTCAATCAACAGCATAACATAAAAGACATTCATAATATATAGTGGATAATTTTACTGTTTAAACATATATGTCTTAAACATATTGTATCATAGATATCATATTTAAAAAAATTTTTTTTTTTACATATATATTAATAAATAAATAAATATTTCCAACACTCACATCAATTAGCCTAGCCCCAAAGTAAGCACTATAAGGCTTGTGTTATGGGATACTAGGGTAACGGATAGAATACATATACTTTACTTAAATAAGTATATTTATATAGAAATACATATTAAACATCCATGACTGGAGTACAAATGCTCGTGTTCATCACACAAACATCTGCCCCCACCGGGATTCGAACCCGGGACCTCTCGAGTCGGCGATGCCATGAAACCCGGCGTACAAACCACTCGGCCACGGAGGTCGTCAAAATATATACCCAATTAGTGACTTTTCTCTGGTAAAATCAAGTTTTCATTCCTTTCGCCCGCTTTGTTTCATCACTTTGGATTGAAGACTATTTCATCAATGTCTTTTTCTTTATTTTTATGTTTTCTTTTTGGTAACTAAGGTTTACTTATGTTATTCCAGCTGTGTATATTTTTGCTGGCCTTTGGCTGTTAATTGTACCTTTATAAATGATAATAAAAAAAATAGACGGCTGACCTTTGTGTCGTCGTCTATAGTAAGGCTGCTGAGGCTGGTGGCAGCGGAGAACTGCGCTGGAGTGTTTTCCACCACAAACCGGGACACTCTCTCCTCGAAAACCGACTGTTGACCAGGCTCTGCGAGAAACGAATATAAATATAATTTTTATTTTTTAAGCATGTAACTGCTTGATGTTTAAATGTAAAGAGAATATAACTTGAAAAAAATCCACGCGGACCAGGGGGCCATTCGCCTAACGAAAATGCTTAGGAAAACGCTAACGCTTTCGATTTCATTTTGTTATTTCTGACCGCCGAAGGTTTTCAAATACCTCACGCTCACTTTTTTTAATATTGTTATTACCAATGCAAAAGAAAAAAAAAGAGCGCGAGGCATTTGAAAACCTCAGACGGCTAGAAATAACAAAATGAAATCGTAAGCGTTAGCGTTTTCCAAAGCATTTCCGTTAGGCGAATGCCCCCCAGGTAGCAGAAGGGACTCGAAGCCGCACCCTTCGCTATCCGGGCGAATGCACTGACCAAATATGATACCGCGGCCCTGACGGCCGCGTCGAAATTCTTCTAGCCATTCTTAAGCTGCAAGGCAGCGCCATCTCTTCGCATTGTAGGTAACCCACAATGTCAAATGAATACTTTTACAAGTATTAAACATTTGAAAGAAGAAATAGCAATTATAGTCATAACTTTTATTTTTTAAGCATGTAACTGCTTGATGTTTAAATCTAATGAAAATATAACTAGAAATAAAATCCACGCGGGCCAGGCAGCAGACGGGACTCGAACCCGCACCCTTCGCTATCCGGGCGAATGCACTGAGAAATTATGCTACCCTACCTGGCGAACAAAGCGGTATAATTACATCAAATTAAATACAGGAGCTGTAAAAAACTGAATGTATACCTACTGCAGTGAGCTTTGGGCGGGGTGTTTAATTTATTGATTTTAACAATAATTTAGGTGGTTTTGATTGAAAGGAGTAAAATTTAAATTCAGTAGGTCAAAATCTCCGAACTGTAAAAAAAAATATTTTGGCCATATGTGTAATTATACCGTTTTGTTCACCATCTCCTCATATAGCATTTAAAAATATAAAAGAACATATTCAAAATAAATTTCAATTATTTTATTTGTAATGCCAATAAGACAAATAAAAATATATGTTAAACTATTTTGAAAGTTGAAATTCGAACTTTAATTCAAATTTAATCTTTTTTTACTTTATTAATTCAACAAAAATACATTTAAAATTAAACTCAAACAACATCTTATCAAGAAAGCATACTATTCGGTAAATGAATTTATGAATGATAAGTGAAACTGTCACGGAAAGCTCACTAACTTGTTTGAAACTGAAACTGTTTAGTAGTTGTGTTGATATAGTTATTGTACTTGCAACACCCTGACAGGGTCATGTACCATGATAAAATAATTTTAAGATCCTATATATACTGTACATGTGCAATAAATTAAATAAATAGATGATTTAATGTATTGAAACCAAAGGTCAAATTTCAAAGATTTTTTATTCACATTAATACAGTTTGGGCCAACTTGAAAGATAGGATAACGAAACCGGATAAGGAAAACCGACGTGCAAACCACTCGGCCACGGAGGTCGTCTGAATAATCTTAATATATATTAACTAGCAAACCAGTGAACCAAATGTTCACCAAAAAAAAATGTATTTAATTAATTGAGAACTTCGGAGATTTTGTGTGGTTTCGTTTGAAATAGAAATCACGTGATTTCTCGAAAACCGGAAGTGCTACGTTACTCACATCCGGTTTGTAGTCTTATCAGACTATTCTCAACTTATAACTTAAACATTCTCTTTATCTATCTCTTACGATTTGGCCGCTGAAACAGCACCACGGACGGACGGACTTGTCTAATAGATAAGAGATTACGCGTCATGTTGTTTGTCCGGGATGGACATCTAACTACTTTTTCGATTTTAATCAAATTTTCACACCGTGTGCAGTTTGATGCAACTTGAAAGATACGATAGCTTACATCTCAATTTATAGTCGAAATATTATTTTATTATGAATTATTACTTATGGGCGGTATACGAAGTTCGCCGAGTCAGCTAGTATATAACTATATTTATATATAAATAAATGAAGCATGCTAAATAAAACGACGGGTTGCACTCCGGGAGTGCCGGCAGAAGTGAAAACTTGAATATTAACGTTGTGCATTTTTGATATTTTGGAATGGTTAGGGAATAATTTTGCACGAATTGCGCTATCGTACACAAACATGACAATTTATATTACATTAAAAAAGTTTATCTCTCAGCAAAATCAACTTACATGAATCACGTTTAAGCGCACGTAGCGACATCTATTGTAAAAAATTGCATTTTCTTCGCAATAAACCTGCCACGTGGACGTCCTAGATAGAGACTTATTATTATAATAGGGTAAAATAAAATATAACTATGTTTCGTCCAAAATATTGAAAGTCAACAAACCTTTCCAATTTTATTGTGTGTCATGATGCGATCAGCCCACGTGTTTAACCTGACGCGAGTTTAACATTGTTTACCCATACAAAAAATGTGTACAACCCCGCTAAAGAAGTTTTGCCTTCAAAAATGAAAAATAATATCAGTATAGATTACCTGGGGGCGGCGTAGGCGGCGCGGGCTCCGGCTCGGGGCGCGGCGAGTGCGGCATGCTCATGCCCGGCGAGTCCGGAATCTCGCTCGGCGACAGGATGCCGGACGGGAGCCGGCTGGGTAAACGAAACCCCGCATATTTTTATTTTATTTATTTATTTATAGCCAGGCAACGTGAGCCCAACCTTAAAGTCTAACATACGAGTATATACAGATATAAAACATCATAATTAGTAAATAAACTTAATACTTATGTTAGTAAAAACTTATATGACCAACTGTTCTTATTTACTTGTAATACTTATTCTGAACACATTTGCTCAAAAAATATAAGAGGTTGTATACGCTGTTCGAAAGTTAAAAATTACGGGCCATATAACGGAAAGTGCGGTAAAACGTTTTACCGCACGGCATGGCGCGTATCCTTTACGGTGTTTTTTTAAATTCAGTCCGAACCTCCTTGACAGCATGGCGCCATTTTCTTATTGGAAAAGGTTTGCTTCATTACTTAAATAGATGTAGGTACTAAATGTGTTCAAAACCGATTGAATGACGTTCGTGCGGAATTGATTTTACAAACTTTGACTCTATTGTTAAATGTGTAATTTAACTCATTATTTCTGTAACTGCACTTTTTGAGCAAATGTGTTGAAAATATTATTTACTTTCTCATGCACAAAGCACATCAAAAGTATGGAATGAGCTCCCTTCACGTTATTCGTCAGTACTATAACATGACCAGCTTCAAGAGAAGCTTACATAGAGTGTTCGACGAAAGGCAGCGATATGACTGTGTCACTGGCATTGCTGACCTCCATGGCCAAAAGTGACCACTCAACATCAGGTGGCCCATCCACACAACTGCCTTCGAAGGCAAAAAAAAAGGTCTATTGAAATTTTTAACAAAAATGTTGCACATATATTATGAATGCGTGTTGTTATTAAGAGCCTTTTGACATTTTTTGCAAAAAATCGTAATTTTTGAGCGCCACGTTTACCCGCTTAGAAAAGATTTTGACCATTTCGAATAGAAGTAAACAATAGATTTATTCTTCCTATTGTAAGTTAATGTAGAATATTTGCAAATACTATTTTCCTTTTTTTGTACTGATCGTTCTACTGCAGCTAGTTTACGGAAAAAAACGATAATATGCACAACTTCAAACGCCTCAATCTCTCAATAATATTCAATAAATTAGATGAAATTAGTAACTACGACATCAGAAATATGTTTTTGTTGTAACATAATGTATTATAATTTTGATTTTCCATCTCATTAATTATCAAAATAAACATCTAACCTCCGTGAGTTTTCCCAAAAAATAATGCGTTTACCTTGTATTCTAATATTGAATTAAATAGAATTACTATCAAAAACTTTTATAAAACTAATCTACCATCATTGAACTACTGAAATATGTATATACTTTTATAATTAGTTCATTAATAATTATTTTATAAGACTCGAAACATCACCCGTAAAATGCAATATGTATATACTAGTGCAAATCTACCTACGCGCCGTTCAGTACGGCAGCGGCGTTTTGTAAAAAAATTGTAAAAGGGCTCTTAATAACATGTAAATCACTTATGGATGTCTCGGATGGAAGAAAAGAAATATTGCTTCGAAAAGCAGGTATGCGTGTGCTATTGGTCCTATCTGCATTTGCTGGGGTTAGTACCCAACATTCCGCTTGGGTTTGCATGGTCTGTTACAACCTAGCTACAGCTAGTGTTGCCAGGTCCGATTTGTTTTTAATCGGTACATGAAGTCAAAAAAAAAATAGATTTAGGGTTGCAGATCGGGACAGTAAAAAAAAAACAAGGGGTTTTTAAGTCTGGGTATAATTTATAAACTACTAGTGCAAGTATAGTAATATATTGGTGTCAATTCTGGCGTGATGCTCTAAACTTAAAACTAAATTTAACTTCAGTCTCTCCTTTACATTCTGTACAGAGAATGATAACGATATACTGCTGTCAAATTTAAGTTTAGGTTTAGAAAATCATGTAAGAATCGACACCATTAAATAACTAAATTTATTTTTTTGATTAATCGGAGCGTTTAGCGTCCCTATCAAGTACAAATCGGGACGCGTCCCCAGACCCCTGAAAATCGGGACGTCCCGCGCAAATTGGGACACCTGGCAACACTAGTTGTAGCCCAAATGTCTATTCTGTATACATAGAAGGTCAGTACTCCTGCAGTGGTAACAATGGTAAGCTGATGATGATGCAAACGCTGAATGCCATGGATGAAGATTGTAATCATTAGCGTCGTATTACCTGAACTCTGACAGCACTGAACCCTGGTCCCCCTGGTCATCGTGCGAGCAGTCGGGCAGTGATCCTAAAGAGCTCGACCGCGAGAACATCAGCGGTGTATCTGGCACGAATCGTGGGGAACTGGTGCCCGGGGTCGCTACCACTGACACGGGCTCGCGGGCGAACGTCACCGCTTTGGAACCTGAATGGTTAATTTATTTTTTAATACCTAATGATAATTCTTAATCTATTTCGTCATTGGGTTTTTTTTGTTGAATTTTTGGTAAGTCATTACCTATGTTAACGGCAATAAGTTAATGGAACGCTTTCTTTATGAAACGAGAAAAGAAGATGTCATTTAATGATTAAATTTCGCGGCTTCAGCCAATGACTGATTGTTACTAACTCATTTCCGTGAATTAAGATAAAGGTAGAGACTGCGCTAGAGGCTTGGAAGTGCAGAAAATTGCCAAAAAATTCAGCTGTAACTCATCAGCTATGGATTTTTATGAATGTTTTGATTGCCCCCCTTGCGACAGAATACTTACTACAGGTACAGAAATAGATGGAAAATATTTAGCTACAGAGATTAGAAAAAAAGTAGGGATCATTAAACTTTTGAAAACGTATAGGCCACTAATTTAGTTCAGTTAAAAATTGACATGCATAAAACTATAGTAAAACATGTTCTCACCTTCTTTGTCCTTCACAGAACTGCTGATGTTAATTTCCTGGGGACTGGGTTCGACGTTGATGGTGGCCATGGCGTTCTTCTTGGCCAAGCTGTCTTCTTCCGTCGGTTCTCCCACGCTGCTGAGAGAGCTCACCCGAGAGAAATACCCTGGCGTTCCTTCGTCGCAATAGTTCACCGGCTTCTCCGGACTAATCATACCGGAACTAAATTTAGTATCAAAGATTTCACGCTTTGGTTCCGGCTCCGGCAATTCAGATTCTTGGGGCGTCGTCGCAGCCAAATCGTTGTCGTGACGCGGCGGGTCTTCTATAGAGCACGTATCTTTCTCATCCGAATTAATCATAACCTCTGGATTTTCCTTCACACTAGGAGTCTTCTGCTTCAAGTCTTTCCCGATCACTCGAAGATCCGACATTGAAGTCGCCGTAGAGAATATTATAGGCGTCTCGTAAGGAGTCCCTTCGGTGGCGAAGTGTTTAATAGTATCCGAAGCTCCAGGCGGTTCCGAATCAGAACCGGTCTCGGACTGATGTTCGGCGTAACGTAAAGAATAATCTGTCGGTTGGTCAAGATCAGTCTCTTGGTAGTCACCGAAAGTGTTCGGACTATCTTTCTTCGTATACTTTTTCGTCGTTTCAGACGTTTTATTCTTTTCTAGAGATTCCCCATCGCTTGCTTTCGTTTCCGAATATTTTTGACTATAATCTATTGGTTGGTCGCAAGAATCTTGATCGACGTCATAACCAGATTCTGTAAAATTTGTTTTTACGTCAGTCGTACTTCTTGGGGGTGGGATAGGCGCTTGAGCGGGGAATCTCATGAAGCCGTCTTTACTGAGCGGTTTTGAGGATACTTTGAACGCTTCGCCACCTGTTTCTGCCTTCATCAAATCTTTACTTCTAGGCGTCGGCACGGGAACTTTACCAGTGCGCATGACCCTTTCAAAAACTGAATCGGAATGTGTACTCGTAACGGAATCTTTACTGTCCGATCTGTTTACGTTGCCGGAACTGCCACTTGTAGATGATCGTGCCACCATGGCGCCCTTCAATAAAGTGTTACTGCAGCTCAAATAACTCGCCAAATGCGCGCTGTGACTTAACGATATTTGTGATGTTAGCGTTCCCATTAGTGGTGAACTAGAAGTCATTCTATGTCTCTCAAGGTTCATGGCGATCTGCCTCTCCGTAGCCGTAAACAAATTCTTTTCTTCCCTATTACTCGTGGATGGTGAAGTAGCCGGTTCAATATTATCACAGGTTTCAGCTAAATTTTGATCTAATTCTTGTTCTAGAGCTTTCTGTTTACGTGCCCCTAAAGTTGGTAGAGCAGGTAAATTCATAGTCTTAGCTGTAGTATCTAGAGAGATTATGTGCGTTCTTCCTGGTTTAGAATTGAGTAGATTTTTAAGAGCGGCACTGGAACCCATCGCAATCATTTTATGTTTAGAATGAATAAGACTTCTGAGCATTGGTACCGCTCCATGGTCCCAGAGAAATTCTTGGTCTTGTGGGCACCTCGCGGAAAGATTCCATAGAGTGCCACAAGAGTTGCTGACAACTGTCAGACTGGGCGATTTAAGGTGCTGCAGTAAGACACTTAAACAATTTCTCTCCCGGAGAATTTGTCTGTATTCTTCTCGAACGGCAATCTGACTCGACACGTTTCTCATGATGCCGCCAGCATTTTCAACAATCGCCAACGTTTTTGTGGGTGAATTATAACTAAGCATATCAACGAGGAAACCCAAAGCTCCGTCTACCGAACACAAGGCCACTTTGTTCATGGTACAATGAGCGGTTAAATTCCATAGAGCTGATAAGACAGATTTAAGGGTAGCTTCTTTCTGACAGGTCATCGCAGCTTTAGTCAATCCTTTCACAGCTCCGACTTCTCTGAGTACTTGCTTACTGTTGGTATCTGCTCTCCATGATAAATTTCTAAGTACAGCCGCGGTAACCTGTAGAAAAAGATGAGATGAGTTTAATATGCTATTAATATTTAGTTAAGAATATGCAAAAATTGAAAATAAATCACACAAACCTGACGCATGTCATCATTGGGAGATTCCAGTTGTTCAACTAAGGCTAACATGAAGTCTTTAAACGAACAAAGCAACGATTTGTTGTTGCCGTCACCGAACGTCAAGTTGGTTAAAGTCATTCCGGCGTATTTTCTCATGGTCAAACATGTATTATCATCAGTTCTGCTACCATGTGCCGCTTGGTCCCCGCTTACTAAAGCGGCTAGCGCTTGTAAGCCACCTAACTGGCAAACTACATGTCTATGCTCCTCGTCAAATGATAGCTTCATCAAAGCTGCTACGCTTTGACTAGGATGTTTTGTCGCATCTTCTTCAATTACTTCTTTCCCTTCTCTCCTAGCTTCAACAACATCTTCTAAAACGTAACAATATTCTCTAACTTGTTCTAATAATCTCCACACTCTGGCTTCGCGTCTTCCCGCTTTGTCGTCAGTTTGCGTATGAATTATATTACGTAATGCTTTTGCAGCACGGTCTCTTATATCTCTAGGCACTTTCGAGTGGATAAGTTGTACTAATAAGGGTATACATCCCGCTTGTCTCATAGCGATGCAACTCTCAACTGATCTACTCATATCCAAGAGAGGTGCACTAAGGTCTGCGTTGTTTTCCGGCGACAAACTTAAGAGAGAAATTAAGGAAAACACGCAATCCATTTTGTTGTCCAAATTAGATGATTGTCTTGGACAATCACCTGATCCGTTACTGGAAAAGCTTCGTACGCTTGAAGAGTCATGACCTGTCCAGACATCGCGCTCTCCTGGCCAGGTCCCTCTATATAGCTGGGAAGCCCGTTTATCTCGTTCACTTGACCTGGCCGCGCTTTCCAATCCATAATGCAAAGCAGTTCCATAACTAGTCCTATGTGGTCGATCTTCTTGAGATGAATATGTTGAGGATTGAGGTTTTTGTGGTCTTTTAGGGAGCGCTCCAGATTTCTTTTGTGCTATAATATCGTCACTATCGACTTCATCGTCAAGGAAGTTTGGATTGGTTATATCGCTTCGTTCGTCGAACTCGTCCGGTGACGGTGAATGATCTAAGAAATGAGGTTTAGGAATGCGACATTCGATGTTTGATTTGGACGGTGGTTGATAATCTTCGTCAAGAAAGTGAGGCCGGCGTGGGAGAGGGTCGGGTTCCAGAGTCTCTAATTCTAAAGTCAGATCACGAGAGCGCGCTTTGTCCTTAGTTTTAGTGGGAAAAGTTTTAATAGGGAGAGTTTTGGCATCTTTTGGGTTAGGTAAGCGGCGCGCAAGAGGTGACACAGGAGACTGCGCATCTAGAGGCCCGCGTGGTGGTTCACTAGAAGTTGACGGAGTGCAGTCTTCACTGGCGGATGGTCCGGAGTCAGTTAATGGTGAATTCGAGGAGTCCATGCTGCTCCAAGGATCTACCATTACTTCGTTCTCCAACTGAAACAAAACAAAAATATTAAATATATTACTAAATGCCAGGCTGACCTCACCGAAAAGCTGGAGTTAATCAGCTTAAGACGAATATGGACCGTAATAATTTTGTTTCGCGGTTAAGGCTAAGTAGTAGTGTGACATGCATGTAAACATACTTTTACTATAAGTGCATAACTTGTTGCTGTTGGTTGCGAAAAAACAAGAGCGCGGCCAGAATGTAATTGGTAAGAAAACGAGTGTAATAATAACTTATAATTACGATTTAATGATCTACTGCAGTTTACGTTGTAGTAATAAACATACATGATTGGTACAGACATATCGGCAATGTTTATAGTAAGGAAGGCACTAGTAATTAATAAGGATTGGAAAAGATTATGGTAACTTATTACATACTTAACACATTCTGATTCTACTATAATACAAAGGTTAAATTCGTTTCTACTTTCGATATTGTCTATTGACAGTAAGTCTAAGCATCGAATGACAAGCAATTCATCATGCACCGCAATACAATGGGGGGCACTGTTCCGGTGGGCAGGAAACAATAGACAGCGGCGCCGGCGTCTGCAAATCGCGCGTTCGACACGCCACCTACATCCCGAGCCGTAACATTAGCACGGTTTAAAGTCAGCAGACTTTAGATGATACTGAGCCCTTGGATGAAAAGTAAACAACTAGTATGCATTTCCGTATATTCCTTGAATAGATAAATAACTATAAGCGTGAAGGCGGAATAAACAATTTTATTGTGATATTTTCGACCAAAACGAATACATAACATGAGACGTATCTTTATTCTCTCAACAATAATTTCGATTTAGTAGCGATAACACCGAATGTCAAGTAGCTAATTAATGATATGACTGATTATTTTTTGCGTATTATTTTGCATAAAGACGTTCCTAGTTACACAATTCACTTACCAAATCGCTATCGTTAGATGTTGTAACATCATCGAGCGGATTCCCGTTTTCCATATCGACACCAGAGTCGTTGGGATCCCCGGTTCTTCGCCTGACCTCTTTCCTTGTTAAGTCCTGGAAGTTGTTCCTTATAGGATTGAAGCTCATCCGGAGGTCCGTGGTGAAGTCATCGTACAGTTTGAACTGATTGGCATTGAACTCCATGTCGTTATCGAGCACGTTATCGAGGTGCATATTGGAGCCATCAGAGTTTTTGCTGCTGTACGTCACTTTGTAGTAATCGCGGGAACTCATTTTGTTGGTAACACACACAGTTTGGCACGATTCGTGGCTTTATCTCCTACTATTGTTACCTTGACTGATTTTTGGATGCTATAAATAGAACTAGTAAGTTTAAAGCTACTCTATGCGGCGAATGCTAAGCAAGGTTTACAATCTCTATGCGTTGGATACCGTCGTAATCCGCAATGAAGTTTATCCCTACGTTAAACGCGAAAACTGGTTCAGGGGTATTTTAGTAGCAACAATAACTCTAAAATGAAAACTATTACATCTCTAAATAAACCGTAGAACACTTTATATTATCTTGCTCCACATAACAGTCGCGAAACAGGTCGGTGATATACAAATTTTATATTTGGATCAACAGAAGGGTTCTTACGGGAGATACGAATCTCAAATTTATGTACTACACCATTCCTCTGTTGGAAGAATGCCAGTGTAGTATGAAAAATTGCTTATATAATTTTTGATTTACGATTGCGAATTTTAAAAAAGCTTTTAAAGTAATGAGGCAAGCAAAGCTTATGGCGATTATGAATGTAAATGTCAGTGAACCTGAATTTGCAAATGGCTTTTAGTTAGCCAGATTGCATGATAATAATTAACTGGGTCCGAGCTATTTTAATATATCACATGTTACATAAGCGATGATATTAAAGCGCCAGAAACCGCGCACCATGTGTTCAACACGTTTTACCATCATCATGGGAGACTAAAATATACCATTACTACAACGATACCTACTCATAAACGTCACACTTTAAATAAAACGTCGCTGTTTGTTTTTATTTCACATGCACCAGGCTTATTTTAACGAAATATGGATGTTACGACTATAATTCAATGTACGAATTGAATCAAAACATTAAACATTCCCATATTTTAAATTTTCAAACATAATATTGACTTTCAAGGTTTCAAATAATAATGTTTAAAGTTAACATTATTATTTGAAACCTGAACACTAAAACCTGCGCTGAACACTAAAAATTATAAAACTAAAGTTATTCCCCTCTCTGCAAAGCCTATATTGATTGAGGTGTTTGTGAATGACAATAATATTTAACTCTGTTATAATGATATAATATTCGGATATTTTTATTTTTTGTTCGATGTCTATTTATGTATGTAAATGTTGTGCACAATTGTAATTGGGCACAGGCATGCCCATAGTTTTTCATATCTTTTTGTACTTGTACTGTTTTTTTTTGTCTGATGCCTGTTATTGTGCCATTATAAATAAATAAATAAATTAAATATCTTATCGCCTAAGATTACAGGGTCCTTTATTTCAATGGAGCACTGTAATTTTCTTAAAAGTTTTAGCTTCGCCAAGTTTGGTGGTTGTGAATAGTATCTATACACTTGTGACGCGTCTCTTCAGCTCTCGACCTATTTGTGGGTTGGCTTTGCCGCCGAGTTTCGATGGCCCTTTGCTTCCCCTACTGTTGGCATTAAGCATGAAATCTGACTTGGCTTTTATGACAACTAAGTGTTTGACAGTATGTTGGGGCATTCCAACGAGTATATTTGAGTAACATTCATAGAGGCTTTTATATGAATACTGAACGATATTACACTAATTACACTAATATTATAAAGGCGAAAGTTTGTGAGTGTGTGAGTATGTGAGTGTGTATGTTTGTTACTCCTTCATGTCTAAACGGCTGGAGCGATTTTTATAAAATTTGGTATGGAGTTAGCTGACACCCTAGAATATAACACATAGGCTACTTTTATCCCGAAAAAATGTTAGGTTGCAGAGGGATTTTCAAGAAACTAAGTTAACGCAGACGAAGTCGCGGGCGACCTCTAGTTACTAATATATTTGTTCCTTAGGTTTTCACGCACATCACTCATTAAATTAAACTAGTTTTAACGGGTTAACGCACGAACTTTATTTATTTATTGACGTTTCCGCAGCCTTTTCAGGTCTGCATCGTTAGAATAATACGCTTTGTCTTCAGACCTTCCAATCGGCGGATCTTATTAGCGGTTTCCAACCCGTACTGGTTAACATATTTGGTAATTAAGTTTTCACGCACATCACTCATTAAATAAATCTAGTTTTAACGGTATTCTGACGATGCAGACCTGAAAAGGCTGCGAAAACGCCAATAAATAAATTTAGATTCGTGCATTAACCCGTTAAATTAGTGATATTACTAATAGTTTTCAGAATCAGAACTGAAGGTTTTAGTGCAATGTATCAGGTTTTTAACAAGTTCAAATGTAATCCCAATTTAAGCTTTTACCAAAACAAACTCATCAAATAAAACAAAATAACGCCAAATATATAAGAAACATAGTCGAGTGGGACTTTACAACATTCTGTTACTGTAGGCAAGGCAAAAATTATAATTAATAGCTCATTGTCACGCTGCGAGTGGTCAAAGCCCAAATATGGCCAACAAATTGGGTCACCAAGACGCGTGGTGCAAAGAACCAGTGCCAATGAACTCTTACACAAGTGTGAAGCTAGCGAAAAGGCCGTTCCGCGTAGTTGCACACCTATAAGGTGCGGACGATAAAGTTATGAATTTAGGGCGTAATGTGCTTTCATCGGAAATAAATTGTTATAGTTATACATAATTATACGTTATGAATTATAATGCGATTCAACTAAGAACAGGACCGACTGGGCGCCATATTTTGACGTCATAGCCGTGAATTCAAACCAAATACGTAGTCGTAGAGTGAGCAAAAAAAAGTTGCTATTTAATAAAACTTATTTACTAAGATTAAGTGAGACAAAACATCAGATTTTTTAATAAAATTAATTTACTAAGGTTGAGAAAGAACCAACCGATTTTGAATAGTATTTCTTCATTAAGACTGTGAAAAAAAACATTAATCAGAATCTAGCTCATCTAGAATAATCTTGCAGGTCACATACGAACATGCATCTTATATGTAAACGAAAGTTTTAAATCGAGTTTCTGAACGCAACATAAAGTGACATTTGGTTGACGATTTAGGTTATCAACCATTCATAGCCAAAGCTCAATAAATGAAAGAAAAGTCAACTAATAATATTAATTATCAACATTTCTAGAATCAGTCGAGTGCTAAAAAAGTGTTCCGAGATTTTTTTGCAAACCGTACTTTCCAAGCGACATTTGACAGATGGAGGTCATTGGCTTTCCTATTCTTATTTGAATCGCATTATACATAACATGTAAAGGCAATTCATCAGCGCAAATTGTTAAGATATGATATAGGTAATAGTTATTTATGATACAAGTGCAGTAAGTTGGTTATTATTACATAGTCACGAGTTTGTAATACCAATCCGCACGAATTCTATACGTTTATCAACACATTTGCGAGAAAACATTATACATATAATTTAAGTAATGAAGTGATTTAAAAAAATAGAAAATGGCGCGCATTCCCAAATGGCGCCACGTGCGGGTGGTGAAAATTATGGTGGTAGAATTATGTACATCATTCGTCTCTTTTTATTTATAGTATTAAAATGAAACAAAGCTATAAATAATAGCTTGTTTTTCAGCCAAGCCTCCTTGGGCTTCCAAGGAGGTTCGAGCGAAATAAAAAAAAAACGTAAAGAATACGCACAGTGCCATGTATGGGAGCGTGCGTAATAAAATTTTACCGCACGCTCCGTTGTATGGCCCGTAATTTTCGAACAATGTATACAACCTCCGTAATGCATTTTTAGAAAATGTGTTGAAAAGAAAATTACATAATTTTAAGTTCAATTCCTGGTCTAGCCGTTGAAAACGACTACCTAAAAAACTACAGTTTAAAACAGTTTACCTACAAGTTTTGCTTTATATTTAATTTTACTGAAAATTGCTCCTTTTTTAATTACTTTGTCACTTGTTTAACGTTACATGTTCTCTCGCAAAATAGATAAGATTCTGATGCTCAAAAAACAAAATTATGAATCGGTTTATTTAAAGATAAAAAAGTTTCGATTTCACATGTCACGCTGCAACGAAAACCTAATTATTGAGTTGTCAACTTCCCACGACAACGGCGAACTACTATTCTATACTCTATTATCTACGCAGTAGGATCTATGAAATGTAATGTGACTAAGGGAAGGAGAGTTCACTTCCAGCTTTCTGGGGCGGCGACAAAACTCGGGTCTCCAGGAAATGAAGCTTAAAATAGATTTCTGAAGAGTAGCAGAGAGAGAAGCTACAGAAAATAAGAATTGAAAAAACCCAACCAATCAACTTTTGTGGCAACATTAAAAGATTATAAGAAATAACTTTCTATTTAGATCATAATAAGAAATAACGGATAGTAAAAGAATATATTCAAAACACAATGAAACACGAGACGAACAAGCCAAAACGTCAGTCAAAGTTCTCTCCAACCATTAAGCACATGAAAGCAAAGCAAGCACTACTGGTGAAAGTGAAGTTATGGAATTTCGCGATGCACCCAGCCATTATAGTAATTGGAGTGAGACGTCGCAACCAGACGATAAGCTATAGCACAAACATGATGGATGCGACTGTAGGGAACAACAACTGTAATGGATAAATGTGTTTTAAATGACGACGGGAAATCAATAAAATAAGTCGCCAAGGAAAAAGGCGATGAAATTGAATTTGCCGATTAGATTGCAGAATAGACCGATCGTTTTCAATAGGAGACAGTATAGATTCGTAGTAGATTGGCATAAAGTTAAAATCTAAAAAAGACATGTTTCAGCCCAGTTTTATAAGTTTTCATTTCGGTGCTTAATCAATTAAGAGTCAAAACTTAAGAGAAAAGGACAAGTTCCGATTTACTTTTGACTTCACGGTCGCTGGAATAATTGTGGTGGGACAACATTATTATTTCCAGCAAGGAGCTTATCCATATATAGGCATCATACAGACCTTGTAGCTCGTGTGTAAATGAAACCTTTAAGTTGACAGCGAATTATTCACCATCGTCATTCGTAACTCGACACAAAACGTTCTTGTGAGCTAACCTTGGAGATAGATAGGTCAAGCAGAAGAGTAAAATCGTGCTAAGTGAAAGTGACTTGTACGCATGAAATCAACACTACAATAAGTTTCATAATATCGAATCGAACAATATAAAATTTGGCCTTTTAATAAATTAAA